GGGGGTCCGGTCTGCTTCAGAGCCTGGCGGCCAGTTTTTGAACTGGCGACCGATGCTACATCGGTACTCTCGGTATTGAAGGATCAGAATCCTGGTACAATACAAGATGTCACTACCCTGCGTGTCCTGACAGCTGAACGATACTAGCGTGCCCAGCAACTGTTGGTCTCCATCGCGCTAACCAATACGGTGTAGTTGAGCTGTCGGTTCACCGCTGGAGCTCAGAAAGTCGTGCTTGGCAAGGACCCTGAGAGAGGAGAGAGAATGGGACAATTCGGGTGCCGAGACGGAGTCGGTTCTCGGCCGGCTAACACTAAATCGGAAAGACAGGGGCTGAAATCACTGTAAAAGGCAGCATACCCGCTTTGTCCTGAGCTGAACCGCCAAACAGCTCCGCTGAAGTTCGACAACGACAGATGCGCCGCTGTGAAAACTGGGGATTTCTCACTCGAAGGATCAAATGGTAGGATGCATTCCCACTGACACGTCACATCGAACAACTCGGAGCTCCAACTAATGGACCGATTGGCTGAGTCGCCGCAGGCAACGTTATCCGCCCCCACATCACCAGGGTTATCCCTCGGCGAAGGACTAAGCCTGCTTTTCAAGGTCGTCGTCGTCGGTGAGTCCAGCTAGCTTATTCCTCCGGCGACCAACTCGCAGCACTGACCTTCCTCAGCCCCGCCTCACCTTCTCCTCAGCCTCCTCCGCTGCTACACGCTCGCCGCCCTCCGCGGCATCCCCCTCCGGCACTACGCAGCATGCGCCTTCTACCGCGTTGCCCTGCACAACCTCACCCCGCGCCAGCTGCAATTCATCCAACCCCCGACCCCGGCCGTCTACACCTCCTGGCTCACCCACCGCCAATCCCGCGCGGCAGCTAAGTACAAGCGCGACAGCGCTGATGCCGAAGCAGCCTTCCTCGCCTCCCGCCTGAGACTCGACACGGAGCCGCTCCCCGACGGGCGCTCGTCCCTGCTGTGGATCGGCGACCGCCGCCGGGCGACGCGGTTCGTGCTCTTTTTTCATGGAGGCGGGTACATGGTGCCTGCGTTGACGGGGCACATGGAATGGTGTGCGCGGGCATACCTGCTCGCCTCGCCCGCTGCTGCTGCTGCTGGGAAGGGCGGAGGTAAGGAGGATGATGAGGTGGCGGTTGCCGTGCTGCAGTACACGCTCTGCCCAGAAGCAACGTATCCGACGCAGCTGCGGCAAGCGGCGGATGCGCTGGCGCATTTGTTTGCGTCGGGCAGGGTGCGGCCCGGGAATCTAGTCATTGGCGGGGACTCGGCAGGCGGGAACTTGACGGCACAGTTGCTGGGGCACTTGCTGCGGCCCAATCCTGCCGTGAGGGAGGTGTCGCTGGAGGAGCGGCTTGCCGGCGCATTCTTGGTGTCGCCGGTGTTGAGTGTAAGCGGTCACTGGGCGAGTGCGAAGAGGAATGGGGCCATTGACATGCTTTCTGCGAGCTCGCCGGCCAGTCTGAAGGAGAGGCTGCTCAACGGGGTAGAGGATTATCAGGCGGAGGTGAAGCAGAGGAAGGGGTGGGCGATGCCGATGGATTTGGAGGATGCGGAAGGTTGGTTTGGAGGATTGGACGGGGTTGTCAAGGAGGTGTATGTCACGGCCGGCGAGCAAGAGGTTTTGCTGGATCATGGAGTCGCCTTTGCAGATGCAGTTCGAAGGGGCAACCCGGGGATGGAGGTGCGGCTAGAGGTGATGAAGAACGAGGCTCACGACTGGATATTGATGGAGGGCGGCGAGGGAATTGAGGGAGACGCAATGAAGAGAATGAGGGCTTGGTTCAAGGGCGTGTTCGATCTGTAGAGCTCGCCGTTGCCGTCTTGCGACGGAGCGTGTGGTTATATGAATAGGCAGTCGCAGGTCATTCCCCTCATCAACGCGGCCTTCTCCAACTCCACTTGATGAGATCTGGTCAAACGAAATGGCGCCGTCTCTTCCCCTGGATTTTTAGACAGCTAAATACCGTATGAGTGTCCCGACTTAAAGCCCAACCTGAAATTGAGTTTCTTACGACTTGACATAAAAGTCGACACAGCTCTCATATGTCTGTTGGTTTCTGGTTGCATACCAGTACCATTGAATGGCGCACTTGCCGCCGGTGCTGCAAACAGTCCCAAGGTTTCTAGGGATGGTGACGTTGAAGTTGACTACAGGACTGTTAGCATGTGGTGCGACGCCTTGCCTGAAGCGGTCGCGTGTTGATGGTTTCGACTCACTGTCTGATCGAGGGGTCGTCGCGGTTGCATTCGGATAGCTATCCCAGGATCGTAGTGGGCTGCCGATGATCTTGTTGTTTGCCAGGTCAACGATCGACACATTCTACAGCCGAATTTCTGAGTTAGTATGGTACGGTATTTGTACTTTATTCAGTCCAAACCGGTCTAAAAGACCAGTGGTGTTACTTGCCGCATAACCGGGGCGATGGCCGGCGATTAGGTCAACCTTGAAGTCGATGACTTGGCCAGGCTTGTATTCGGTCGCGGAGTTGTCCTCGTACTGGTAGCCACGGCAGAGGAAGGCATTACACTTCAAGTCCGCGCCGGCCTTCGCGACTCCGTCCTCGATGGGACCAGCTCTGTCTGCGAGCTATGTCAGCTCTCAGCTTGTCCAAGGCAGCGATGCTTTGGCACCAGCAACGGCATGGGCTTGAACGATATGACGCAAGGAAGCGGGAAAGATATTCACCCTTTTCCATATATTCCGCATAGGTCTTACCGCACCGCTGCGTATAGTAGGAACCAGCCTAATCAGTAATCAGTCAGTACGTATGGAACGGCACTCGGGGTCAAGGTCGGCTGGTAAGACAGGAGTTACCTACGCCACGAGGGGTGGGAACCTTCACAACAGCATGGCCGAGCACGCTTGTGGCGGCAATAGCTATGGTAAGGAATCCGAGAAGACTTGGAACCATTTTCTCTTGATGACGATGAGGTTGTGTAAGGCGTATAGCTGAGCCTGGTTGTAATTGGAATCGTAAACAGCCAACATCAAGACACAGATGGATTTGAACAGATCGCGGCTTATGGAGGATTCAGTACGATAATCGATTTTTCCGTGTCAGCGTCATGGACATCAACTTGCGTGATCCCGATCCATTCGTGACCCTCCCACCGACCGTCGCAGACGACTGCACATATGCGAGCCTAGGGGCTTTTGCCACGAATAGGACAACTGGACAAGGGAATCCGTGATGTTCCATTCTCCTCTGTCAATATCACGCACCTTGATGGAAGAATGGCTTCGCCATGACAAGTAATAGTAAGAGTTCCGAAGCCTTGAGTGAGAGTTGAGGCTCAACCGGCTTCCCTCCGCGCCATTGGTGGGAGAATTAATTGACCGTTGCGTCTCAGACATGCGTGCCGAGGCATCAGTACTCGCGGCCATGGCCGCCATGCTCATGCAGGAGACAAGGGGATCGTCGTGTACCCCAGCTCTCGGAACCAATTCAAGGGTGAAGCTCCACCGAGTATGGAAGGTCTGAATTTAGGTTCTCAGGTTCCCCGTTGTCCCAAGCGGGCCACGGCAGTGGCACTTCCGGCAAGTCCAAGACTTAGCGCTGTACCCCAGACTTTCCATCCCGGTTGACAAGTTGGCAACAAGCATGTCTAGCCCTGAAATTACTTGACGGCCCCGCAAATATGCGTGCGACTGCCGGAGTGAGGCATCGTACTTCCTGGACTTCCACCACTGGTGTTCGGCCATGGGGTTGCTCTGAAGGTCTTCTGATGCCAAGTTACCTCCATCAGTAATCTCAAGCAGCAAATGTCACTTACAGCAGATGCGGTCCGTTTCTACTTGCCCTGGCATCGAGCGCATTCTCATTCGTGTAGAATTGTTTGGCACCATCCTCGACACGGACCGCCGAGCCCTTGGGCAAGGGGCATGAGCCTTTGGCGGAAGAGATCGACGCCATCGCGTTACTAACCGCATCAAGGCGATGAGGCGAGGCCTCGAGAGTACGTCCAACAGGTGAGGAAGTGTAAATGGTATCCGCAAGACAGTGTATAAGAAGGATGAGATTAGCCTTCCCAAGATCATGCTGGACTTCGCATCACCATCAGACTCGATCCTCTTTCAGAGCCTTCTGAGAACCACCAAGAATCGCCCATCATGAAGTTCCTCTTCGCCGCCACCATCGCCACGTTGGCGAGTCTTGTTACCGCCACGCCCACGCCGACGGTCGAGAAGCGTGCCAGCCCTAGCGACGCCTGCACTATTGGCTATGCCTCGACCAACGGCGGGTTAGTTTTGGTTCTACTAGTACTCCTTGCACCGCAAACATACTGACACCGAGCGATGACAAGCACGACGGGCGGCGCCGGTGGAACAACTACGACCGTCTCCAGCCTCCCGGCTTTCAGCTCCGCTGTCAAGGGTGACGCCAAAAAGATTGTCTACGTTCAGGGCAACATCAGCGGCACTGGATCCATCAGGGTCGGTGCCAACACGAGCATTCTCGGCAAGAATGGCGCCTGTAAGGCAACCTATAAGGTTTCAATGTGTGGGCGTAGGGAGCACCTGCTGACAAGCCTTATATAGCCATCACCGGCGTCAACCTTCACATCCGCCAGGTCAAGAACGTCATCGTTCGCAACCTGAAGCTAAGCAAGGTCAAGGGCAATGATTGCATCACCGTCAACGAGGCCACCAACGTCTGGCTCGACCACCTCGATCTCAGCGGCGACCTCAACGTGGACAAGGACTACTATGACGGCCTGATCGACATCACCCACGGCGCCGACTGGGTCACCGTCTCGAACACCTACTTTCATGACCACGTAAGCTTGATGTTTTGTGCACAGACATGAATTGATCCGATGGCTGACCAAACCACCCCGAGCAATAGTGGAAGGCTTCTCTCGTCGGCCACTCCGACAGCAACGAAGATGAAGACTCGGGCAAGCTCCATGTGACGTATGCCAACTGCAAGTATGTCAACATCAACAGCCGCACCCCGTCGCTCCGGTTCGGCACAGGCCACATCTACAAGTAAGTTATAGAACAGACACATTTTAACCCCGGCCATCTGCATATGGCCCATGATATTCTCCGCACAACGCTGACACAGCGTTCTACTCTCCAGCAACTACTTCGAGAACATCGCCACGTCGGGCGTCAACACCCGCATGGGCGCCAAGGTCCTCGTCGAGTCCAGCACCTTTGTGAACGCCAAGCGCGCAATCACCTCAATCGACTCCGACATCGACGGCTCGGCCGCCGTCAGGGATGTCAACCTCGGCGGCTCTACCAACGACGCCCCGTCCACCTCGGCCTTCTCGGTCCCGTACGCCTACAGCGTCGTCGGGTCGGCCAACGCCAAAAGCGCCACCTCTTCCGCCGGTGCGACCCTTTCGTTCTAAGAGTGTCGGTCAAATCACGGCTCGCTATCGATTTCGTGAAAGAGTCCGTTCTTGGGGAGGTTCCCGGCTTGTCGACCTGGGACTGGAGGAGTGGTTGATGAAAACTCGGTTGGAGATGTCAGCTTCATGCGAGGCAGCAAATAGGGAAGGGGTGTGCAGGGTTCCTATATGCACCACCTCTCCCGTAGATAGCATGCATGCGTCTTCATGTCCATAGTTAGAAGGCAATTTGCCTTGAAATTTTGTCTTTAGCAACTCCTGTTGCTCCACATCACCTGTGCACTCTGTTCGTCCGAAAGCTACGGTGATCTGAAGTCAAAAGTTTGCGCTTATTAAATATGAGGAGTACGTTTGCCATTACGCTCGAGATTGTCCCCAAGACTGACCTGTACCTACTAATTATGGTCGCATCACGATCGATTCCTGCCTTATGGGATTATCATTGGAACAATCCTCTGCCGCTGACACAAACAGCCCGGACAGCACAAACACCCGGCTGATGCAACTTACCCGAAAAACCTCTCTCACATGCTTGGGTGGAGCCTCTGATCTTGGCCAAACGCCGTCTGTTTCTGACCCTCTCCCCTGCGCTAGATCCAGTTCGGTCAAGCGTAGCCACGGGAGGAAGCCGAGGTGGAGTACGGAGCGGGTCTGGAGTACCCACTGCGGGGAAATGCATCGTCCGAAGCACTTCCCGAGCTATCATGGACAAGTACAAAGTACATACAGAACGCAGCCAGTGCACTTCTCATTCCCGCAGATGAAACCGCGAGTGCATCACTGTATCTCTCCATACACTTCTCATGAGTGCGGACCCACCCCTGACGAGTGCAAAAGACAATCAACATGACGAAGACATTTGAGACGGCGCCTCTCTCTGCGCCAGTGGCAGTTGAGCTCCCTGAAGCAGTGGAATTCCTGGGCGAGAGCCAATGGAAGGTCCTTATGGCGCTGATGGACGCGGTCATCCCCGCCGTTCGGATCCAAGACTCAACAAAAGCGACCCAGGACCATGATATTTCAGCCATCCACCTCCCCAGCGCCCAGTACTCGGAGGTTGCCACCAAGCTACGGAATGCAGCTCCGCCTCTCCGTTCGTCCGACGTTCTCGAGGCCTACCTCGCCGAGCGCCCTTCCGACAACCCCGTCTTCACCCAGGTCCTCAAATGCGTCCTCACCAATGTGCCGCCCGACAAACAGCGGGCCATGCGCGTCCTCCTCTCCATCCTGAGGTATCATATCTATCCGCCAAACACCGCCTCCAGCGCACTAACCCCCCAACAGCACCCGACCAGGCAGCTTCCTCCTCACGTCCTACGCCACTCCACTTCCCTCGCTCTCCATTTCCGACCGCATCAGGATCCTCCAGAACTGGTCCAACGCCTCGCTCTGGACCTTCCGAGCCCTCTTCAAAAGCATCACCGCCCTTGCCAAGCTCGCCCACATCCGCAGCAGCACCACCTTCGCTCCACTCACGGGCTTCCCCTCCATCCCGGCCTCTTGGGTCGCCGGCTCGACCTCTTATCCCTTCGAGTTTCTCCAATTCCACCCCTCCACCACCAACCCACAATTCTCAGTCGAAGTAACGACCGACGTCGTTATCGTCGGATCGGGCTGCGGCGCCGGCGTCGTCGCGAACCGCCTCGCCTCGGAGTTCGGCCCGTCGCTCAACATCCTTGTCCTTGAAAAGGGCCTGCACTTTGACGCGCGCCACTTCCCGCTGTCGCAGACCGCCGGCCTGTCGACTCTGTTCGAGGCCGGCGGCGCGATCGAGTCGGATGACAACTCGATGACCGTCACGGCCGGGTCGTGTTTCGGCGGAGGTGGAACCGTGAACTGGAGCGCGTCGCTGCGGACGCAGGATTTTGTGAGGCGCGAGTGGGCGCAGGAGGGCGGGCTGCCGTTCTTTGAGAGTGACGAGTTTCAGGGATGCTTGGATAGGGTGTGCGAGATCATGGGAGTTAATGGGGAGGTGGTGAGGCCGAATCATGCGAACCGGGTATTGTTGGAGGGCTCCAAGCAATTGGGCTACCAGGCGTCCATTGTGCCGCAAAACTGCCGCGGGGAGAGGCATGATTGTGGGTATTGTACGCTGGGGTGCTGGAAGGGGGAGAAGATGGGACCTGTGAATGGGTGGTTCCCAGAGGCCGCGAAACAGGGGGCTAAGTTCGTGGAGGGTATGAAGGTGGAGAGGGTGATTTTGGAGGAAAAAGAGGGGAAGAAGGTGGCAAAGGGGGTCAGAGGTGTGTGGACGGCTAGAGACGGCGCCAAGGTGGAGGTGGTGGTGAGAGCGAAGAAGGTTGTTGTCAGTTGCGGCACACTTTGGAGCCCCATCGTGCTGCTCAACAGCGGGATTAAGGTATGTGGCCCCGAGGGCTGTGTGACTTTGATGCTAACAACCAGCAGAACCCCCATATCGGCAAGAATTTGCACCTGCATCCCGTCAATTTCGTGTCCGGCGTCTTCGACTACGACGTCCAACCGTGGGAGGGCACGCAATCTCTCTTCCCGCTTCCCTATTCAGTGACTAACGCTTCACAGGAGGCATCCTCACCTCTGTCGTCACCTCGTTTGAAAACCTCGACTCCAAGGGCCACGGGGTCAAACTCGAAGCCATGCCGATGATGGTATTATCTCTCCCTTTCCTTTCCTCGATCGACACTGACCGACAACCACTAGCCCACCATGTGCCTCCCTTACGTTCAATGGACCTCCGGCATCGACTTCAAGCTCCTCGCCGCCAAATACCGCCACACCAACAGCTTCATCTCTATCTGCCGCGACCGCGACTCCGGCCACATCTACAGCGACCCGGTCACGGGCCGCCCCCGCATAGCCTACACGCCCTCCGACTTTGACCGCGCCCACATCCTGCACGGCGTGGTCGAGCTCTGCAAAATTCTGTACGCCCGCAACGCGAGGGAGATCCATCCATCGATCGCTGGCTTCCCGCCCTTCATCAGACATGGGGACTACAAGACCGCGGACCAGGAGAAGATGGACTTTGACAAGTGGTTGAATAAGCTCCAGACGCACGGGAACAAGCCGCCTGTCACGCCGTTTGCGTCAGCGCATCAGATGGGCACCTGCAGGATGAGCGCCGAACCCAAGAACGGGGTCGTTGATCCCAAGGGACATGTCTGGGGTACCGAGGGACTGTATATCGCGGACGCAAGCGTGTTTCCCAGCGCTAGCGGTGTGAATCCCATGGTCACTACCATGGCGATTGCGGATTGGATTGGCAAGGGGTTGTGTGAGGATCTGAGGCGAGAGGGTGTCAATGCGAAGCTGTAGTAGGCCGGGGCGCATTGCACTGGTACCACTGAATCAGGGGGAGTTGTGGTGATATCCGGATAAGTGTACTGGGTGAATTGTTTCTATAGGCCTGAACAGTTTTAGTTTATAGTGTTATTTTGGGCAGGTTCCTCGGACTTTACCATATCGTAAACGCATTCAATTTCGAGTGCCCAGATGCCCTAGCAAGTGACACCTATTTTAAAATCCGTTATCAACTCACTTAACCAAGGTGTTGGACAACATCGAAGCATCAACGATGTTGTATTGGAAGTCAACGATGACTAGCAGTATGATTGATGTGTGTACCAGTAGCGATGTGAACAATCTCGAGGTCTCGTGGTACCACCTGTTCAGGCAGCTATTCAACTTACTCCTGCTTTAAACAACGTCCCAGCCCCTGAATCATGAAAAGATATGCAGCCTCGTCGACGAGTGAAACATTGCCGGCCACTAAAGTACTTTCAGTTTGGGAGCGAGAAGGCGGAGTTAGCTACAGGATCATCAAAACTTAACCCAATCCCATCAGCCTTCAGCCGGAGTACTTACATATATCCGGAGTCGTCTCTGCCCAATACGAATTCAAGCTTCGAAAAAGCAAAGAACACCGTCATGGAGAGTACGCGCCGAGCACACCGAGCTCCAATAAGCTCCCTAAGAGTTCAGGGGTTGACATCGCATCCCCTTCGCAGACAGAAGCAAGCGCGCCGTCAGCCAGCATGACCTTTTCGACCTGATGCACGACGCTGTTTGACTCAGCATTATCGCGCATGCTGAGCTCATACGCCTGATCATTGGGTCTGGAAGACGTGACGCCGAAATATCTAGAGGGACTTGCAGGCGGCAAAGGGTTTAGAAACTTGCTATGGTCGGGGAAAGAGGCCTAGCATCGCAGAGTCGATTGATCTCTAGATGATCGGTTGCCAAACTTGCCATGTTGACTTGTTGAGGTCGGACATGTTTTCGAGTTGCCCCTGTTGTGTCAATGGACTTCCAGTACGTTCTATTTTGGCTGCCGTTGAAAGTCAGAGGCTTAGTGGAGCTGCGTCGCCGACAACGGTGCCAGGCAGGTTGCGGGAGGTTCATGTTTATATTGACCGAGCCGATAACTGTGAATTCAAATTGCGGCAAACCTCGATAACCGGCTCAGCCATCAAAGGTATCACTGATAGGATGATCATGCGACGAGGTCTGCATGGGCCATATTAAACGGATAATAGCATTATGTGTTGCTCATTGTCGTATTTGAAACACTCTAATGGAAGGCCCAGTCCTGTTGCCCCCTGTGCAACTGAAATCGGCCATCCCGATTCCTAAACCGTGAACAGTGTCTCACGAAAAGTTGAACGCCCTGTGGCAGCAACGTTGGATGAATACTGCTGGTCAAGACTGGTCAAGAACCTAGGCCTATCCTATGGCATCCAGTACAAGTGTCACACTCGAGAAGTCGAGATACTTGGCTGGTCGGCATACATTCTTGCAAACTTCTGCCAACTGACACTGCGAGTTCCCCTCTTCAACCACTCAAATAACCCATCAAGGCTGTCTATAGCTCTGTTGTCTCCGAAAAAGCAGCACAGACCTCAGCGTGAACCCTCTCCGCGCCCAGTTGCGACCTCCCACGCTTAGTAAAACAATAGCAAAGCAAGTCCATGATATCGGAGTCGCTGTTCCCTCCCAAAACGCCATCGCTAATGTATGCACCCGCTTCGGCGTAGCAGATTCGATAAATCCTCAAACTACAATCAAACTGGCAATTTTCCCACCAACCTCCTGATTTTCATGGCCGATTCGTACCACAAACCAAGCGACCAACCCGAGTAACCCGAGCACAGGCGGCACAAAAGCCAAATCCACGGATTGGCGTACCAGATGGTGGTATGCTGCACCATCGCCCAGATGTAGCCAATTCATCCTCCTACCAGCTTTTATAAGCCAGCTCAACAGGCGCCGATTTTGTCGCATCAACACCATTCCAGGGCGTAGAAAGGCGTACAAAGTTACCCCTCGTTCAACCTGAAGGACATCGCCTATGACGCGCGTCTCATTCGTCCAGCGCACATAAATCAACGAGGATGCCGTCGTCCCGACCGCATTCCGGAGGCGGGCCTAGAACCCCGGGCGCAAGTCACACACCTCGAACTCGAGGGCCTTCGACTCGTAGACGTGGCCCGCTGGATTCCCAGCGTCGACATAGAGATTGTCGACCGAGTGCGGGTGGAACGTCTCGGTTCGTTGACAGGACAGCAGGTGCGGGAGACCGGGCGGGTTCGTCAGGCGGAAGATGCCCCATCTGGACTGAGGTCAGTGGGAAGATCTCTGATGGAAAGTTGCAAGACTGTTTAAGGAGGAGCACTCACGATGGCTCGTACTGCGGCGCGCAGACAATGGCGATGGCCTCAGGCATCATCACCTGGTACCCAGCTTGGGTATGGAGGTCGCGAGAACTCATGAAGCACGTCTGCGTTGGGTGGGTGTGAATCCAACCGATCACTATCAGGTTGTTTTCAATGCAAAAGTCGAGCATACTCGACTCATTTTCGGTCTCGCACGTGTCCGACGTGCACTTTTGCTCAGGGATGATCAGATGGGAGATGAACAGCGCATTGTTCACTGTGGTCCCGCAGAGCATGCCGCACATTTCCAGCCCTTTGCGCGTGTTCGCGGACGCGAGTTGCAGGAACTTCTGCCGCAGCGTGCTTGGCAGAAAGACTGGCCTAAGGGGCTCGCCGTTCTCGAGATAGGCGGCTGGGCGGAAGGTGACTCTCTTCTCCTTGGCTGGTTCAGCTGGTACCTTTGCAGGGAGGGTTGGCGGCTGCTCTTGCGTAGAATCGAAGTCGGGGAGCGTGCTTGACTCCAGCGGTGCCTTGTACGGCTGAGGGGAAGGGGGTATGGGAGGACCGCGTGCGAGATAAAGGATTTTGTCAGGCAGAGGGGGGGGTATGGCGGAGGACCGATCGATGTCCCATTCTTTGGGTGGGCGCGGAGGTTGAGGCCTGGGACCTTCTACGCGCGGTTGCGAGTATGGATGTTGATACTGAACCGGCTCTGGCCTATTGATGGAAGGGTAAAGGTAGGTTGAAGGTCGGACCGGATCGCTCTCCTCATCGAAAACCGTCCGATAGTCGTCGGATCGATCCAACTGACGTCGGGTCGCTTCCATCTGTCTCCGGAGTTCGTCGTCATCCATGTATTGCGACACGACCCTCCCGTCATTGTCTTTGATCCTGCCGGTATTCCTGCGCCTGCGATCGTCTACTGAGACCGCAGTCTCCCGCCTGCGCCTCTTCATCTCTTTCTTGGCCAAGTCGACAGCGAGATCTTGATAGTCTTTGGCGTCGAGGATGTTTGCTGGTGAAGTATAGCTCCAGGACAGAGCTGGATCATTGTCCGCATGCCTCGCGTAGAGCGCGGACGAATCGAGGCTAGTGGTCACGGCTCTCTTTCTCTGTGTCTCGGAAAGCTTCAACCACTCCTCGTACGTGTCCTCGATTTCCGGACGCAGGGTTTCGAGCAGTTCTATTACGCGTGGAATGCGCTTCTGGAGTGGTTTAATCGCTTTCCTAGCCTCGGGCTCCTTGGCTTCAGGATGGTTGACGAGGTATTCGAGGACGAGGGTCGAGTACCGAAAGAGGACGAGGTAGGCTTGTGGGACATTGCCTTCACGCAAATAGACCTGGCCCTGCAAAGTTGCATGTCAGTTGCGTGGAGATGATGGCATAAACAGGGGTGCAGGGTGCAGGCGCACCTCATGATGAATGGTCTCGGCGGCGCGAGCCCAGTACTTGAAGCCGATGCGTGGGTTCCAGTCGAACGCTCTGGCTCTATCGGTCAACTCCTTCGCACTCATGGGCCGGCTGCCCACGGTTAGGTCTGTGCTGTTCATCTTGACACTTGTAGACGAGATCGGTAGCTGGGAAAGATACTGCCAATGTTTGCTGGGACGAAGCAGGTGATGTGCTGCGCAATGATGGAAACACTTTAGCAGGTCTGCATTTCGGCTTTGGAACAAAAAGCGATGAAGAGTGGCCTGAAGAGTGGCCTAGAATGCCAGGCCGACTCATGCGCGCGCAGCCTGGGAAGTTGGTAACGTAACGGCGCACGACGTTGGGTGCAAGTTGCCTGCCCATGGCCGCGTGTTCAAGCATTTGTTGACAATGACCCCGCCATTTGGGAAGGCAACGCTGAGCTGATAAGCAGGCTTGAGGCGGGGCAGCTGAATCATTCAGCTGAGTTCCATGGCCCGTGCACGAGCATCTGGCAGATGAGAGGCTTGAGGTGGCAGCAATGGGAGCCAAAAAAACGTGGATGTCAAAATTACTGGTTTTGTCTACATGTATTCTGCTTTCGGATCGTTCATACCTTTTCAATAATCTATTACATTTGCCTGTGTCTATTATCCCTTGTCTTTATCCCGCCTCCAGCGTCTTTACCACAGTAGATTTGCCCCCGCCTGATATGTTTGGTCATGGATTACGGGCCAACTTGAAGTCTAGGTAAGGTTGACCTGGGTTTGGTTGAACATAACATTCTCCTTGCTCTCCTGCTTCACTCTGACCTCATTTTATCCTCTAAATCTGTATTCTTTCCCGAATGCTGCTCTTCGATCGCGCACCCCTGAATGGGTATTGTCACATGTCCCAGTTCCCCCAACGGGCAGCATTATAACCAAGGTGACCAAGTCCCACGTATAGCACTTCACCATCAAGCTATCATTCCGACCCGCAAGTATCGAAGCGTCAATAGAGGTCCTCACTTTCAACATGGGCCGACCCTCGATCCCTGCCGAAACTTTTCTGCTCAGCTTGCTCAACAAATGATATAGCAGATCAAGGGCATGGCCGGTCTCAATCCCTCGGGAACATTCAAACCCCCATAGGCATACCCTCACTTCTCATGCCTTGACAGCCTGTGGCCCCGCAGCCTGCGCGCTGGTCTGAACCTGGATGATCTCTGCCTTCTTCTTCTCCATCTTGCCCTGCATTTCTTTGATGTGTGTTTCCAACCTTGAGCTTTGAATGTTTCTGTCAGCCTTTTCCATGTCAACCGCCGGTGCAGCTGAGCTTACATCTCCTTTTCGATGAACTCAAGCCGGCCGCTCACAGTGCTCTCTGCATCTGTTCTGTCCTGCTTGAGCAAAACCGGGCCAATGAGCTTGAAAATGGTCTCGCCCTCCTTCAGCTTGTCAAACTCCTATAACTCGTCTCAGTATTTCGTCTCATGGTCCGATAAACATTTGATAGACATGAACGGACTTTCTGTACTCCCAAATTCTCCTGCTTCTGAGCCTCGAGCCTTTGCCTCGACTGCACGGCATCTTGAAGCTCTAAATGTGTGTCAACAAATGTCATAAACCAGGGCGAGAGTCCAAGGAAGCACTGGACCTTGTTGCAGCTTGGTAAACTCGTCAGAGAGAGCTTGCAGCTTGGCTTGAATGTTGGACATTGTCGGTATTACGATGTCAACCTGGGCAATCTGATACTCAGAAAATCCACCAGAAAGACGCGGTCCCGAAACCAAACTGTGTCGACTCGATGTCCCCTTTACGCAGCCGTCTTTTCGTGTGATGCGTTTGGCTGAGGCATGAGGCTTCGCAGTCGATTTCTTGAAAGATGACTGTTAGTGGTTTGCTAGTCACGACGCATATGTTCCTAACACCTCACTCCCAAGACCGCCCCGCAGAACCAAAGCCAGTGCGTCAGCCCCGCGCTCCTGCTTCCCGGTCAACGGCAGCCTGAGATTGACGAATGGCTTTGCACATCCAGAACCAGGAAGCGACCACCAAACAGCGCACCCTTCCCACCACGCACCGGCTCCTAGACAATTCCGATCGCTCGGTTCAGACAAGACTCAAACCAGGCGAAAGACCAGGAGTCGGGATTCCCGACTTACGCTGTTAGCGGTAGCGCAAAACCTTTTTAGGTTGCCCCCGAACCTGAATCAGCAACCAAACCCACGCAACTGCGACCAGTCACCCTCCTCCACTTCACTCCCAGACGAAAACACACCGCTGCCCACCATGTCCAATACCGACTTCCTTGATCGCGCAATCAAACAAGTCCGCCTTGCCATCGATGCCGACAATGCCGGGCACTACGAAAAGGCTTACCAGCTCTACTACCAATCCCTTGAGCTCTTCATGCTGGCCCTAAAATGGGAGAAGAACCCCAAGTCCAAAGATATGATCCGAGCCAAGACAGCCGAGTACATGGACCGGGCCGAGAAGCTCAAAGCGCACCTCGCTGACGCCGAAGGCAAGCGCAAGAAGCCCGGGATGGTGGGTGCTAACGGCACTTCGACGAGCGGCACGGGCAAGGGCAAGGAGGCGGGCGAGGATGGGCCGGAGCTCGACGAGGACAGCAAGAAGCTGCGTAGCGCGCTGGCGGGGGCCATTTTGCAGGAGCGGCCGAATGTGAGCTGGGATGATGTGGCGGGGTTAGAGGGCGCAAAGGAGGCGCTCAAGGAGGCCGTTTTGTTGCCGATCAAGTTCCCGCACCTCTTTCAAGGGAAAAGGCAGCCGTGGAAGGGGATTTTGCTTTACGGGCCGCCGGGCACGGGCAAGAGTTACTTGGCCAAGGCGGTCGCGACGGAGGCAAAGAGCACGTTCTTCAGTGTGAGCAGTTCGGATCTGGTGAGCAAGTGGATGGGTGAGAGCGAAAGGTCAGCCACCACTCCTTCTGCGCGGGCCGCTTTACGTACTGACAAACTCTCTTTCCAGGCTAGTCCGCCAGCTCTTCGCCATGGCCCGCGAGAACAAACCCTCCATCATCTTCATCGACGAGATCGACGCGCTGTGCGGGCCCCGCGGAGAAGGCGAATCCGAAGCCTCGCGCCGAATAAAAACTGAAATGCTCGTTCAAATGGACGGCGTAGGCAAAGACAGCAAGGGCGTCCTCATCCTGGGCGCCACCAACATCCCCTGGCAGCTCGACGCCGCCATCCGTCGCCGTTTCCAGCGGCGCGTGCACATCAGCCTGCCCGACCTAGCCGCGAGGACGACCATGTTCAAACTCGCAGTGGGCGACACCCCTACGGCGCTAAAATCAGAGGACTTCCGCGAGCTGGCCATAGCGGCAGAGGGATACTCCGGGTCGGACATTAGTATCGTGGTACAGGACGCGCTGATGCAGCCCGTGAGGAAAATCCAGCAAGCGACACACTTCAAGAGGGTAAGCTCCTGTCCCCAGTCTACCATGAATTTTCTATGCATACCTTTTACTGACTCTGGCAGGTAACGGTTGACGGCAAACAAAAACTCACACCCTGTTCACCAGGCGACCCGGATGCCGAGGAGATGACATGGGAAAAGGTGCGCTCGGAGGAGCTGCTCGAGCCGATGGTGGAGAAGAAGGACTTCATCAGGGCCATCAAGGCCAGCAGGCCAACTGTATCGCAAGTCGACCTCGAGAAGAACGAGGAGTGGACCAAGGAGTTTGGTAGCGAGGGAGCATGAACTGTATGGCGAAGTCAGAGGTGTTATCGATTCTGCGGGACGAGATAATGTTCTTACGGATATGAGTAGCCGGCGTGTGGCGTTGTTTGGGATCTTGGCTCAGCATTTGGCATGGTTAGCAGCCTAGTTCGCTGGTACTATGATGTTGCCCGATGCCTATTCCCGGGCCGCTGTGGTCCGTATGCTTCATCGGCATGGCTTCTACCAGGGAAGACTCCACGGCATTGGATCCGACTAAGTAGATAGACTTCTACCTCGTTTCCATTCCATTTGAGGGTATGATACATCCCATTGAACAATAAGCCATCTAGACACAACCAAAGAACTCCGTTTTGCCCTACCCCGACCCACACAAGAACTCCAAGAAAGCAGAGCGAAGATCAACCAAAAGAAAGAAAGTGCGCGCCGTCCAACAGACATAGCAAGCATTGGCAAGCTATTCGGCAGCCACCGACTTTCTCTTCTTTTTCTTCTTCTTCTCGCCTTCGGCGACGTCTGCCATCTCGACATCCTCACCGCCGACGCTCTTCCGCTTCTTGTCCTTCTTTTCCTTCTTCTCTTCCTTGTCCTCCTTCTTCTTGTCCTTCTTGTCCTTCTTGTCCTTCTTGTCCTTCTTCCCCTTGGCGGATGGGTGATCGATCATCTCCTCGTCAATATCCATGTCATCGCCATCGGCCATGACCGCCTTGATAGCCTTGTCCATGGCCTCGATGTTCTTCATTGGCTTGGTGCCCTTGGCGTACCACTCGAGACGCTGCTCCAGCTGATCCCGCATGACCTCACCAAAGCGCCTCGTCGGCTTCTCCGAGAAGTTGTCGATACGGCTGGCAATGGAGCACTTGTTGGCCAGATACCGCGAGATGCGGCCCTTGACCTTGGGGCCGGCACGCCCGATGAATGAGCTCTGGTAGAGCAGACCGTATTTGGGGGTCGCGCCCTTGGTCTTGAGCGCCCGGAAGAGGGCCTTCTCGGCACCAAGGATCTGGAGCGTGGAGGCGGGGTACTTGGCGAGGTTGGTGAGGGAGCCGGCATGGGAGATGAGGCGGGCGGCGACAGGCGTGCCAAGGATGACCTGCAGGTTGGGGGCGACATCGCCCATCTTCTTGTCGAGCGACTCGGCAAGGATGCGTCTGTAATCGGCCATCTTGGAGACGTTGGCGGCGAGGTCCTTGACCATGGCGAGATCATACTCGCTGATGTCCTGACCCATGGAAATCTTGGCGGCCTGAACGATAGCCTCCGCCTTGTCCTGGTCTTGATTTAAGAGATTCGCGAGATCGTCGACGCTCTCGTCAGTAAGCGTCTTTTTGTCGCCGATCGCAAGAACCAGCTTTGCGTAGGTGCCGTTATCGGACACGATCCGGATGAGCTCGGGGAAGTGCCAGCCATACCACTCCCTCACACGCATGGCACCTTGGTTGATACCCTTGTCGAGCGCGTCAAGCGTCGCAATGCCCTGAATGATGTGGTTGTCGTTCTTGTGAACGCTGAACTTAACCTTGGCGCGGGAGTAAGCGTGGCCGAGGCCCAGCTGAGCGCGGTTGATGTCGCCCTCCTGCAGGCCCTTGAGCAGCTTGTTGGCATGCAGACGGATGCCGCGCAGGAGTGCAGCAACAACTTCGGAAGTGTCGGCAGCCTCGCATTGGACACCGGGGAATGCAGCACTGATCTCGCCCGCTATCCGCTTGTCGACCACGCCGAGCACAATCTTGCTCTTCTTTCCGCTGGTCTGCGGCAGGTTAAGTTCGAGGGTGTTCTTGAGGTGGTCGGGCATGATCCCTTCAGAGATGAGATTAATCGCTTCCAAACCGTGGGCCGCGGAGCTGGAGACCGTTAGTCGGGGGCACCACACGCGAGACACACACATATCTAGCCTGGTGCAGACGTTGTGCGCCGATGAGGCCAGAGTGTAAGCCGTTGGCGGGATACATACGTCCATGGGTTGAAACTGCGCAATTGGACCATTTTGCCGAACTTGTCGAGGCTCTTCATTGCATCCTTGACCTCGGGGAGCTCCAGGCCGACGGTATCGGCCTGGTGCACCACCTCGAACAAAGAGAAGCCGACGGCGCTCTCGAAGAGCAGGTAATTGACTACCACCATTTTGACCGAATGTTTGGGTTCGGATACTGATATAGCGGCGCGCTGTGTGTGACGGCTCTGGGGGCGTGTCGACCCGTCCCAACTGATCAATGGCCACCGGTGTGAGATGCGGCTAGCAGTTGCTCTCTTGGTTGTGTATTTTTCCCGGTCTGAAGTTTTCGAAATTTTTGCGCCAGGACGGGAGCTTGCGCACGGTTCTTGTGGGGCTCCTCTGGCTTGGCGCTTGTGGCTCGTTTCCGCACCTGCCAACAGCTGGCTGACAAAAAATGAGTCCCGGGCCCCATCTGCTTGGCATTGCAATTCAGTTCCTCGGGAATGCGACCAATCGGACTTTGCATTTTAGATCGGCTGTTGCGGAACAAGTCGTCTCAGCCCTACCACTCATGCCCCTGGTCCGTCATCAATATGTGCTCTCTGGGTCCCGCGGTCATTGGCCATGATCCTCGGTTGCAGAGTGCCCGATCTCCAACCCTCTGCTCCGTACCGCCCCATGGTCCCGTTCGTCCCGTTCTCCCAAGCCCGCTCCCTGTAGTTCGAAGTCTCGAACAGGCAAGCCGGACACCAGCAGAGATGCACCGCCATGTCTCATCGCATAGGGCTTGGTTGGGACGATGAACAACCCACGGCGAGGCCGCCCGGTTATCGCTCTGATCCTTCCCCATCGGTCGAGTCGTACATCATGTTTGATTATGTTTCTCCATTATCAGTAGCATTAACCCATGCACCGACCCAAAGAATGTCCCGGGAGGCTGACCGAGGCCTCCATCCTTCTCAGCCCTTTCGCTGCAAGGAACTCGTCTAGCTGACATTTCCGTTCTGGTCCTCCCAGTGCCGGTATGGAATATGCAGTAATGCTGTGCATTCTTTAAGTCTTAACGAAGGTATCGCAGGAAATGACATGAGAAGCAGGAAAAGGGAGTCCAATTCCAGAAGACAAACCTCAGCCGGCGACAGGTTGAAGGAAAGTGTCCGGGGATGCTGCCGTAATTGGACGTCCCTCTTGAAACGGTGACCTCGACCAATCAGCAAGTCGGGAAGCTCTCGAAACACTGGCCGGCGATTCGGCGCCTTTCCGCTCTCGTTTGTCAGCCGCACCGCGATAGGAAAAGGCAATCTCGACCCCAGGAATTGTGCGCAGCTGCGATGAGAGTCATCAACCGGCCCTTGCAGCCTTGTCCAGGACACCATCTTCGCTACGTCATATAATAATTGGACACGATGGCGCAGATGGCGGAGTTGGTGCCTGGTCGCCTTCGTCCTCGAAAACCTTCGACGCGCAGCCACGCCAGTCTTCACGACGCCCGTGGCTACACCCATCGCAGCGCCAGGCTGCCCCCTACAACATCTTGTTCGTCAGGACGCGACGTGGTCCGCGGAATCCGTTCTCCGTGTCTGATAGAGCCACCTTTCATCCTAGGTTCTAATAGCCGACATCGAGCGCGTTTCGCGCATACACACCCCGGACCTTCCACGACATCTGTTGCTGTTATCCAACCGCACCATCAACATGGACCCACAACATCCCGAGCACCAGATCATGGCCTCGCCCCCGGAAAACGACATGGCTACAGCAGTCCACGCTGTTGGCATCCCACGACCCGGTGTACCGCAGGGCATGGACCCTGATGTGCCTCCAATAAGTCATGCTTCCCTGACGGGCACAGCCAAAGACGCTGTCCCCGGTTCCCGGCACGAAGAGCGGGTGATGGAAGATGCGGTGGTTAGGGAGTCGTGGGCTTCGTTTGCCTCGACGGCGGCCAGCCGAGATTCGGCCGTGCCCAGCATCTTCTCCGTCAGGGCATCAACCGCTTCCGCCTCGACACGGTACTCAGTACGCCAGTCCTTGATGGAGTCACCCATTTCAGGTTCCAGCCCAATGTTACAAGAACACCGAAAGAACAGCGTTCCTCAGGGTCCTCGCTATTTCTGCACGTTCTGCGATGCGGCGTTCGACTCCAAGACAGAGTGGAAGCTCCATGAATTCGAGCTCCACGACCGGCGGGAACGATACCCATGCAGGAGCTGCCGAGCAATGTTCCCGCGAGCAACTCTCTTGGAAGAGCATCTCAGGGAAGACCATAGCCTTGATCCTGCCTTGACCACAGGTGATGCTGTCAAGTACGCACCTATCCGAAGCGCCTGGGGCTGTGGATTCTGCGCTACCTTCGTTTCGTCACGCAACGACTACTTGGACCATGTGGGCAGGCACTATGACGAGGGGAAGGACAGATCCGACTGGCAGCACACTCGTGTCATCGAAGGGCTGCTTCATCAACCGAAGGTTGAGGCGTCTTGGATGGCCCTTGTCAGCCGGGAGGAGCGCGCCAAAGGCACAAAACTCCGGATTGTGTGGACGTCAGCGACCACCGGCCGCACAATGGATTTAAAAGAACCCCTTTCTCTGCAGGATATGCTTGAGTTCTTCGCGACTGGAACAACAACACCCGATGAAATTGCGGAAGCGGCATACCGTGATGCTCAGGTCAGACATGAGGGCAACGTCAGCGACCTGATTAGCAAGCTGTACTTGCGAAATCCACAACCAAGCCGTCGAAACCCGACTCAACGCTCCGCCCAGCCTTCCCCGGAGTTGCACCCGGCTTCCTCGGAAGCACTGGATGAGACGGTTTCTCCGATATCCCCTTTACCTCCACCGTTACGGCCGCTCACAGCCCCTCCACGGCCTTTTGATCCGTCCATTCTGAACACGGCATCGCCTGGGGGACAGTCTCTGAAGTCACCAGCATCGCAGACAGTCCCTTTCATCAGACCTCGCGGGTTTGTGGCTCCAACGCCACCGCACTCTTTCCAGCCAAATCTTCGCCGTGTCGAAAGTTCTCGGACTCTCAAGTTTTCCAAGCATGCTGAAGCTTTCTTGAACCATGACCGTCGCGGGGAATCCAAGTCGCCACAGACACACCCGCCGGGTATTTCCTTGGATATTTCTCCCATCTCATTGCACCCAATAGACTCGCAGCCTTCTTCTCCTCCGGGACGTGGCGAGTGGTCAGCAGCAAGCACCGGCAAGGTCCTCCCAGTTGCCACAACGAGTCCAGGGCTTTCAGTCAGGCCGCATACAAGTTCAAGCACGCTGTCTGCCCACACTGTGGATGGCTCTCAGGGCTTGGGTGATAGCACAAGCGACAGGATGTCAGACGAGAGCGTGTCGGAACCGGAGTCTTGGCTAGAAGCGGACGGAATCCCTGCAGCGACCAGAATCTGGAAGAGCACTTTCCAACAACGAGTTGACAGAGGCATGGGACAGCTCTGGGACCGGTTCAACCTTGATTGGGATGCGTTGGTTAGGCAGTATGTTGGTGACAGAAGCGGCGGCTCCGGTCAATATCGGGATTCAGGGCGCGTCCGCAAAAGCACGTCGTCCCGTCACGCTCCGGGCAAAGGGCTCCATCCCAATGCACGTTTACCCCATCAAGAGGACGAGCGAGATAAGGACGAGGAAGAACGCTATCGACCACCGTCTTCCATGTCGAAACCCAGCTCAGAACCTGTAAAGAGGTTTGCGTGCCCATTCCGGAAGCATGACCCGCATACCTACAACATCCATACCCACGAAGTGTGCGGTATCAGATCCTGGTCAACAATCTCCAGGTTGAAGTATGTGACTAGTCCTTCTCCGTAAGATTACAGCTAACAAAGGATTAAAAAGGGAGCATCTCTACCGCAGGCATTACAAAACACACTGCCAGAGGTGCAAGCAAACATTCAGCGATGCCAAGGAGCTGGCTTCTCATGAGATGTCAGTTGTGGCCTGCGAGGTCCTGGATTTAGTACCTCCCGGTGATATTACCACCTATCAGGAAAAGCAACTGAAGTCAAGGAAGCACACTTCGCGGCGGCAGACAGACGAAGAGAAATGGAGAGACATCTACCGACTTCTCTTCCCCGATGAAGAAATCCCATCGCCATGTGAGTAGAACATTGCATTGCCGGACCTCGCTGAGTGGTGAGTACTGAGCAGTTCGCTGACATCAGCAAAGATCCCGAGCCTGCCGAGGACATGGTGCCTACATCCTCCAAGTTACACGCCAGTCTCCGCTTCCAGCACTTTCTCTTGAGCGAGATGCCGACTCTGTTCACCAAGACTGCTGAAGAACATGCCGGAAGGCGGCTCCAAGCTCGCGATGCGTTGCCGATGGACGCCGTCCCGAGAATCATTGAAGACGCTCTTCACAAAGCATTCAGGTCTTGGGAAGCGAGGGGCAGCGTGCTGCCCACTCGAGAGGCCTCAGTGGCGTCCATGAGCTTCCTGCCGGAGACTCCAACCTCGCTCGCTTACTCGTATGGGCAAGTCACCGCCTACCAGACCCCGCAACCCATACCTGCCCCAATGAACCACAGTTTTCCTCAAGGTCACTTCGGCAACGCAGAGTTTCCTCCTCAAGCCCCGCATGCGTCTCAGGCCGATGATTCTGGGTTCGGAGTAGGTCCCTTCTTTACATCTGGGCCGCCCATCAACTTCAACTCGTTTGCTCCGGATCACTACGAGAGGGGCCCCTGGGAAGCAAACCTCGGACTTATGGGCACGGGCGCGTTCAATGCCGACATGAGCATGGGAGGTCAATTCAGGGGATTTCAGAACAGTTAGCGTGGTATTTTTCCATTCTGCCACTCCGCGGCTCCACACGGTCTCCCGCCGCCGTCGAAGGTCCCTAATGTTCGTTTTTTGGCTTCAGGTTGCCACTGGCAGCTCGGGCAGATGATGGGCTGGTTGAGGAACAAACAGCGAAATAGACTCCAATTTCCCCCTCTAGCCGCCACGCACGCGCCTCCACGGAATCGCACAGACCGCAGCTTGCACACAGAAGTTTGCAGCTGGTCTTGCTTCACGCGTTCTGTGTTGCCAGTTTCGAGCTGCTACGGTGACGCGTCTCTTACAGTCATGCTACCGGCTATGCAAACTGTATGGTAGGCAACAAAGTGAAAGAAACGGAATCACTTAAGTACAGATAACAACTGGCGCCCTCGGAGTGGATTACCACAGCTTGTCGGGGTACGAAACGAAGGGCCATGGGCTCAGCATCCAACCCTTGGATATGTAACGAGCGTCAGTGACAATGATTAGTCGTCTCCTCTACCGACCGACATCAATCCCTCCTCCGGTCAACCAGCTCTTCAACCTCAACTCGCCCTCTTTACATCTCCACACCCGGAAGCTTGTCGAGCCCTAGAGCGCAGTTCATGTCAGTATACCCCCTTTCGCATCATAACATAACAAACTCAATTGGGAGAAACAACAAAACCGGGTAACCGAGGGACATACACTTGTCATAATCCTCCCTGGCGGCCTGCTTCACAGCGCAGCGCCGCGCCGTATCGATGCTCTGCATGCGCAGGTTGGCGCACGACGCGCCAAAGCACCCGCTCGTGTCCATTGCCCGCTGCAGCGTGTCGTCCTTCCAGCCAAAGACGTAGTCGCCGTGCTGGCCCAGGCCCGTCGGGTCGCCCGTGCTGAGCACAAACGGCTGCGACCCGTCGGTCGGCCACTCGTTTTGATTGTTGAAGCCCGTCGTGTCCCACACGACCTCGTACATGAGTTGTGGGATGCGCACCGGGTGCGAGGCCGGGCAGTTGCCGCCCAGGGAGAGGAAGGTGGCCGGGCCGTTGACCGGGTAGGCGACGTGGTCTTGGTGGTTGGGGGAGTCGAGGTTTTTGCCGTCCCAGCAGCTGTTGAAGGGGTTCGTTGTTAGTTGGGTGGGTTCGGGTCGGGGGTGTAGGAAGGGGGAGGGGAGCCCTACGTGGGGAAGTGGATGTTAGAGCGGATGCCACCCGGGCAAGGCTTGTTGGGAAGCGCCTCGCTGTCGACGCGGTCGTCTTGGCAGGGGGCGCCCGTGTCGCCGCCGAAGTTGGGCCCCGTGTAGCAACGGTAGCAGTTTTGGCGCTTCAACTTGGTGTCGGGGCGCGAGCGCATGTTGGGGTCGCCGACGAGCATGCGGAAGCCCTGCGGGAAGAATCAGTACTTATGAAGGGGCATGGTGCGTGTACAGAGAAAAGGGGGGTTTCTTCAGACCGGCTTGAAGGCGGTGATCTGGCCCGGCTGGGCCGAGACATAGTACACCAGGATACCGCCCTGTGTCTGGGTGCTGAACCGGTCGTTGAATTGGTACCTGAATGGTATGTCAGCCTTCACACTTGTTCCTTTTTGAGATGGAAGCAAAACATACGCATGGCCGCCCTGGGGAACACGCTTGTAGCTGCCATTGCGGGCTCTGAAGTACAGGTTCGCGGTCCAGTAGTTGGAGAAGTCATCGGCAAAGGCACAGGAGGTGCAGGTGGCGTGCTTGGCCACGTCGTCGGTGGGCATGGTGACGTTGAAGGCGTTACCGCCGACAATCTGGTGGATGTGAGGCGAAGGGACCTGGCCGGGGTTGACGAGGGGATCTATTCTGTCAACCACTATGTTGGCACATCCGAAGCGCAACATTGTGAGGCCACCGGGACCGCCAAACTGGGGCGCCGCCTCGGCCAGCGCCGAGAGGGCGAGGAATGCAGACTGTGTAGTCCACCGCATCGTTTCTACGGTTCTGGCACTATCGGTCGGAAGAAGCTGGTTCGCAGCGACGAGGAAGGGTGAACGCTCGAGTACGGTCGTCGAAGCAACGGCAAGGGATGAACGCGAGGACGAGGAGCGGCTGGCGGCAAAACGTGGGAAGTGCAGAAGGCAAGGCTCACCTCACGTTGTCTTATACCAGTCGAGACACGAGTATGGGGCTTCAACTAAACCGATGCAAATCTCGGCGCCAACATGAACTGCCGTTGTGGGTCGGCGAGGGTGAAGTGCCGAGTTCTTGGGACCGGTGGGCTGTATATGTCAATATCCGGATGGATATTGTTGCAATACTCAGGAGCCTATCGGAGTTATTGATGTGCGTTGGTATGCTTGATTGGGATTTGGTTGGGTAAATACGCCCCAGGGGGGGTGATATGAGCGCCTCAACGGCAAATTCCAAGTCGACGAGTGAGATCAGTGAACCAGACGTCATGGGCGTGGGCGGCCACGACTAGGTTGAGACTACGGCAGATATGTGATAGGATTGGGGAGACGAAATTAGCAGCACACATAGCAACGGTGTGAAGGTTGCCGAATTGGATCTCCAAGGTGCTTTTCCAACAACGCATCCGGGAAAGGCCCATAGGGGCAGGCATATCCAATGTCCGCCAAGCTCATGTGGTCGATATTCCCATCAGGAAGAGCGTCTTGATGTCAACATCCATTCACGGTATTTGAAGCGGAGGAGGTGGTCAGGACCCAGTTCTTGAAGTCACAAACACGTATCATTCCGCCGCACTTATGAGCTCGTCAGCAGACCTGCTTTTGGAAGCTCGACAACCCGGCTGAGGGTTGCCTCATGACAGGGCGGCACCAACGCGGGAACAGAAGTGTAGAAACGTCTAGAAGCTCGGATGCAAGTACCGAACCCGAAATGGGTGGCGACTAAGCCATACGCATGTTAAAAGGAGCCGTGTGAGGAACGGGCAAAAGGATCGAGGCGCTATTGCTATCTTTGCTAGTTAGCTGATGAATTCATTTAGGTTCCCATTGAGTATCCTAGATTGCCCTTCGTAAGCAAGAGTTCTCCTGGGATGAACTTGCACTAAACATACTTGTAATCTGCAAGTAACCATTGGGGTCTTCAAGCATGGAATACCACGGCTTAAGGCAAGTAACATGTAAGGTACAACAAGCCATCAATATTGGCTTGACCTCTCTCACAAAAGGTCGTGAATATAAGAATCGCACATTAAACAAGTCCGCATATACAATCCAACACTGATTTGTTCGGTGCGTGGTACATTGGGGACACTAGACGTCTAGATATGAAATGTGATAAAAGAAACCAAAGGACGGAAGAAAACAAGAAAGAGAGAAGAGAAATACTACAATATAGAGAAAAAAGTATAAGGAGGGAGAAGAGGAAGGCGAAAAGTAATTAAGAGAAGGAGAAATAGAAAGAGAAAGATAGAGAGGAAGAGAAATACAGCGAGGAAGAAGCAGTTAAAGAGGAAGAGGAAAGAAAGAAGAAATACTAGAATGACATAATAATAAAAGTAAGAGGAAAAATGGAGGATAAAGATAGAGTAGCAGGGGGAGATAAAGATAAAGATGAAGAGGAAAGAAAGAAAGAATATAAAAGGTCAAGGTGGAGGAAGATGATGTGTAAAACTTACTAACGTTACCTAATTCCGCTCTAACAAACAAACAAGGGTTTAAATTGTACTTTAATTCGCATCGTCCGTTCTTGCCAAGTACTTCCGTGCTCACATCGGCTTCTCTGCCTCGGCCCCCTTACTTAGAAAAAGATACGCATTCTTACGATGCCCACATCGCTGTTTAGAGGCGTGTACTCAAGATCGTCTATTGGTGTGGCCAGCCTCATATTGGGCAACTGGCCACAAAGGTGTCCTGATGATCAACTGTCAGGCAACTTTCTCTAAACGGCTTAGAGGGAAGCTTACTGAAGACACTCGTCAACTCAGCCTTGGCCAGATGCTCGGCGATGCAGCGATGGTCACCAAAACCGAACCCCAGGGGCTCCTCTGTGGGCCACGTCCGGTACATAGTAAATTTATCCGGGTTGTCGAAGATGTCCTCGTCGCGGTTCGCCGACTGGTTCGAGGCAATGATGCCCTCGTGGGCCTTGATGAGCTGCGGGATCGCCCATGTCGGTCAGTGATGGAAGCAGGGTACAACTTAGCAGAGGCAATCTTTACCTTTTCGCCAATTTCGACATCCTCCTTGGCCGTGCGTTTGATGGCCATGGCCGAGGCCGTGTGGTAGCGGCACAGCTCCTCCACGAATGGGGCAGCCCACTTGTCCGGGTCGGCCTTCAAGTCGGCCTGATGATCAGGATGCAGAGCCAGGGTCACGACGCCCTGCAGGCATTTAGTCGGCCGTCGTGGTCGCCCCAAACCGGGATAGACAATTCTCACCAGCGCAATCATGTTCACCATGGTCGCATTGCCCGCCACCAGCAGCAGGAAAGCCATCTGAACAGCATCGGCCATCTCGAGGTTCCCGCTCCCAACCTGCTCTGTCACCAACTGGCTGATCAGGTCGTTCTCGGGTTGCTTCATGCGTTTGTTGGCGAGTCCTGTGAGGTAGCGAAGGAGTTCACTAGTAGTCGCGTTAGCTGCACCCCTAACTAAACTTACTTCTGAATGACTTACTCGGCCGCTGCAGACGCCTCTCGCGCGGTTGAGCTTCCATTGGTGCGGATCGCATTCTGCTCCGTCAGAAACTCGAGATCCTCGAATGGCACACCGAGGATGGTGTAAATGATCTGATCGAAGCTCCGTCAGCTGTTGACTTTCCAGCTCAAGATTTAACAGAAAACCTTACATATGAGGGTACAGGCAGCGCAAACTCCTCCACAAAATCAACGGGCCCGCCTGCGCATCCCTTAACCTTCATCCGGTCGAGCAGGTCGTTGACTGTCTTGTCGATGTACGGCTGCATCGACTTGACCTTTTCAGGGGTAAACCACGACTCAACCATGTTCCTGTCATGAGATCATCAGCTCTTTTGTTCTCCGCCAAGAAAAGATCAATGATGAAACCCCCTTACCGGTGTCTCGTATGCTCCGGCGGATCCATATCCACAAACGTCGGCCTCTGCTTGGCAGCCTGCTTACCGCCGTCGCTGAACTCGGGGAACCCGGGCCTCCGTCGCTCCTGTGTGTCACATTTCCAACGCGGTCAGCAGCGCCCTCCCCATGAAGGTCAGATAAAGAGGCACCTTGGACAACCGCTGGTCCGTTGCCACCCGGCACACGTCGCGGTACTTGGTCACCAGCCATGCCGTCGACCCGTCGTATAGCCTGACCTTGGACACCGGGTTTGTCTTGCGCAGGCGCGCGAACTCTGCGGGAGGTTCCAGACCGGACGCACGCTGGAAGGGGAAGTTCGGAATATCGGCCTGTGATCCCAATTCGCGTGTAGTGCTCAGTAGGGCTTTTCTGGCACATATTGAGGCGCCGCGGGGGAGGAAGGCGGGTGAGTGATGCAGGGACACGCGTGCTACTCGGGCTGAGTACATGTTGTCGGACCGGTGATGGGGATTTCTGAGTTAGTGGTGAATGTGCAGGCTTAATATATCTTGCTCAGAGACGCTGTGTTGTGTTGGCTGCTACCTTCCTAAAGATCATATTGACTTGGATCGCACTGCGCCCGAGAAGATGCTCAGCATGCTCTTCTTAGACACGAGCCAGCATGTGAGGCGGATTGCAGGTCCGGAATGTGATGCTTGAGATTTCATGCTGCTTTTTCTTGTCCCACTTCGAAGGGATCACGTCACCGCTCCATATTTATGACAAGTCCAAAATAGCCTGCTCAGATGAGAAGACCCCGGCTCAACGACACGTCCGCTGGGATTGGATGTTTTGCGTTAGTAATCCCGGGCCTGGTTGCTTGCATTGTCTGTCTTTCATAAAAGGGTTCAGGAGGAACCTGGACAAAGTAGATCGTTTGCACAAACGTCGTTGCTCCTTCTTACGTATCACGAGCTGTTACTGCCGGTAGCGCAGGCTCCTGGTTTCCCTCACACATGACAGAGCTTGATCTGTGAGGTCTCTCTATCCCTGCGGCGGTCTGATTTGTCCGATGATGCATTTCAGGTGCCGATTCCACAGCTAGGACAAACCTCAACGCCTCATAGGAAGCCCAAGACTCGACCAGTAAGTTGCCATATCCGACAGAGAGGTCTCATGTCTACCCATTCAGTCTTGTAAGCCGGAAAACGAGGCTGGTACTACTCGGGCCTCAATCTTACCCCTGAGAGCCGAGCCAGCGAACGTCCGAGGTCCATGAAAGACGGTTTGTGCGCGGCTGGATTGGATTCTTTGCACGCCTTTTGCCGCTATCGAAATGATTGTTCGGTACCATAATCGACCATCGGACTCTGATTGGACTCATCAGCTGAACATGATCGACATTCCGGTCCCGAGCAAGATGGTCATGAGGACAATGGCATCAGTGTCATTTCATGGAGCAGGGCTGAGTCTGTATGTAAGCTATACGGAGCATGGGAATGCAACTTGAACGGAGGAAGAAGACAAGAGCGCGTGGATGAAACAAGGGTGAGGGGGAGAGAGGGGGTTTATAAGATTTCGTGCCTTCTCTTCGCGCACCGTCTGCCGACGTTGTTCCTTCCCATCACACATTGATGTCACTGGCGGAGTACAGGAAGTCGCGGCTGGGAAGCTGATATTGGGCATCTAGCCAACTTCATCGGCCGAGCCTTTTCGAGTGGCGATTGACGCTCGGAACTTGTCTGCGGAGCTGTGTTCTTGGTGGGTATAAACCAAGTTCTGACAGATGTAGGCTCCAATCTAGGATCACAGTCGCGAGTCAGCCGCTCAGTGAACTCAGCCTGATGCTTCTTAGCGCAGTCTGCTTTGGAAATGCTGACTACGAAGTTGAGAACCTCGAATCCGGGAAATCCGGCCGCCCAGGGCGACCTGTGTCATTCAAAAAAAGAAAAAATGTCACCAAGTCCCCTGCCGCGAAGCTGGTTGCCCTCAATGGCCTCAGGGTCGCGGCCACCTCATGTCAGACTGCAGCCGATTGATCTACTTGGATTAAGTGCAAATCCATCCATTTCGAGGTGTTTCTAATTCGATGTGAATCACACCGGGACCGCCGTATGTCGCCTGCAGTGGCCATCCGCATCATATGTGTTCGACTGCATGCATGCAACGCATGCACATATGCAACCATGGAGTCATAGAATAGAGCATGACGCTCCTGTACTTAACTAGAGATACAAGTTGAAACTCGTGTTCTAATTGTTTTGAATGTCTGACCTCCCAGAATTGACATCAATCTGGCCCTGCAACGACAAAAACATAACGACACAGCAATTCCACGGCAGACTTAACTACCCCTGAATTGATTCAACCACCGCACTTGAGCCCTCAATCACCTAGAGAACTGCAACCGCCCATCTCACTTCCAGCCCACAGTAAAGCGTGATCATGTCCCACTCCGCCTCGCCCAACGTACGCGCAATCCGCGCCGCCCTCGCGAGGAGGCGCATGGCCCGCCGACTGGGTTTCGATTCGGCGGATGCGCTCGAACGCTGGGAGGGAGAGATCGTCCTGGACCACTTCGCAAACTTCATTTGCGATTACCTTGCCCTGGGGTATACCGTCGAGCCCGACCGCGCGAAACTCGTGGCGTACATTGACCTGGACCGGGCGGTCGACGCGCGGATCCAGATGCTCGAGGAGAGACGGTTTGAGACTGCGCTGGATCCGGATAAGTGTGAATGTAAGTCACCTCCATCTCCCTTTTGAAGGGAAATAACAAACAGAAGGGGAATGGGCTGACAGAGGCGTTTTTGGTGACATAGGGACGGCTAGGGACCATTACAAGCAGTTTGTGGTTGGGGTCGTGGCGGATGACCGCTGGCTAGCAAACTATGGGCTCGAGGTGGCGGAACTTTGTAAGCGTGGTTGGACGGCCAGGGAGACGACGATCAAGCTGGTCAAGTTCCTGGACTTTTTGATACAGGAGTGGGTTGAGGGATCCGGGGATAGTTCGAACAGGGAAAAGACAGGGCAGGTACAGGTTTGGCGGGTCTTATGATGCAGTGGTGATTCTCATGGTCAAGGGGCAAGATGTCTGGTTCGAGTGAGAGGTTTCGGGTTGGGTTTGCAGCATTCAGTGTAAAGGAGGTCTTTTCAGGCTTCAAGATAGATATGCATTGCTTTTAATGGCATTCTGTATTAACAGTAAAAATAGATAAAGCTCTCTCAGACTATCCACCAAGTCTAACGTGCGACAATGCGGAATTGCTGAGTTTCAAGTTGTCTCCCACATGCAGGAAAATACTGACAGCCGTGCATGGGTATAAGAAACGTGGAGATGACTCATGTTTGATAAGCAAAGCTGGGGAAGACTTATAAGGTAGGCAAGGGTGCAAGGACTAGGACCCTTGGACCATTTCGAATCAAGGGAAAGTTGGAGACGGTGATTGTGCTAGATATAATGGTTCATTGAATAGTGTATACTACATTGCTATGAATCCGTCTCTATCGTGATCATGATCCCCAACACAAATACTAAAATGCTATGCCTGAAAGGAGTGGTACGAACAGAAACCCAACCGTGTGCCATGCATGCTGATGAATATATCCAAAAACTCTAACCGAACCCCTCATCCATCTCGCTCCAAAATCAGATTCCAAGCCGCGCTTAGACGCTGGCAACGCAGAAGGGAATGCCGTTGAGGTACTCGCAGTGGCTGCGGTCAGGGCAGTTGCCGACGAGCTGCAAGACGTTCTGGGTGTCGCAGACCTGGATGGCGTAGGCGCCGAAGCAGTCGTACTTGCCCGGGGTCGAGCACGACTCGCCGGGGCTCTGGCCGGGGCGACCATTGCGGGCCTGGACCTTGTTGGCGGTGCAGAAGGGGAGGTCGAAGCCGTTCTGGGGCAGGTTCTGGCAGGACGTGTCCTTGGGGCAGTCGCCGACGAGCTCCCACTTGCCCTGGATGTTGCAGATCTCGATGCCCGTGTTTGGGGTGGTGCAGCGGTAGGTGCCGAACGTGCAGGTCTCGGTGCGCTTCTCAGAAGGAGCAGCGAAGGCAGAGGCGGCGAGGACAAGGGCGGCAGCGATGTACTTCATTGTGAATGTGTTTGTGGTGATGTCGGTGTTGTAGGACGAGAGTAAGTAGAATTGAGTCTGGAGTGGTTGAGTGAGAGTCAAGTTGAGTTATGAGAGTCAGAGATGTTGTGATTCGAGTGCTGGATGTTGTGATGATGAGCTGGAAAGGGAGGCCAACTCAGGTGAAGACCGTGGCATCTTATACTCGAGAACATAACCGACCTCTCGGAATCCCAACTCGCTGCATCATCAGATACTCAACGCCACCTGGCGGAGTCCCCATGGCAGTGGTTCACCGGCAGCATCGCCATGACGGTTCCCGCCCCAGATTCCGTGAGTCGAGGAGGATACGAAGAATCCAGAGTCGTGAAAGTCCAAATTGGGACAAATCACGAGTTTCTATGGGGTAACACGAGTCATCAGCCGTAAGAGGTGAGATTTACACGGCAATGCTCAGCCTAGGGAGCGGCCATGGCAGGGCAAAGAGGCTGGCGCTGCCTCAAGGGCTACTGGAGCATTGAATGTTGTTCGGCCCCGGCCCATTGGTTCAGCTTCCGCCCCATCCATAAGAGCAAGAGTCATGCATCCCTAACAAAGGAAGACGCAGCGACTGCTTCCGCGAGGGAGACCCGGACACGAACACACTGACCGCATAAAAGGCCCCAGTCGGCGTGCAGCCTCAGCACACGGAAATCGTCGAATACGAGCAAGCCTCGACAAAGTTATTTTTAGTTCAGCCCCGGACTCAGGACTCGGGAGGAGCCACTAAGCCGTCCCCACCTCTCCCGGTTCGGTGGCGGGGGCGGAGACCTCCTTCCTGAATCATATGGAACCCGCAGCGACGGATGCTCCTGCCAATGGCATACTAACACCCGGCAGCTGATTCGGAGCAGGACCAATGGCGATCTCCTTACGGATCATGGTACTGTAACTCCCAAAGTTATCTCCCTCTGCGGAGGAATTCAGACCTCAAAGTCTCGCCTCATATCCGACCACTTGGATTCTGACGGTTTTGCCGGAGTCGTCGAGTTCGATCAATGGCAACACGATGGAGATTCTGGGCCTTAAAAGATAACTGTCAGCATGACACTGTTCCTCCCCAAAATCTGCGAAGATCAATTATTTGGCATGCCATCCGACTCCAAGCTGACCACTGCAGGCATCGGTGATGCCATCGAGTGTGAACGCGCGGATCTCCAATCTCACCTCACTGCCACCGTCAGCCGCGCAAGTGTTGGTGAATGGGCAAGTCCGGACACTTGAACATGAAAAGTGAAAATTTTTGTGTCTTTATTAATTAGTTACCTGACGTTCACTCGGAATTCAACCTTCAGTCTCAATCAACCTGCAATAGCCAATGACGTTAAAAGCTATAGAAAATCGGAGAGAACACGAGAACTTAACTACACGACTAAGAGCGAGTCCAAAGAAGCCACAAGTGAACAATACCCAGAAGTTGAATTCCTGACAATCAAACTCAGTGTTGCTGCCGCCTCCCCGGAGATCGCTGACCGCTAACTACCATGGGAGCCCGCCGCTGAACAGTAGCTCTAGAACCATCCTAATATCAACAAACAGCAACATATTAATTCTCACCACAACCTAGTATGGCACCGACCCCAGCGCATCCTCTCATTCTCTCCCCATATACCCCCCCTAATAATTACCGCCTCCTCACCCTCCCGATCGCAGCATCCACAACATCAACCCAACCACCTCATCCCCCATCCTAAGTTCATACCTCATCCCGCCCTCCCCAACCTGATACACGCCGACTCCACCGCTCGAGCCCCGACCACCAGCATCCTCCCATCGCTTGAGATCAAACACTGTCACCCCCTTCAGATTCTCAAACTGCCCAAACGGCGCAAACCCGGTTCTCCGGGCCGCGTCGGGCCACCGCCAGACCTCGGTCGCGGACGCGACGTCGACGATGACGAAGGTGTTGGACGCCGCGTTGCAGTAGGCGAGGCGGCGGCAGTCTGGCGAGATGCATGTTTGCGCGTTTGGTGGGATAGAGAAGATCTGTGTGGTGTTGGTCAGCAGGTCCCAGACGAGGACGAGACGGTCCGGGGCGGACGGGGTGAGGTTCGGGGAGGTCGCCTGGAGCTTGGGGTAGGATGATTTGCTGGTGAGGCTGAAGGATGTTCTTGCTGGCCGTCGTGCTTGTGGTGCTTGTGGGGCTGAGCGGGGTGGCTGCGCTGCTTGTCTGCTCGGAAGATCCAGACCGAGACGGCGGTGCTGCCGTGTGCGGCGAGACAGGCTGGAAGGGCGGTTTGGAGAGCCGGATAGTCGCGTACGCGTACGCGGTAGGGTTCGTGGCGTTGTTTGTCCGGAAGGGACGTGTTGGACTGTTTGGGGGTCTGCGAGTGAAGTTTGGTGACCGGCGCTACGTGCCAAGCGATGAGAATTGTTGAGTTGAGGCGCGGAGGGTCGCCTGGTGTTGGGGCCGCTGTTGCCACGAGGATGGGCGAGTCGGAGCTGTAGGCAAGTTCGGGGAACTTGGGTAGGAACGGCAGGTCGGCTTTCAATAGCTCGATAGAGTGATTGGGGTCCTCGCGGAAGGGAGTTTTGGCTCCAAGATGCCGGGCGAGGAAGTATCGGTCGATACGCTCAATTTTGGGACGGTAGACGGCCAGACCTGCATAGTCGTTGTGGAACGCATCGCGTGGGCTGGCTGCCCACCGGTGCACTTCCTCGATAACCTGGACCTTTTTGACGCCATTGCTGCCCTTGGCAAAGTTGTAGATCTCGAGTGCAAGTCCGAAGTGGGAGGTAGTTCCAATCAGCGTGGCGTTCTTGGAGAGGATCGCGTGGCTGCGGATGAAGTACTCGCGGGACTGCACGCGCGGCTGAACATAGGATGTGATCTTGATGGTTCCATGGAGTGCGTTCTTGGGGATAGACCAGATTTTGACATTATTGCTGTGCTTGGTCGCTACGTAGCACGAAGTGGGCGAGGTATCAATGTGCAGGATCTCGGAGCCCTTGCCCTTGTCTGTGAGGTGGCGCTTGGGAGTGACATCGATAGGAGGCTGATGTGGACTCTGTTTTACCGGAGCTGGTACGATGACCTGACTGGCCGGGGTCGCGGTGTTGATCCAAGTCTGGCTATACTCGGGTGGTGACGAGGAGGGCATTGGCGATAGTGGGGCTGGCGATGACGCCCCCCTACGCGGAAGTCCTGGATTCATAGATTCTGGGTGATAAGCCGATACAGGATTTATCGTGAACAAAGCACGTGGGATCCATCCGCTGCTGCTTCCACCGGAACCATGCGAAGCGAAAGATGTCGCTCGCGACTCCTGTGGGAAGTAACCGACTTTGGCGTCCTGGGTTGAATCCAGGGGATAGAGAGGAGACTTTAGATCGAAGTGTCTTGGGGAAGCCCGAGGCTCCGATCGCATGGCGAACGGACAGCTATGTTTCCAGACTGGTTTGATGAATGGCGGCGGAAAATATCGTTGAGGCAATAGATGGATGGCCTTCCTGCGTTGGCAAGGTTGGAGATCCTGGCAGACTCAGTGGTGATCTCGCTGGCTCTTGGATCGGGTAGAACGATGCAGGCTCCTCAGTGTAATACGACAGGGCGATGTTATTCTCAGGATGCCATGACACAGCAGGCTCGGGCTCCCTCTTGGAGATGGCGTGTCGCGTCGGTCGTGAGCCAGTTGCACTGGAGCTGACATGGTCCGGTATGTCAGTGATTGCAACATGTTTGAGACTTTCCCTCTCGCTCGTGGGATATGTTTTGCTGCCTCTTTTAGCACAGTCTGCGCAATGAAAACTTCCGTATCGAACGGGGAGCGGTACCTCGTGACCCCAGCATCAGTGTCGTAATGCGAGGAGGATCTTCTGGGGCGATATATGCAGCTCAACACTAGATCGAAGTAGGGTGATAGCACTAGCTCAGCTTCGCTGTTTTGGTGACTCGTGGATTGAGCTAGATGCTGAAGCCGCTTCACCTTGGCCGTAATGCTGTCATTGGCTGTGTTCACATCAGATGCGCTGTCTTGTAAGATGTCCCTGCTTCGACCCGAGAGTTAGACTCCATAATCATCGAGCACAGGGGCAAGGAACGGAGGATGGGGTGACATACAGGCTAGCGATCTGGAGGGCCAAGGCTAGTGCTTCCCGGAATATGTTCAGGCTGCTGCGGCAGCCCGAGATCTCACTCCGTCCGGATTCAACCCATTCCCACTTCTCCGAGCATCGTGCAAGGATTGTGTCAATGTAGATCAGAGCGTTGCCGAAGCTCTCGAGAACCAGGAGCATCTGCGCTTGGAGCGCCGCCGACACGGCCGGCTCATGTCTCACCAGTTCCAAGACCAGTCGCAAGTCAGGCAAATAGCGGGTGACGGCAGCGAGGTCGGCGTGGGCCACGCGCACCGAGCGGATGAAGCGCGTGATGATGGCTGAAGTTGACGAGACGCCTGAAAGGAGGGACTCAATGGGCCGGGCAATTGTCAGCATCTGCGGCCGCTCCATGGCCAATTCGCCTTCCATGCGAGGCCTGGATGTTATCTCGAGTCTTTCTATCAGCTGAAATGCTGAGAGCAAGATGCAAGAATCACTGCAGTGACCCCACACATTGGGACCCAACCCAGCTGTGAGAAAGAATATAAGGCATGGGAGCCAGGGATATCTCTCGGTTGACTTGTCGACGACACGTGGAATCCCCGGCCATGACAAGCAAACATTGATAGATGGAGATGCGGGGTCCGTCCAGTCCCATCATGTTTTGTCTCTTTGTCCTGATGCGCTCAGTCCCGACGTCCACCGAGTGCGCTCCCAGACAAAGGTATTTCAACCATTGGTAGATTGTGGCTCTTGGCTGGATTGGGATAAAACATGCCGGTTTGCAGCTCCTGCGTGCATGTGTCACGCATTGTCTACTGTGCAACTCTCTTTAGACTCTCGATGCGGCGAAAAAGTCGTCGCGCGGCAGACGAGGAAACGAGTCGGGACCAAAGCCTCGAGGCGCTGTGAAGCTTAAAGTCTCCAACCTTAAGGACTGTCAGCTTTGAACTCGGCTGAAAACTTGATGACGACCCCTTCCTACCTCTCCCTCTCGAACAGAATTTCCGTTTCGCTCCAAGGTTCAGTCCCAGGAGTCGTTGACGCGCCGGGCACAGTGCCCACGACGCACTTCTCACAAAATCTCTGCTTTGCTGCCAAGGTCTGGAACCAGGTCGGATTGGCTGCGGTACCGAACGGATACAGTGTCTAAAGTCTCACGACGGAGATGATACAGGCCCTGGAAACAGGCTTTAGAATTCTCGACGCCAAACATACCTAACTATTCGAACGCCGAAACACCTTTCTCCCGTGCACTACTTCAAGAACTGTAATTACAGTACTCTGGCCAAGCAAAGGGATTACCCGGGTCCAAAATGCTGCAAAAGGAAAAGTCGACCGACTGCGCAAACTGGGGATCCCAAGCCCTGAAAAGTGCGTCGTCGTCAACTAAGAAACCGTCAAGACTGCCATCTGATAACCCCGTCAGGGGTGAGGTGTCGTTGGATCCTATCGCCTGAGGTAGCACGGAGCCTGGTAGGGGTATCGCGTCGTCTAGCTGGGGGTATTCATATGCTGATATGGAGATGTTGGGCTGTGCCTGGTGCAAGTGAGAAGTGCCCCCGGTGCCTGGGCCGTGCAATGGTACGCCGGTTGAGACATAACTGTTGCCGGCATTGTTGTTGTGGCCTGCAGTCCATGTGGCGGCCCATGTCAGGGGCATAGACTGCGGTTGCTGTCCTTCACGTTGATCGGATGAGGACGATGTTGTGGGTGATGGTAATGGGCCACGAATATTGGTTGACGGGGCAAGAGAGCTGTTGACGTCGGCAATTGTTGATCCGTCGCCATGAGTGGGTTCCGCTGGATTGCGTGGGCTGCAGGGCGGCGCATCAGGGGGGGTATCGGACTCGTTAGCGGCCGGCGAAGGGTTCCGTCGAGAAGGGTTGGCTGTTGCTTGTCGATCATCTCCCTTATGCAGCTCTCTAGCCGCGACCTGTTCAGGCTCCATGCTGGTTTGCTCTTGACTGGCCCTGCTGGCTTCAGCCGACCTCTCGGTCCGCTTTCTGTTCAAGATTTCGCCCCGGTCTAGCTTCAACATGACCGCCTGCCCCAGCTGCCCGTTGATACGTGCGCTGCTCCATATGTCGGCCATGCTCTGCAATACGGGAAGCACTTTCTTGAAGTCGGCTCCTCCCCGGGTCCGAAACATCGGCAGTTGGCTAAACCGCCACTTGCGGTACGCCACGCTCAGAGACAATGTAAGGGCGTACGGAACAAAGGGCAAGGGGCTGAGCTTGTAGTCCCGGACGATATCGAGGATGCGATCGGCGGAATAAGATCGCCGTGCATTCACGCTGCTGGGCGGGAGATGCTGAGTGCGAGGACCAGGGAGAGTGTCACACTCCGGAGCAGTTCGAAAACGGTTGCGGGGCATGCGGACCGAGAGCGCGCCGATGGCGTGGTACAAGACTTCGAGGGTGACTTGAAGTGTAGTGGCGGTCAGCACTCGCTCAACAGTGTCGAGAAGTTCAGGGACGTACCAAGAAGAATTTCTGGCTCGTATTGCGCGCCTGCTTCGAGGGCCAGGCGTTCAAAAACGGGCATGTCGATGTAGCTCACCTTGGGATGTGGACGATACATCTCAATGACTTGGTCGAGCAGAAGGATCAAAGAGATGAAGAGCCTGAAAATGGGCGAATCGTCTGCGTCTGGTCGAGGGTCTTGTATGAGGTCAACGTTGTGGAACATGAGCGGCCGCGCATAGATAGTGCCGATCAATCGGTCGAGGGCGTAGAGGCATTTGAACAGTCTGGCCCCGGCGGCCTTTCCGTTCCCTTCGGTCTGTGTTCTCGCCAGAAGTCCTAGATGGACCCCGTGTGTGTGCACCAAGCTGACTAGTTTGGCGTACAAGGTGAGCGGTGCGAACCGCTCGATGGGATCTGCCGGCTGCCAGTAGAGGCAAGTCAATGCCATAACTTGAATTTGGCAGGTGAGCGATATTTGTTGGCCCTCTTGCAGCTCGGCGAGTCGGCCGTTGATGAAATTGGCCACTTCACGGGAATACTCGTCATACGACACGATATGAGCTTTGGCACTCTCGTCCGTCGGCGACTTGAATGTGAGTAAGCTGCGGGCATCTGGGTCGGTGGCCGCGGCGAGGCACACGGATGCTTGAATCAGCTGACGGAGGCACTTTTGCTTGGTGAGATCCGTAAGCGTTGTCTTCTCGTATATGGGAAAGATTGGATGGATTTTGGTGAGATAGATATCTCTCAAAGCCGCCCATTCCGTGTCTGAGGGCATCACCTTGTCGGCGAGACCACGGACAACGATTGATTGGGCCAGGGTTGCAAGCTTGGCTGTATCCTGGATATGAATTGTGAGACGCGTGCCGTCCCTCCGGGGCACGGAGAAAAACGGGCCTGGTGTTTCTGCTACAACTTGAGGACTATCAATGCTGACTGTTCTTTGATGCTGAGCGGGAGAGTCTTTCGGCTGCTGCGGAGAGGTTGGCGGCAGAAATCCGATCTGGTGGTCAGGAGCCTCATCCGTCTGCGTCGGTTCTTGGGTTGGGGGCAGATTGGCTTCCACGAGAATGCCTTCCGGATTGAGGTCTCCTAGAAATGGCGGGGCCGGTGAGGTTTGCCGCGTTTGGTCGGGTCGTGGGGTGCTTCTGGATGCCTTGTCGATAGCGTGGTGAAAGAAGCGCAGAAGTTGGGCGGCAGCATCGGACGCGTCTCTGTCAGAAGAGCTTCCCGTACTGTTTGTTGGAGCACGCCGCGACGGTCCACGGTCGATGGTGGCAACGCCATTGTCTTGGTCTATTTGCGCCGCGGCCGCTGTGGCTGAATCTTCGACATGGTGACAGCGTTTCTGGAAATGTCCGGGTTAACAAATACGAAGCCAAGAGGAGCCGGCATCCAAGATACCTTACGCTTCCTGCAAGGGAGACAGGCTTGATGAACCTGCTTCCTCTTTACAGGCAATCCGGCGGCGTCGTGCTCCACAAACTTGACTCCGCCAGGTCTGGTACTGCCGGCCATCATTGTGCGGGGTTGAACCAAGGTCAAAGACGAACCCACTCCGTATCGGCTACAAGTGAAATGTATAGCACCTGCCGTGCCCGCTGTTGGGAGTTCGCTGCTGGGACGATGAGGATGCCGTTGCCCGCCTATCGAACGAGGAGACTGAGAAGCTGGTATGTGGAATCTTTTTGGAACCACGAAAAAAGCCGGTGGGGCATCGGAGACGGACTTTCCTTTTCCGGATCTTCCGCTCGTATCAGATATCGGCAACCCTTATTCGACAACGTAACGTTACTCTAACCCTACATCGCCTACCCTGGCTCGCCTGGATTGTTCACGGCGTGCCACCGCCAGACTTGGGAAGAAATGGCTGCCTCGTGTTGGTATTTAAGCTTCGTTCTTCTTTCAATGTCTTGCTTCCTTTTCTTCCTCTCTTTTACGTCTTTCTTGTCATCTTCATTGCTAACAAATCAACTACCTTAGAGCTATGCACCTTTAATATAATACCAAGCAACATTCCAAGCAGCTCCTTCCGCAAATGAATCAGTGTGTGTTTGAGCACTAGCATCTCGAATGAAATGAATCGCGGTCATGCGGAGTTCAAGTTGTTCAATGACTCGCAACGGTTCTACTTGCGGCAACATTCCAATTGTCGCAGCCCATGGTGGAATTCCCTCTCTGGGAAATGACGTCGATCTGTGAGAGGGTCTGCCCAATGTGGCACCTCCGTGCTTCGTGCCCCGACACAGAGTAAGCCGTCGAGGCCTATTAATCCGACAGCTTGCAGGATATTGAAATGGACATATGGTTACGCTTCCGCTCTCCTCGATCGGCCACTTGACAGCACCGTTAGGAAACCTCGACCAGACGCATCGCCATTCTCTTCCGCCTGCCCTCCCCGCGGCCTGTCAACACCTGCAAAAGTTTCCGAATTCTCTGAACTTCCAGGTTTCTCACAGCGTTCCTGATGCTTTCACGATCAGTCCGCCGCCGATGCGGCCCTTTCAGTGTCCCAGCACTTCAGCTCTCACGACAGCATCTCCGGAGTGTCACATCCATGTCGGCCATGAACTCCTCCCAAACTGGCAAAGCAGAAGGCGACATCTCAGATACATTTGCCTCGCTCTCGGGGCGGAAAGCCCAACCCCTACCAGACCGCTTCCGGGAGCTTAAGCTCCGCCTGGTCAACGGCCACGAAGACGCCATCATCGCCAGTTGGAAACGCCTCCTCGCAACCCTCCGTCACGAAAACGACCTCATCGCCCGCATTGGGCCCGCCATCATTCCTCAAGTCCGCTTCAGCCACCTCCACCAAGACCTCGCCGCCCTCAAGTACGAAATAAAGAAGCGCGGCGTGGCCGTCGTCCGCGGCGTCATCCCCGAAGACGAGGCCCGCGCCTACAAGTTTGAAATCGAAGAATACGCCCGCCAAAACCCCCAGACCCGGGGTAAGCTCCTTCTCATCCTTTTCATTCAACCCCATTTTCGGAACCATTATCACAAGAAACCTTCCTAACAATCATGAACAGGCTTCCCACCCAACAACCCGCAAGTCTTCGAACTCTACTGGTCCACCTCCCAAATCCGCGCCCGCTCCCACTCCTCCTTACTCACCACCCAAACGGCGCTCATGACGAACCTCTGGCACGTCTCGGATTCTTCCGTCCCCGTCTCCCTGCACACGCCGCTCTGCTACGCCGACCGGCTCCGAATCCGGCAGCCGGGCGACGCACAGTTTGCGCTGGGACCGCACCAGGACGGCGGGAGCGTCGAGCGGTGGGAGGAAGACGGGTATGGCAAGGGTGGGGTGTATGATTCCGTCTTTAGGGGGGAATGGGAAAAGGGGTATGACCCGTTCGATGCGGCGGGCCGGGTGGGTGCGGTGACGGATTTGTATGGAGGGCTGGGGGCGTGCAGTATGTTTCGCATGTTTCAGGGCTGGTTGGCCATGAGTAGGGCGGCGCCCGGGGAGGGGACGCTCTTGGTGAATCCGCTGGTCAAGGAGAGTGTGGTATATGCGTTGCTGAGGCCGTTCTTTAGGGCGAGGAAGGCTTTGGAGGAGGTCGGTGGGGATGAGGGGATATTCTTGGACGAGGGGAATTGGGAGTTTACGGCTGGGGAAAATATGGACAGTTCGCTGCAAGGGGCGATCCCTGGATGTGCGCAGGAGTTCCCCGAGGGGATGCACCCGCACCTGGAGCTGGAGCGGACCATGGTGCATGTTCCGGAGGTCCGGCCGGGGGATTATGTCGTTTGGCATTGCGACAGTAAGTACCATCTGGTTGGGGCTGGAGTGAGGCGATGGTGAGTTGCTGACGTTCCGCAGCTATCCACGCTGTTGATAAGAAGCACGGCGGCAAGGGGGACTCGAGCGTGCTCTACATCCCCGTGTGCCCGACTACCAAAGCCAGCGCGGAATATGTGGTCCGGCAGCGGGCTGCATTTCTTCAAGGCACGCCTGGGCCGGACTTCCCGGGTGGTGAAGGCGAGTCGAGGCATATTGGGAGGGCTACCGAGGAGTATGTCAGAAGATACTGCCATCCCCTCGGTGTTCAGCAGATCGGCCTCGGCAAGCTCGTCACGGCGGAAGATGACACCACCGGCGGCAAGGTTGGGGTCCAGCAGGCAAACCATGTCTTGGGTTTCTAGGAACAGCAGCTGCGTGGGGTCCTCGAAGGTTTTGGAAGGTCTATAACAATCAACAGTTTGATTTCCAAGCCTTCTTATGCACTATTCCACAGCCCTCAATGTCCGATCCTTCGAGCCTTCAACCCTTCAATCTCCCTCACTTCTCCGCCGGGGCCTGGAAGAAATCCGACAGAAAATGCCTCAAGTAATTCGCCTTGCCCAGCTCCAGGCCCTTCATCCGCAAGATGCCGTACGCGATGCTCAAGTGGAAGAACAGGTTCGGCAGGGCGTAGCCCAACACGTACTGCGACGTCGTCGCCTCGGCGGAATCGAGCGGCCCCATCTTGATGGTCTGCGTTTTTCCGGTCGCGGCGTCCAGGTCCACGCGCTTGACCGTCTTGAGCAGGTCGAGCGTCTTGTTCACGCGCGCGACCAGCTCGTCCAGCGTCTTCTCATTGTCCTCCCACACCTCCACCTCGCGCCCCGCCAGGCGCTCCACCATCTTCTTGGCGAAGTTGGAGACGATCAGGATCTGGGTGCTGAAGGGCAGCATGTCCGGGTACAGGCGGGTCTCGGCCAGGGTCGCGGCCTCAGGGTGTGCCTTGGCCTTCTCGAGAAGGTCGAGCAGGGTCAGGAGGGCGTGGTTGCTCACACCGATGGTGCTGTCGTAGAGCGGGATTGTGGCCATTTTGGAGGTGGTCGCGGGGCCGACTCGGTCGAGTCGAAACGACTTTCAGTTGAAGTTGTTTGCCTGGTGGAGCTGGCTGGTTGTGCTTTGAGCGTTGAACTGAGGATTGATGTCGGGATTTCGAGACTGGCATCCGTGGGGAAGCGGTGATCTTAAATTCTCTCCTGCTTCCATAGAAAGGAGCCGCAGCTTTTCCATTCGATTCCTCCGGAGGGCGTCTCCGCCGGGTTTAACATGACCGTCGGGTCATCTCGACGCACAAGCCAGTTGTTAATTCATGATCCGATTTGAGCTGAACGGCGACCTCCACAATGCTGCAAGGGTCGCACCTGGTGCGAATTAATAATCATTATCTGGTTGAACAGCACCGCTCCAGCACAGAGTGAAGATCGCGTTGCACGCCCTGGGCGGAGGAATCCGTGTATCGAAATCCCGACTGTCTTCGGGGAATAGTTCTGTCCAGCGGCAGACCACGTATGTCGCAGCTGACAAATGCAATCTCTTCCCGTAGAATTAGTACAGATGCTGAGAAATCCAGCTGAAAAACGATCGCCCGTGGCTGGCTTTCCCCTCGCTCCAATCTTGGGCCGGACAAGCGGGCCAATTCCAAACCCGGGGGTGGTACAGAGCCATGAATACTGGGGCGGTGTCTAGCTGAGAGACGGACATTGGCCATAAAGCAGCCAAACAGCCTGGGTGATTAAGTTGAAGCAGTGAAGGTCCCATCAACAGAAGATCGACCGTGTCCCCGAACCTGGAAGTCTAAGGGAACCAGTTGGGAGGGATGGCATGAAGTTGAGATAAACTTTATGCTTGTTTGTGTAGGGCCAGAGAAGTCAGGGGCAATCCCGCAAACTCCGGGCCCGCACGCAATCCGAAGCCAATGGCTGCGAGTTTTCCCTCCCTTCCTGGCAAGGTTTCGATGGCGCTATTCCGGGAAAAGTGGCGATGATTCAGCGCGGTGCGTTCCTTCAAGTTCTGATGCCTCTTGACTTCGTCACATGGTCCTAATCAGTACTTTCTAGACCGCACACTTTCCTCAAGTGACGCGAAAAACGCCATTGTTGTCCCGAGGTGCTCTTGACCGGAATCATCCTCACAAGACATCAGATCCACCAGGTCAAAGAACCAAGCGGATGTACTCGGCCGACTTCAGGGCTCAGTTTGGACTCTTGGAACATTAATTCCCTGCTTACCTTATCCTTTCGTCGGGGGGTGTTCAAATGTCCAATTTGACAAACAGCTCGAGAGAGTTGAGACTTCCAGCGAACGCAATCCCATCCAATGCACGGCAGCATGGGATTTCGGTGATGACTTATCGTCAGATTTCCATCATTGACGCATTTGAGCCTCTAATGAGAGTCCCTGAGTGTCCGTCTCTGGGCCGGGTCGCAACATGGAAAATCCGGGGCCAACCGCCAAGACCCACCAAGCCGAGAGTTCCTGAAATCCCGCTCAAACTTGCTCACCATGTTGGTCTTCGTTTCTTGCGCAAACTGGATCGACTCCTGACCGAAAGAGTGCAGCAGGTACAGCAGAGGTATCTGGTACTTGTGTGGCCGGTGGAGAATGGGGCCTTGGAGAGTGAAACGCTCAGGCTGCGAGCCTCTTGCGGCCTGAACCTTCGCAGGAGGCCGCTGCGAGAATGAACCTGACTACCTGAGGTACATATTGGTGCTTCAACGCTGCTCTTCCCTACGACGCGCATACAGGCACCAACGTAATAATGCTTCACTAGGACCTTGAATTCCTTCATCGATGTTGTTTCCGTCTTGTTTCTGGTACAATGCATGTACAGTCTCTGGGCACGGGGCCCAAAACGCCGTGTTTCGAATTTGGCTGGAATGATCATGGCGGAATTCTTGGCTGTGACCCCCAGACGTCCAGTCTCGAGGTCCAGACGGAGTCAGTGTTGCGTGATGCATTGCACATGCATGGCAAGGTAGATAAAACACCTAAATGCCCACCGGAGTATAATCGACCACCTCGCCTCCTGCACATCACGGCGTCTCTGTGCTCCTTTACGCGAGCAATGCCGGGTGTCGAGATAACGGGATGCTGACCAGTTCTTCGAGACGAGTGGATCTTCTCTCACGCCGGTAGCCGCCCTCCCTGGCCAAACACGATCAACGTCTGGTGCATCTACTTCGAACAACTGAGCGAGACAGCATCGCCATCATCATGAAGCCAATACGCGGCATTCTTGGGAGCATCGCCCTCACCGCGCTGCACGCTGGCTATGTGGCTGCTGACGGGGTGGGCTTCATCGGATACGGCAAGACTCTGTACCACCCAACCTGCGCATTCGCTTGCCGCAATGTCATCAAGGGGTGCAAGTTGGCCTGCACGCCTGCCCAAAATACCGCCAACCACGGCACAGCACACTCGCCCGTGACCACTCCGCCAGATTGCTTCGTTAAGGATGCCGCCTTCCTCCGCACCATGGCCATCTGCATCGACACATACTGCCCCCTGAGCGACAATCCTTCACTCGACCTGATCCAGGACTACTGGGCTTCCCACCTCGGAACCGGAACCATTGGCAACTACCAGTGGGTGCCAGCGGTATCATACCCCGACGCTTTGGCCGCTGCGCGCGAGGACGAGAACTGGCTACTCACAGCACCATCCAACTCGACGACCGGCGAAGGAGACCACGGCCATGACGGTCATGGCGCGAAGAAGCTCAAGAACCGCGAGTTCATGACAGAGTCGGGTCCCAACGTCACCAGCCCCTTGCCCATCATCAAGGCGGGCCAGCCTCTCAACGCCACCAGTTTCATTGCGCCAAAGGACTGGCAGAAGCAGTACAACGGCATGCTGGACTTTGAGATCAACGAGAACGGCCACTCAACATACACTATCACCATCATGCTGGTCGCCATTCTTCTCCCGATCCCTCTGTCCCTGCTCCGGTTCGTACCCGGCATCGCCAAGAGCCGTGCCTGGACCTCGTTCCAGTCCGCCCTGGTCAACCCTGCCGTCTACGGGAAGCGTCACCGCACCCCGGTTGCCGGCGCCGTCGGGCTGATGCCGACGCGCGGCCAAGCCATGTACATCTTCCTCATCAGCCTGCTGAACCTTGTGTTCCTCCTCGCGCCGTACGTGTACCATCATCCGCAGAGCACATTCACCTCGCGGGCCGCGCAGGAACTCAGCATCATTGGCAACCGCGCGGGCGTCATGGCCATGGGCAACGTCGTGGCCCTGTTCTTCTTTGCGGCACGCAACAACGTGCTGCTCTGGATCACCGATTGGAGCTATGGCACCTACCTGCTGCTTCACCGCTGGCTGGGCTACTGGGCTGTGTTTCACACGGTTCTTCACTCGGCGATGCTGCTGGCGTACTACAAGACCTATGGCAACTACGAGGCCGAGTTGGTTCGTCAGTACTGGATCTGGGGCATCGTGGGAACCGTGGCTGCGGTTGCCATCTTGCCATCCTCGTTGCTGGTGGTGCGGCAAAAGCTGTACGAGTTTTTCGTGGCGTCCCATGTTGTGCTCTCCCTGCTCTTTATTATCGGATACTACTACCACATCTGGTTCTGCTACGAGTACAAGTGGGGCTACGAGATTTGGGCCTTCATCGCCGCCGGGATCTGGGCCACCGACCGGCTGCTCCGCCTTGTGCGCATCGCTTGGCGAGGTTACCGTGCCGCTACGGTCAGCCTCGTGCAGGACTGCGCCGGCGAGTACCTCCGCATCGATATCGACGATATGCAACTCGGCGAAGGTGTAGCGTACCTCACCTTCCCGGGCTTGGGCTGGCGCTTCTGGGAGTCGCATCCCCTTTCGGTGGCCTTCAATTCTGCCGAGATCAGCGAGTTGCCGTCTACTCCTCCTGCCCCTATCTCTCCAATCCCGGACAGCAAAGAAGAGGCCATCGCCGTCAAAACGGTAGCCACACCGCCAACCAACCACTCTCAGGGCTCGAAATCCTTAACGAAGACAACAACATTCTTTGCCCGCGTCCGCACCGGCGTAACAGCCAAGCTAGCCGCCCGTGCCGCCGTGACGGGACAAGTCCGACTCGGCGTCGTCGTAGACGGGCCCTACCCCCACTCAGGCGACGTCATAACTCAGCTGAAGCAGTGCTCGAGCCACTTGTACATTGCCGGCGGCGTCGGCCTCACGGCGCTCTTGTCCTTCCTCCGGCGCTCTGACATTGCCGGGCCCTCCGCCCGGCGACTCGTTTGGTCTACTCGCAAACAGGGCCTGGCAGCTGCCTTGGAACCTGCGCTCACCTCGCTGCCGGACAGTGTTGTGGTCGACACGGCCGTGGGTCAGCGGTTAGATCTTGACGGGATCCTCGAGAAGGCGCTGGCCGACGCTGAGACGGATGATGCAGGGATGATTGGGATTGTGGTGTGTGGCCCTCCGCAAATGGCCGACGCATGCCGGCATAAGACGGTGCAGCTTACGAGGAATGGGGGTGCCAGGAGGCCGTATGTGTTGGTTGATGAAGCGTTCGGGTGGTGATCGAATTTCCAGCTCAAGCGGGTAGTTGTCAACGATGCGTTGGGGCTAGCCTAGCACTTGAATCCTGCGTCGGATTCTGCTTGAAGGCGGAATGTGCGGAAAGCCGGGCACCTGTGGGCTCGTTGTTGTCCCTGCCGATGTGCGATCCAGCCCTGGTTTGTTCGTTAGCGTGGCACATGGCATATACTACCTTAGATGTGAATGGAAAGATGATTTTCAAGAGAGATAATAAACAAGGAAGATAAAAGAAAGATATGGACGATAAAGTTAGAACGTAAGAGTAGGGGGAAGAGGAAGAGGAAGAGGAAGAGGAAGCTGACAAACAATCCAGGCTTGAAAAGCACTGTACATTGATTGATATTCTGCTAGAAGCGGTAACTAGTCGTCGAGATACGCATTATTCTGGGTCGCAGACAGCCTGATGGAGCGGTCCATACAGAATAGTGCTCCTGAGCTGGTGCGCTGCTCCTTCCCAGTATTGGGCTTGACTACAGGGACTTCCTTCATTCCTCTGCATGCCACGTGCACTCCGGGCAAACCGACCCCTTTTATCCCGAGGCTCAGCAGCCCTCTTTCCTCGACAGCAATTATGACCCCTGGAGGATGCTTCTGGTGTGCGGAGAATCAGAAACCGAGTTCCCGGCAGATAACTGAAGCCTGAGCAAACGACAAATAAGGGGTAAAGATCGTGGCAGAACATGGATCTTCCCGCCTAGCCATATTTGCCGCAACTGTATCTGCAACGACATCCGTCAGTGGATTCCAGACCAAGCGGGAACATGTCTGGCCGCTCCGCTCCCGAGAGGGAGTGAGAAATGCATCGATTGACTACAACCAGACCTTGCCGGGAAATGGCTTTGCAGAAATGCAGGCGCGCATTATATTGCGCTCTGCTGCGATACAATCAACCCCATCTGCCGGCAGCTTAGGCCCGAGCTCGTGGCTACCACATCTCGCCGATCTCTCGTTCCAAAAAGCTTCAAGTTCTGCTTCGACCCCAGAGTTTCCCCTATAGCAACGAGCATCCGACACGGCTGACGCCCCCTGCAGGTTCTGATGTGATGAGCAATATATTCATATCTATGCAGCACAATACCACACTGCACGCAAAACGGAGGGATGTAACTCCAGTCAGCAACAAGCGCCCAACCGGCTTCTGACCGAGCTCTTCAACCCAACATCCAAAACTTACCCATACAGCAGATGCCGAACCCCGGGCGGGGACTTTGACAAGCCGCGCCTGTGCGTTTCTGCACCCCGGCCGGGGATGCCACTCCAAAATGCTACATTGGAGTACCGAGACTGAAAACGATGAATGCAGGATGAGGGGGTAAAACGGGAGGTTCAGACCGGGCGCGGACGCTGATGCAAAGTTTCGGCTCCCCGCTGGTATAGCCGACGAGAAGATGACTTTTCCTCTTCCTCTCGACTTGACCGTGGCGGCAGGGTGAAACACGAGGTTGCAATGCCACATCAACCCCGGGACCCGAGGTTCAGAGCGTAGTAACAGGCCACCGGTCCATAAAGCAGCGGTTAACCCCAGATCTTGGATCTGCTTTCACAACTCCACTTGTCCTGCCTTGACACCTAGAGTAGCACAATTGACCTGAGCCATGTCCAGCTCGACCACAGCTCCGGACCCGGCGGCGAGAGGGACGCCGACGGGCAACGACACGGATCTAGTACCCTTCCCTGGCATCCCCATCTCCGAACGGGCTGCCTACCTCTCCCAAGTTTACATTGGCGTGACTTCGGCGCTGATGTTCCTCTGTGTCATCGCCTTCGGAACCCGCATCTACCAGAGAATTAGGCCGGTATGGAAGGTTGGATTAGACGACTACTTCATAGCAGCCGGTTTTGTATGAAATTCTTCTCCAGTCTTCCCACCATCACACTAACCGCCCACTTCAAACCCACCAGATCCTCACCATCGCCGACTGGGCAATGCTCTTCCCCATGATGGTCCCGCCGCACCCGGGGCTCATCCCCCTGTCCCAATCCACCGAAGCAGGCAAAAGCTCCTGGCTCGCCATCGCCGTCTGGGGTCTGTCCATGACATGCATCAAAATCTCCATCGCCCTGACCTTACTCCGCATCCAAGGCAAGGAGCGCGGCTGGCGCATCTTCCTCTACACCCTCATGGCCGTGCAGGCCGTCTACGGCGTCGGCAACACCCTGTTCAACCTCGTCATCGCCTGCCGCCCGCTCCAGGCGGCCTGGAACCCGTTCCTTCCCGGGGCGACGTGTGTCTCGGTCGAGGTGATGAGGACCGTCTCCAACGTGGGCAGTGCCGTCAATATCACGACGGATGTGCTGCTGTCGCTGGCGCCTGCGACGTTTTTGAGGAAGCTGAACCGGCCGCTGCGGGAGAGGGTGTTTGTGTGTGTCTTGATGGGCATGGGTTTGTTTGCTAGCGTGTCGAGTATTGTCAAGACGGTGATTGTCCAAGGCTGGGGTGACCCTACGATGTCGCTGGATGACTGGTGGGCGGTGGGCGTGTCGATCTGTACCTGGACGGTGCTGGAGCAGGTGCTCAGTGTGCTGGCGGCGTGCGTGCCGGCCATGAAGGGGATTTTCCAGAAGTGCTTGGGTGCGATGGGGTTCCACTTGACTCAGAATAAGTCGCAGCAGCGGTCGGGGTATTATGTTCGTGATGGCGGAACGGGGGCAGGCATCAGCAGGACTGGTTCCGAACCAACGGCGGCGTGGAGGAGTCAGGTGCAGGCCTTCCGTGATGACCAGCGGTTTTCCCGCCAAGGGAAGGCGATGTATGGCGATGAGGTGTGCATCGACTTGCAGCTTATCAGCAGGGAACCCTCGACAAAGTCTTCGGGGGGTCGGTCGTTGGACCATGAGCGTAGCGATACAGGGGGGTTGTCCATCGAACAGTTACCCACGCATGCCGTGTAGGTAACTCCTTTCTTTGTTGTTCTCCAATGACCGAGCCTGCAACTATTACTGTCATGAAGCAGGTTCATGTTGGCGTAGCAACAAAGCAAACAACATACACACAGCGCACAGGGGTAGCAGAAGCCATTTGAGGATTTTGCAGGCCACTTGGCAGGAGTCATTGAACTACCTAGCATAGCATTGAGCGATTCCATAAGGATCTGGCATGCATAATTTCTTTGGTCCATCCTTTATCCGCACATCCGCCAACCCTTCATGCCTGGGTTCAGATTCCGTTGATGTTGATTTGCATCCGGTTTTCGGTGATGCAGATCTCGCTGCCGAGAATGGTATCGTCCGATCGCCAGCAGTTATCAAAGATAATTCCTGCAGTGCGAGCGACATCGTTGCTGAGCCGCCATGTTGGTCAGCTTAAGGTAATTGAGACTTGGTGAGGGAAGCAGATATCACATACCAGTTTGCCGACAACCGCTCGGATCTTGCCTGGCTGGCGACAATCTGTGCGCCACCTCGGCGGCACATCTGTATGTTGCCCCTGTCGAGGACACACTGCTGTCCACCCTGGCCGATGCGGGCAAGGTAGTCGACGCACCAGGCAGCATCGCGTCCCTGGAGAGATCAACCCAGAACCATCAGCACCAACCTCCATTGATACATGTTTTGAAGCCGGAAGGTTGGGGATGGCCACATACAGGAGCGCGCGTCCAGCCGGGAACCTCGCACCTCACTCTCTTTTGAAGGCCCCCGGCAGCGCCAACCACGTCAGCGGCTTGGGCAGCTGCAAAGGCCTCGTCCACCGTGAGAGCCGTGTCGGGGTTGGCAATGATATCCTCCACCCACTGCGCAAAGGAGAAGACTGTTCCGTTGGTTGCGGCAGGGGCGGCGGCTACGGATGCAGCCATGGCAAGGGCGGCCAGAGGAAGGGCGAGGTTGACCATCTTGGCGGTTGTCTTGAGGTTTGACTTGAGGCTTGGAGGATGACTTCTGGCAGACGTTGGGGGGAGACTGACTTCTCTTTATAGCCGTTTCTCAGTGAACCCATCCCCTGCTCTGCCGATGACTACCTTCCACGTTAAGTTCTCCTACTCGCTGACAGGGCAACGTGTCGCCAGAGTGTCCGTTGACTCGGTGGATGTTGAATGTAACGCCACAGGCGTCTCTTGTCCGACACGTTTGTGCAGCCATCGCGCAGGTTAACCGACTCTCGGCTGGACTTTAGTGGTTCTTCTCCGGAATGGCTTTCTTGGAGCCCCGACCTCTACAGTAGTAGTGTACAAGTAAAAGTACCATCCGTGCCGGTAGCCGGCTCGATCAACCAAGCATCACACCCTAGGATGCCCTTCTCCCTTGTCCCAACCAACGATTGGGAGGCAAGTGGAGGTTCAATTTTCATCAGTGGATGCAGTCAGCTTGAGGACTCGTTGAGTTGGGGGCCGCATGTACACCGCTCATACGATATAGCATGCGAGGTTGCATCTAGCGGCACAGCGAATGCTTGCCTTTGCTCGCCAAATGTGTATAATCCACACTGGCGTCTGGAGCCGGAGGAATGCATTGCTGCACGGTACAATACCACTTCAGTCGGGTGCTTGACTTTTGTCTGGTCCAGCATTGGCTTCAGATTCCGGTCCCAACAAGTGCGAAACATTAGAATGTAGAGACATGATGACTGCATGAATTTATTTCTATTTCGACAGCTGCGGTCAGCAGTGCTGTACTGGTTATACCCTCTTGTCACCCCACTGCAAGCATGCACTCAACTGGGCCACCCTTGTTCTCCAGAAAGTTGTACAAGCAGAATTTATCATCCCGTATGGTTCGCATATGCCTCTGACTAAATTATCACATGCACTCATACGGGAAGAATGGCGGTAATTTAGTTGAGAGCCGGCCAGCTTGCTTCTCAGGGAGTCATCTCCGTGAGCTTGTGATCTGCTTAAGCTCATAGCAGTCGTACAATTTTTGCCACTTACTGGCAGCTTGCAATGGCTTTATCGGAAATTTGATCTTTTCATAGGATCATGCTTATCCGAATCCTTGGACAAGGCTGCACTGAATTCCTCTTAAAAAATAGAACTGATGTGCGGATGTAGGAATGGTGTGCCCGAACCCTGCCAGCAACTCGCTGGTAAGGCGTAGCCATCGCATTTGCCCAAGCTGCAGAGATTATACAAGAGTGTTAACGGGCAATCCAGTCGTAGCATCATATAAACCGCCCACATTATCTGACAAAGCCGTCACATCCCCAGCAGAATACTCACAACGTTGTACCGAGGCCCCTGAAACCCTTTCAGTGCCTCTCCAACCTCAACTGTATCGAGGAATGGTCCAACGTTCCTGGCAGCAGCTTCCCGGACTCCAAATCCGGCGCCACCAACCCAACGTTTGCCTTTCCAACGACCTCACCCATGACTAACCCCGCTAGCATCGGCACAAGGCGATGCGCAGGACAGATAGCCGGGCCGGCACTAAACGGCACCAACGCCCTGACCATGTCAACCTCCCCCTCCTTGCCCAGCCACTGCTCCGGTGCCAGCGCATCCGCAAACTCCAACTTCTCCGTGTCACGGTGGAAAAAGGGGGCGAAGATCACCACCCCCGTGCCCTTGGCCAGCTGCTGCCCGCCGAGCGTGGCATCCTCGTTCAGCTCGCGCAAGATGGCGGGCGTTGTGGGCCAGAGGCGGACCGACTCGAGGAACACGGCGCGGGCGTATGGGCGGGCGGCGGACTTGCTGTTGATGCTAGCTTCGCCTGCGACCTTGCTTTGCGCATCCGGATGGCTGGCTAGGAGCGCCAGGGCGCGGAATGTGGCGATGCCGACTGCATCGAAGGCGAAGAGCCAGTGGGTGATTTGGGATTCGAGGTCGGGGGATTTGGAGGACGGGTCCCTGGGCAGGCGCGAGACAAGGCTGTTTGGCTCGGCAGATTGGATGTATTTTGAGAGTTGAGATTGGACGGCGTCGAGTTTGGTGTCGTTGGCGGGCGCCATGAAGCCCCAGTTTGCGCGGTAGCGGATGTCGTCCAGGAGGTTTGTTACCTCGTCGTCGGAACGGGCGGCATCGCCGAGGATGACGCGACGGACGATGCGGAACCAGCCGGCCGAAAAAGTCGGCCAGTCGAGGGTGGTTTCATTATCGGCGGACGGGAAGAGGAATCCAATCTCTTCGTTGATGACGCGCTGGAAGTGATCCGCAGACGGGTGGACTCGCTCGCTGGTTGCAAGGGCCTGCTCATGGACGGGTCGTAGTTGGGCGCGGCGTTCGGGCTCGGCTACTAGAATGTGGTTCGGCTCAAAGTGCGCCAGAGAGGACTTCTTTTCCTTGGTTGCCGAGCCGTAGGGAATGGGGGTTCCATTGAGCACATTGGCGACGTCCTTGCTGTCGAGAAGGACGACTTGGGTTCGGAAGGGAAGCCACAGAGTCAGCGGTCCGCTCCCGTATTTCTTCCGCAGCTCCTGCAAGAGTTGTACTGCGTCTGTGTCGAGACCGAGGTGCTGTGCCATCGCTTCAATCCAGGGCCGACGTTTAATGACGCCTTTGGCGAGGGTTGGGGCCACCACCGTTCGTAACACTCGGAAGGTGTCGTAGATGCTTGCTTGTGACATCGGTCTCGCTTGTTGCGAATCCATATAGATGGATGTGATATGTGTTTGAAACTGATAAGAAAACAAGTTGAGATGTCAGTTGTTCGTTGGTGGTGTACTTCAGTTGTTGGTTAAATAATATACTGCAACGACGGTACTACAGGAGCTTTGCTAAGCTCTGGCAAGTATAAGGTTGGTTTATCTGTACGGACTAAGTCAATTCAGATTTCGGAGGTTTATGAAGAACTTGGGATGAGTTGGTGCCTGCCGAAACAAGAAATTGTGAAGGGTATGTGATGTTGACGTCACATAACCCCGGATGCGGCCGATGTTGGCCCAACTCGAACTTCATGCTGTAATTAACTGACCAGACAGGGTAGCACACAATGCATGTAAATTCAAGGTAGTGACGAGATTTTATTTCACGGCACCTCCTGCAGTGCCACCTTGACAATGGAGAGTTGCCTCTTAGTAATCAGACAGAAGCCACTGGCAGAGTCACAGTCGTCGTACACAACATCACGCGAGACGTCTTAGTATTCCACTGAAGCCCATTGTACAGTACAAATTCAGAATCTTCAATCCCGGGCTAGCTGTTTTCTGTAAGACACCTGGTAGCCAACCTGCTGTCATGGAAGACCCGGGGGCAGCATCGCCGTTCCTCGACCAGTTAGAGGAGAAGGCCCCCACAGGGCCAGCATGTTTTAACTGACACCACCTAGGGCAATAGACTTCCTTGCGGATATTCGCTTCCACCGCTCCTTCTTTTTGCCTCTAAAACTAGGAAATGGGCGGCAACGGCCCTGCGCGTCACCTATCCCCACATTGGCGACCCAGAAGGGAAAGTGTTGCTTGTTTGCGGTGGTCTGTATGGACGCCGCTACACCTTGCCCACGCCGATGAGCTCGCCAAATAGCTGAGGATTCGCTTGATCACGCCGGATAAGCCTGGCATAGGGGAACAGAGCCGGTTGACATTGACTGCAAGGTGAAGACATGGTTGGGTAAGTGCGAAGTCCTCTGATTGAGCAGTCTTTTTCTCTCTGACAATTCCACATAGACATCTTCCAAAGCCCTGGTGCAACACCTCCATCTCAAGCATGTTTCCTTTCTCGGTCACAGTTCCTTGCCCGCAATGATATCAACCCCTAATCTTGGACCGAGCACCGCCCGTCCAGGGGTAAAGATGGACACGGACCCCCTGACCAAGGCCATCGACGAAAAGATCATGGAGTATGCCCTGTTGAAGAACATCGGGGGCATTAGTCAGGAGGCGCTATTCTGTCTGAAGCGGGCAGGAAAGGGAGTCTGGGGATCGTGGAGTGAGTACGAAGAGTACATCTCACTGCTCAGGCGGCGGGAGACGCAAGGGACGCACTGTGACGTTGGTAAGATCGAGATGGACATGTTCTTCGCGGAGCAGGATAATTCTTCTGACGTGCGCGACTCACAGTGGTTTGATCGGCTGTGGAATAATGAGGCGGACGGCTGGATACAGTACGGCAGCTTGACTGTGCCGGTGACGACACATGAGACAATCACCAGGGTTGAGTCGGGCGCTTTAGAGAGTGTGTTCTCCAAAGCGGCCAATCTTGAACCGTGCAGGAGTTGAGGCCATGATTACTCTCCTCTTTAACGTCTCAGGAAACCTTCGGACGGGTCAAATCAAAGTTGCATAGGTTTTGTTATTTGGGACGAAAACTGAGAGATACGCCCGGCCAAGCTCTCACCGACTTTCTCCTTTCCAGCTACCACCCACTTCCTCGTTCCAACCACTTCCTCCTTCCGACCACTTCCTTCTTCCAAACTCTTTCCTCCTAACCACATCCTCTACACAACCACTGATCCCTTTCCTTCCCACAACCATCGTGATCTCGCCTGCCCAGGTAGGCCCATTCGGCGGTTAACTGCTCAGCATATGCGGACATCAGTCTACAGATATCGAACGAACCGATCTCTACACCTGATCAACGGAAGCCCTCGACATTGGTCGATACAGAGGCCCTGGAGATGGCCGGTAAGAAGTGAGCGGGGTCGGCAGGTTTGGAAGACAAAGAAAGCTCGAAGCGGCAGAAGGCTGATAACTGCCACTTCTCTGGAGTACCGATCCACAGAGTCTCTCTCCGGCGGAGGCTACGCTCGCCGAGCTCGTCAAAAGTCTCGCACGGGGAGGGCATGAATATGTCAGGTTTCATTTCAAGTGGAACTTCAAGGTGAAGGATCTTCACGATCCCATGGACATCGTCCCGCTGCTGGCGAAGTCCACATCCGACATTGAACGCACTTCACACCAGGCCTGGAAGAGCATCAGGCGAATGCTGGGAGACATCGAGAAGTTCATGGAGGGAAAGAAGTCATGGAAAGACAAAGGGGACGGCAACGTGCCTGGTCTACGTTGATCGGGCCAACTCCACGTCGTTCAATTCTTGTCGGACAAGTCCCAGGATGTCCCACCCAAGATCCGGAAGCTCTTGCAAACACGAAGCTGAAGTTCCTGGTCGATAGAGGTTTCCCTCCCCCCCCAACCAAAAAAAAAAAAATATTCTGAAGGGTGCTTACTGGGACGACAAAGAGTGGCGGGACAAGCCCATGGATATCGCGGCAGCCGACAAAGTCTGCGCGACCGATCTGGTCACCGAGAACCAGGTCAACGAACTGGCGCCGGCGATGGATGCGGCATTTAGAAGCTACTACGGCGGGTGAAGGGGCGGGTTTCAAAGTGGAGGTTCCTGGTCGAGATCGGAAAGCTCATCCGGCCATCGTTCAAGGCCGAGGACCCCGTTCCTCCCAAGCTCGGCGTCGACCATGACGATTTGGCCGAGAAGGCCGCGCGGATCAACATCGCTCAGGGGAACTCCAGGCTGGCCGAGCGTGTCAAATCCATGCAGGCTGAGAATGACGAGCTCAAAAAGAAAAAAGAAATCGCAATTTGAACGCCTGGAGGACCAGCTTGTGACTGCGATGAAAACTGCATGTGAGGTCTTCGCCGAAATCAAGACGGAGACCGAGTAGGGCGTGGTAGGTGAAAGAGTTGATAGAGATTGAGGGGTTGAGGGGAGGTCGAGTGTATCGACTCAAGTGAGGTTGAGGTTCGGAAGTGGTCGAGGGTGGGGTTCAGAGGGAGACAGGAGCATCAGCAGAGGTGCGCGTTTGGGAGCACGTCACAGAGACAGCCAACACAGCTCATGCAAGAGGGAGAAGAGACATGTCATTTGTCTATCTTGCCTCGGACGACCCGATTGAGCCCACCAAGTCTCGTCCAGTCCAGCCTCTAGGCAATCGATGGCCGACATCAAGCCGACCACTTAAGGCGAGAGAGCGCAGGAATGGACTTGCATAGTCCGCAGCCCATAGGATCCTCATTGCTGCCTCCCCAAGAAAAAAAAGGCTTTTTCTGTTAAGTTTTTATGAGCCATCACATCCCAAGTCGAAGGAGCTCTGTGTTCTGCATCTGGAAAAAGGCCGTGCGTCCAGGGAGCAGTAATGCTTGACGAAGAGACGGCGGGATCGAGATGGCAATGCTTTGTTGGCATTTGTTGTCGCAGGAGTTGCCATGACATTGGCCGTTGCAGTGTAGCCGGTGATGCGTACCGTACGCCGGGCAAAGGCAGAGACGGCACGCAGCGATCCGGTATCTGCTAGAGTCGTGTTTCCGTCGAGTAGGTCGTTTGTGGCCACATCCACGGCTACAGAGCACAATCCTGCAACCGCGGCGGCTACGGGTAATGTGAGTACCTCCCCCTGATTTGCCTGCCTTAGGCAACCACCCCCTCCCCGTAAAATCCTTCCTCCACGCAAGGCACCAAGTCCCAACCCGTCCTGGGCCCATGGACTCCGCATTCCTCATCCTGTGGTCATCCGATGCTCCACAATCCACCTATCCTTAAGACCGCTCAGCAAGCGCCGTCAAGGGCTTCAGAATCACCGAAACCAGACAACCAGGGCTTATATACGCCCTCCACAATCCTTTTGTTTTACCACCCATGCCTGGCTGCATTCCCTTCCGAATGTTTCCTTCCCACCAGCAGCCCACCCAACCGAAGTCCAACAAATCCCCACCCCGTGGGCCGCCGCCGAAGCAGCAGGAAGACACCTAGAAAAAAGCCGCTCAACGGTGCCGCTTATTCCCGTCCGTCCATGCGCCAGCCACGACCAGAAGCGGAAAGGAAACCTAGCCTGATAACAAACGTAAACAGGTCCCAATGCCCCAAGATATACACCGTTAACGCCGTATATATGAATACGTAGTCCCATAGCCCACGCCTGGCCGATAAAGGCAATTCCTCCGTCCACCAAAGCCTTCCTGCCCGATCCGTATGTCGTGTCGTTTCCCCGCGCCTTTCGTCGTCGTTGGGGAGAAGAAGATTCGGGGAGCCACCCGGCTCTATCGTGCACCCCGTCAGGAGCTGACAGTGCCGATAAATTGAGATGAAAACCTGCCAAAGACTGGTGTTCGTTGAGTAGAACTGGCGTCAAATGGGCGAACGAGCGCAGCGTAACGGCGCAGACGGCCGCGACTCCGACATGAATATGAAAAAGACCCGCGAGCGCGAAAGGTGAGAGCCAGAAACAGTTCGCCGTCTACTGTGTCCACGTGACGCCGAGAAAAACCAATGTCGATTGGATCGCTCGCAAGAAACACTCGTCGAAGATCAGGCCGGTAGCCGCGCGAAATTAGAGATATGATACAATCGGGGATACCAGAGTCTCCTTGACGCCGCCAAAACGTCTCGGTAGGTTATGTTGTGCGGTGAATGAGCGGTTTTCGAGAGGATGCTGTGCGGCAGTCGGAGTCGAAGAGACTGGAGTAGCCATACCGGTGTTTGTCGGCAGAAAGTGTGTCGTTATAAAGGGGTGTGCGAAGTGAGATAATATGTACATTCCAAGAGACACAAGAAAACGGAACCTCCTCGTCATGGCATAACCCGCCCAAACACCCACGGGAAGGCGGAGGAGGATTATGCCTGCTGGACAGGCGCCGAGGGCTGGCCAGAGCCCTGTGGACGGCCGCCACGCTGGCCGCCATAGCCCTGGCGTCCCCCTTGTCCCTGAAAGCCACGGCTTCGGCCGCCTCCGCCGCGATGGGAACCTGAGGGCCCACGGTTGCCCTGGTAGGCCCCACGGCCTTGCGGGCCAGAGGGGCCGGAACCGTTCTGCCGAAAACCTTGTCCCTGCCAATCTCCATGCACAGGAGCAACAGGCCGCGGCTGCGATGCTGGGCCTTGTGATTGCACTTCAGCTGGCGGATTCTGCGGCTGCGGCTGCGGCTGCTGTTCACGCTGCGGCTGCGGCTGCTGTTGTTGTTGCTGCTGCTGCTGTTGCTGGACCGGATCAGGCTTGAAGTTCGAGATGGGCCGCGGAATACTCTCGGGATTCTCGTACACGTAGAGGCTCTTGTCGATGGTCTGGGGAATCGGGAGGATCTCTGTGCCGAGATCGCGCTCAATGTTGTACAGGTTAAAGCGATCGTCCCAGTTGATCAGGTTGATGGCCAACCCAAGGTGGCCGTACCGACCAGAGCGACCAATGCGGTGAAGGTAGGTCTCGGCGTTCTTTGGGAAATCGAAGTTGATGACAACATTCACGGCCTGGATATCAATACCGCGCGTCAAGAGATCTGAACACACCAGGTTGCGGCAGACGCCGTTGCGGAAGTCGTGGAAGACGCGATTGCGGGCCTGCTGGGCCATCTTGGCGTGGCTGTAGAAACACGAATAGCCGAGTTCGGTAATCTTCTTGGCGAGAAGCTCAACACGGTTGGTCGAGTTGCAGAAGATGATGGATTGGTTGATCTGCAACTTGGAGAAGAGCGTGTTGAGGCAGTGCACCTTTTGTTTCTCCTCGACATAGGCGTAGTATTGTGTGATGCCGCGCAGAGTCAGCTCGTCCATGAGATTGATCTCATAAGGGCTGACCATGTTCTTGTCCGAGAAATCCTTGACCGAGAGCGGGAAGGTGGCGGAGAAGAGCATGACCTGACGGTCCTTGGGATGGAACCGTAAAAGCTGCTCAATGACGGGCGTGAACTCGACAGACAGAAGCTTGTCGGCCTCGTCCATAATGAACATGGGGCATTCGCTTAGATCGGCCACCTGTTTGCCAGCCAAATCAAGGATTCGGCCGGGAGTCCCAACCACAATATGGACGGGGTCCTGCAACCGGACGATATCATCACGAAGCCCAGTCCCACCAGTGGTAACCATGACATTGATGCCAAGATGCTTTCCGAGGGTCTTGCAGACCTGGGATGTTTGCATTGCCAGTTCGCGGGTCGGGACGAGGATGAGACATTGGATCTTGGCGACCTTGGGGTTGATCTTTTCCAGAGCGGGGATGACGAAGGCGGCAGTCTTGCCAGTGCCGTTCTTGGCGCGAGCAAGAATGTCACGACCTGTGAGAGCCACCGGTATGCTCTCTTCTTGGATGGGCGAGGGCTTTTCGAACCCCGCCTCGAAGATGCCCATGAGGAGATCCCGCTTGAGGCCGAAGTCCTCGAAGTCTAAGCCCTTGGTGTTGGTCACATCCTGTGCCAGGCCACGAGGTCAGCAGTCATGAAACGGCGAATATAGAATCACCAGCACCCACCTCTGTCTGTTGCCTTGTGTCCTTAGCGGGAAGTCTGAGGTTCTTTTTCCAGTCGTCCGAGCCCGAGGCCGACCGATCACTATCCGGTCAGTTCAATCCAAGTAACAGTCGGGGAAAGCAACCAACTTCAAGGTGGAGGCCTTGAGCTTTTCAATAAGACTGTCCGTCATTCTGGCCGCTGTAGAGATGTATTTTTGCTCGTATCAACCGCGAAGGAGAAGTCGCCGCGGGGTATGGCGAGTTTGGTGGGAATTTCTTGTTGGAATCGGTGGACGAATTGTCTGATTCGAAGGGGAATGGTCGGGAATGTCGTGCTTTTCGTGGTCCGGTATGCTATGCTCGTCGGATCATAAGCGCGGAGCTCAATGGTCGTGAAGAAGAAGGGGGTGGTGGCGTTTGAACAGTAGAGTGTTGAAGGCGGTCGCTCGGGAGGAAGCTGTTCAGCGACTGTTGATTTAGGCCAGTCGTTCTCTGCAGGAATCAAGTTGTTTCAGTGGTGTGGAAACAGGCATATGAAGTAAGAGCCTTTCTTGATTATGGTATCGTGGAATCTATTGTTCGTGCAGCGATCTGTTTTCGAGTGTCGTCGAAACGGTGGGGAAGGTGAGGCTGCTTAGCTTCTGTTCTTGTCAAAAAGTCCTGGTTGAGGTGAGCAAGATTGAAGTGTCACGTGGAGCTTAGGGTCTCAATGCGCCACATAGCAGAGGTGGCTCAGGTGTGGCTTCCACACTGAACTCTCCCAGTCGGCTGTCATTAGAGTCACGACAGCTGCTGCCGGCCCGGTTCCCACACATGGCGGGAACGGGAACAGGTTGCAGAGCTATATGACGCCAGTGGGTTGAGGAGGTCTGATGCCAGGTATCTTGATCCTGCCGTCACAACCAACGCTTTGCTTCGATCTCGATATATCCGCATTTGAAGACGTTGGCAATTACCGGCACAATGATGCCGGGTCATTCAAGCATGACCGCTCCCGCTTGAAACGATGCTGCTCAAGAACCCACTTCCCACGAGCTGTGGCTTGCTCTCGGCATTCTGCCCCTCGACCTCAGCTCCTTCACCATGTTGGCCGCGAAATCGTCTGGTTACACCGGGCCGTAGATGGCAACATCGATCGTACGCTACCGTACACGACGGAAAACCGAGTCATGTACCGAAATGGCCGTTATCTGCCCACCCTACACCTTACGAGATCTTCGGTCTCACGCGCGACGCACCCTACAGCAAAGCACGGTACTTTGAACTCGCAAAGTTGTATCATCCCGACCGCCAGCACCAAACTTCCCTCGACGGAATCTCGCGCCTGACGAAACTCGAACGATACCGCCTCGTCGTCGCAGCCAACGAGATCCTCAGCAACCCACAGAAAAAGAGAATGTACGACCTGTACGGTTTTGGTTGGGGAGACTGTAACGATTCCCATGCCGGCCATCAAGAGGCATACCGGGCGTGGAGGCAGGATCCCATCATGAACAATGCCACGTGGGAGGATTGGGAGCGTTACTACCAGCAGGGTGGCAGCGGCGAGAAGCAGGAGCAAGTGTTTACATCCAACATTGCGTTCATGGCCATCATCTCGGCTGTCCTAATTGTTGGCACCTGGAGCCAGATGACCAGGGCGGGCACAAACTCGGTCAGCCTGATGGAGATGCGGGACCAGCAGCATGCCGCTATTAGCAAGGAGCTGCGCGAGCTTAGGAACCAGAGGCGCGGCTTGGACAAGGAGACAAGAGTCCAGGAGTTTATCCGGCAGCGTGAGATTGAAAGATGGGCATACGATCCACCTGGACATACTCTGCCAGCTCCCAGCGGCAAGAAAGCAGACTGATCGTGGAGGTCGGATGTCGAGTTTGCGCGATCATTTACGGCAAATTCCATCAATACAGCTGAGCACACCGCGTTCGGCAGTCAGTCACATCCCAATCAACACCGCGCGTCGATGGCTTTGCCTGTCCGCCACGTCATCAACATAGATCAAGCCCACCGCGGGATCGCAACAGCGCTCCTGGCATGATCCAGAGAATCTCAGGGCGAGTCCGTATCCGGACGGAATGAGAGCCAAGCCGCACGGGAGAGGAAGCGTTGAGTGGCCCAATGAGTATCCGGTTGTGAAAGCCTTGCAAAGAAGCTGCAGGACACGAAGAACCTACCGGTGCTTTGATGAGCGGTCCCAATCTCTATGTGTTCGACGGCACATGCGAATTCCTCGCGGAGAATACCGCGAGAGTCTCCCAATGAAGAGCTTGCAGGCGCAGACATAGCAAGAATGTAGAGAGAGAAGATTTACAAGTCCTCCTGTTGCGCACTCAAACCGGCTCAGACCTTGGAAGTTCAGTTGAGGTGCAAGTTTGGGGAAAATTTCGCGCAGCACGGATCCGCAGATGGCGGTGAAGGTGCACGGTGGCTTTTTTGTGTACTCGCACTGTACTTCTATATCTATCTGTATTCGGTAGGTTGGCAACTGGTTTGGGACAGCCCCATATCTTGACAACAAACATCATTCATTCAACGTCGGCTTCAACAATTCTGACTCTGATGTCCGTCCATTGACAGCGGTAGTTGCACCTGTGATGTAAGGGCGAAACCGCCAACAGCAGGAGACTGATAGCGCAATCCTAAGGAGTACAGGTCTCAGCCAAGACATCCAGGCCCAGCTCCTGGAGGCAGAGAAAAGTAGGGAGGAAAAACAGAGAAGAAGGAGGAACGAGCAAGAAGAAGTAGAGGGGCAATGATAATAAAGGGGACGAAGAGGATGAAGAGGGTGAGCTAAACAAACGGTGTAGAAGGGTACGGCATGTTTTAGTAGTGGAAACACAACTCCCTCCAACGTGTACCAGCTAAGTTATCTGGCCTTTCTGGTCTTTTGAGGGCCAGCAACATAAAAACACCTCAGCTTTGCTTATCAACATTACATACCTACCAAGTGCTGCTTTCCAGCGCGGTGAAAAGCATCTCCTCAATTCTCTGAACACGGTGAACAGAGCCCACTGGGGCACAAGATGAACAAGGTACTCTAGCTTGCTCTAATAACAATGCCCAGCTTCAGTCAGCAGTGTCTGATCAGAATGTACCTAGGAACGCCCTAGGCCTGAACTTCATCTTCGTCCGATTCTGTCTCAACAGATGTTGACGCAACGATCTCCAAACCCACCTCAACATGAACATTAAGCACCTGGTTTCACTTCTGTTTGACACACAATACTTCCCCTTCAATATTATTGTACCAAGCTGAGGTAAACACACCGATTTTCCCGACCCTTCTTTCGCCCAACTGCTAACAGCAATAGGGAAGGTACGGACTCTTCTTTTCAAAGTCGCCATCGTCCATCCTTCTTTTTTTCACACCCCTAATCCCTGCTCTTCATCGATAATGGCGGCGAGAAGCCGAGCACAATTTCCAAGCGCTGCCGGCATCCTGGTGCGCAGAAACGTGTGGTCCAACAGTCTGTCCAGCAGGTTGATCTGATTCAGCCATCGCCGTTCAGGAGACTCCCTGCCGAGATCCAGCCAATGATATTCACTGCGGTAGTTGACGAACCGAATTTTCACGTCATCAGAGCCAATTGGGAAGAGGACAGAAACTCGCGAACGTGGTGTCTTTCCTTCTCCCGGGAGAATAAGCGTTCAGATAAGTCGGCCTTTCGAGTTCTCAACAATCTCCGTTTGGGCTGCAAAAACGCCCGAGAAGCCATACGCGTTCTCAGATCAAAATAGAGAGGGAGGGCCACCAAGCTCATCTGCCGGCCAAGCGACTCAACATCCGCGCCGACGGCGCTTACGATCTTGTCGTACTTAACATTCCCAATGTGAAGTCGTTTGGCATATTTTACCTTGATTTCCAGTTCCTCAACCGAGTTTCAGCACCTTCGACGATGCCCGGCTGGCGTCGCACTTCAGCAACGCTGAAAAGATCGGACTCAAGTATAGGAATCAGGATGTGCCGTGTAGCTCGCCCCAGGTCAACTTTCGATGCTGCATAGGAAACCTCCAACGCACTCACAAAGCCCACAGAGATTGGAAGCTCTGTCCCCAGGAAGTTTGCGGGTTGCTGAACTGCTTCCCCAAGCTCCGCGAGTTCTACATCGTCCTGGAGCCGTCTCGCACCAAAGACCAGCAGACGCTAAGCGTCAGTTGGTCAGCCAGGTCAGTTGATTTTCGCGGTAACCTTCCTCGAAGCTTGCGAAAGCGGCCTTGACTGTCCCCGCTTCTAAAGCGTCCCCTTCGAAGATTGAGGCTTGGAACTGCTGCTTGGGGCCACATGACGTTATTGGCTGGAGGTGGTCTTTGAGCATTTGGTGATTGGGAGTTGGTGCACTGCGGACGTGTCCGCCGCTTGAGCGCTGTTCTACGGGTTGTGGGGCCCCAAGTGTTTACCCTGCGGCGCTTCCCTGGTGGCGGCTGGACGACATCATCATTGTTGTCCTGCTTGGCGTCACTTCTCACAACAGGAGAGCACTCCTCCTCACGCCGTATCGCAACGTCGTCGTCAGGTCGTTCGGGTTAAGCGTGAACCAGATTGCCGGGATGCCCCGACGGAGATGATGAGGGACATTATCTTCCGCCACATGCTCAGCCGGCTCTCCCTGGAGATCGGCTGGCGATACCCATAGATCGACAAAAACTCCTGAGCAGCTGCTTTACGCTGTCGTCGGCCGTCGTCCCGGATGCCTCCAGTTCCGCCTTAGCCGCCTCCAGTCTCTCTGGGCCCAACGAGCCCATGATACGCTCCACTTCGGCAAAATTCCGCCTCGTCACACTGAGCATGCTCACCCGACGGATTCTCGATCTGACCCTGATGTTGAAAACGACAAGGCGAAATTGTGGTGCGTCGCGAAGCGGCCACCGTGCTGTAGCAGCACCAGGCTCATGTTTCGCGAAGCCACCATACGCGGTGCCGCGGCCTCTACCGCAACCGCCGCGTCTACATCTCCTGTTCCTCCCTCGATGGGCTCCTCCACTTACCGCGGGCCGCCACGATCCGGGTATCCCTAGCTGCCTCGTTCCCGGCACGTCGAAACCGAAAGAGATAACAGGCCTAGGTGGAAGAGGCCCCTGACGAAAGGGAGCCGTCACCAGCATTACCAGTCGAACAACCGCCAAACGACCTGTCGAAGAAGGAACTCTCACTTGCGAGGAGGCTAAACAATTCCGGAACCGTCAACGACGGCGGCTACGCGAGAGATCAGTAAGGTTCAGGGTCTGCGAGACGAAGTTTCTTCGCCAGGTTGCCTGGAGCTTTGGAGCCAGAGCGCTTTGAAGACGACGTAATTGCACCCATTCTTTGGAGTAGTTGGATGTTTTCTTGACAGCCTCCCTCCGAGGCGGCCTGGAGAGCGTTGCCGTATTCGCCGCCCAGCGCGTTGACGTCCGCTCCCTTGTCCAAGAGCAGTTTGACAATCTCTTGATGGCCTTCATCCGAGGCGGCTTGGAGAGCGTTGCCGTATTCGCCACCCTGCGCGTTGACGTCCGCTCCCTTGTCCAAGAGCAGTTTGACAATTTCTTGATGGCCTCCCTCCGAGGCGGCCTGGAGAGCGTTGCCGCATGCGCCGCCCTGCACGTTGACGTCCGCTCCCTTGTCTAAGAGCAGTTGGACAATTCCTTGATGGCCTTCATCCGAGGCGGCTTGGAGAGCGTTGCCGTGTGCGCCGCCCTGCGCGTTGACGTCCGCTCCCTTGTCCAAGAGCAGTTGGACAATCTCTTGATAGCCTCCCTCCGAGGCGGCCTGAAGAGCGTTGCCGCATGCGCCGCCCTGAGCGTTAACGTCCGCTCCTTTGTCGAAGAGCAGTTGGACAATCCTTTGATGGCCTCTTAATGAGGCCGCCTGGAGAGCATTGCCGTAGAAGCCACCCTGCGCGTTGACGTCCGCTCCCTTGCCGATAAGATTTCGTGCAGCCGCTACGAGTCCAGTGCAGCAAGCATAGTAGAGCCTGGAACCTTGTGGAGGAGGTGGTTCAAAGTACCAATCCATGTCAGGTTGATATAATCGAGCCCATCGTTGGAACGTCGCTTCCTTCTCTAAGAAACTGACTGTCGCTCGAACTATATCTTCCGAAGCCTGAGCCAACGCAGCATGGTCCGCCCACACTTCCGCCGCATATCTTGCCATAGGAAAATCCCGCTTGATTTTTTCGTAGTTACCTTTGAGGTTGATGTCTGTAAGATAAGTCAAGCACGTCCTCGTGATGGGAATGCTGGCAGTCGTAATGTTGAACTGGCTCTCTCTGAGAAGGTACTCCTTGACGGAAAAGTGGGCAAGATGTAACTCATTATCGGTGGTGCGAACGACTGTCATTAAGTTGGGACAGTAGTCTAAAGCGTCAGTCTGGTGAAACAGTCGACGCTTGACGTCAAAACCCCGTGGTTCGGGTTCGACCTGTGTTGCTATTACTTCTTTAGCCTCGGCCAGCTTGAGAGGTCGCTTCGAGTGAACTAGAAAATGCAGAAGCCGTATCGCGTCTCTTTTGAACTCCGCCGGTATGCATTGAATCATACGTCGGTATGTCTCTTCCAGGTTCCGCGGCAAAGATGCGAGAGCTTTCTCGATAGCGGCCTCATGGGGACATCGTGCCAGGCTGTCCAATTGACAGACCGCCCACCTAAACCTAAGCAGAGCGTCAGGAAACCATCCGCATATCGATCGAAGCAATAACATCTCACATCCCGTCGGCCCCGTCGCCAACCTTCCTCTGGATCCCCTTGAGGAGATCCTGGGACAAGCGCTTCTCCCGCAAATCGCGTCGTTGCAGAAGCTGCGCTGCAACGTACGATCGAATATCGGAGTTGATGGACTCCTTGTCGAGTGCTAAGCAGTTTTCCTCGCCTATCAACGAGGGAATGTCGCGCAGGAACTCGGGTTCAGGCCGACTGGTAGTAATCAACTGGACATTGCCCAACTCTGGTCTGGACACCACGTCGTTGATCCACTGGAAAAGTTCACCCCTTGTTGTCGACTCGTCCAAGGCGTCCAAAACAATAGAAGCTTTCTTCTGGACAGCAAGCATCTTGTATACAACATCCTCGAGTTTTTTCGTAGCAGGTTGGTCGCGGCCGTTCTGGTGGGCTTGGAATGAGGCGTCAAGAAGACCTGCAGAAGCCCCACCTTGGTGGTAAAGTTGGAAAGCAACCGACCGTAGCATACCATTTAAGGTCTGCTTTGTCGTATCGCTAAAGTCAAAGAAGAAGCTGAGGATAAGACGGTCGTTTCCCTCCGTAAGTTGATCCAGCATAGTCGCACTAAGAACCGTTTTGCCACATCCCGCGAGCCCGTTCAACCATAAATGTCGACGCGACCCCGAGTGCCACTCCTGGAAGACCGGGTTGTCTAGGAGCCACGCGCCTGTCCCCTCCTGGCGGAGCTTCCTCGCGTGGTTGGCGTTTGTAGACGGATCAGGGGGACAAAGCCAGCGCTTGATCTTATCGGTACGAAGGTCAGACCTGATGGAATCAGTTGCAGCTTTTCGTTGCGACTGCCGTCTGCTGCACGCCATCGATCTGTTGTTGAACTACTCGCAGTCAGGTCGCATTCTACATTCAATATTATTCAGTGTCGCGTGTTTGCTAGTCTAGCCCTCGTGAACGAAACAAGAACTAACCCAACTGAAGCACTTCCAGTGCCCTCTTGGTCTCGTGGACTTCCGCGACCGGCACGTACGCAAGGAGTTCCTTGGCATACGCAGCGGCGGTAGCCGATGCGTAGCGTTGCCATCTATCGTTCTTGTGAGAATCAGCATAGTCGCAGATCCCTCGAATGACAATGCAGGGAAAGTGGTTCATCAGGCCGGCCGCTTCCATCTCCAAGCAGATGCACTCCTCGCCGACGTTGGCAACAATCCGATCGCGCGTAGCGGCGTCTTTGACAAGCGTGTTGCCGGACGCAATGGTTCCGTAGTGGATCCCAGGGTCGGTAGTGTCTCGAGGATCGCGCTGAACCTCGTCAGCCGTGTCACAGCCCCGACAGTCCGGCCCGGGGACGTGATCGCATGAAGCTTTGAAGAGGCGGTCGTTGTCGAGGCCCTGGTGAGCGTAGCCGGGATTCTGCTTGGATCTCTGCCCATCTTCGGGTACTTCTCCAACATCTGTTGCAGAAAACAGGAAACTTTGGAGTCTTTCCGCTCGTGATCGGCCTGGATGCTGGCAAGCGCATTGAGGAGGACCGTCGGAGGCCGTCCGAGGAAGCCTTTACGCTCACGCTTGTCGCCCGACATTGCCTTGACCAAGTCGTACTGGCAGACGCCGCCCGTGGTCCTATCGGGCTGGCTCACGACGATATCGCCGAGCCGGATATCGCGGCCCTCGTCCGGTCGAGCGATGCCGCCGCCAATGCCGACCAAAAGACCAACACGGATGGATGGCAGAGAGGCAAGCAGCTGAGAGGCCGTGGTCGCGGCTGAGGTGGTTCCATAGACGCCAGCGGCCAGAGAGGCGATGACGATGTTGTGCTCTCCCACGCGACCCCAAGTATAAACGTTCGCGTCAGTTTGGTGTCGAGTAAAACCAATTGGAGCTGCATGTTCCTCATCGAGCATCGCTTCTGCAGCGGCCCGCTCGATGGGAAGAGCAGCGATCCAGGCGACCGCATAGGAGTCAGGGTTGTCAAGAGCATTGCGGGACGCCATGGTGCAAAGGAAAGCGCATAAGGCGGGCGGGTGGAATGGTAGAGCTGTGCGGTTTGCCTACGTCGACGAAGAAGCTGGAGTTGGGTCACGAGTTTATCACCCTCGGTCGAGAAGCGCGACCCTGTCACCTGCTATAGAAAGACGAAAGCAAGCTGAAAAGGGCCAGGTCCGGGTCAGGCCTCAATAACAGGATCTGGCCAGTTGCACACATGCACATTGGGGGCATGCAGCACCCTCTGGCTGGCCGGACGACATGATTGGGACTGGTCAATGCCAAGATGCTGCCTCCCACATGGCCCCGCAATGTTGGGACGAGAATGTGAGCTGGGCCGATTGACGACCCGATGCGATGGAGACAAGGGGTTCGGTGTCCAGTAACGCCGATGCAGGTGCTCGACGGGTCCTGTTGGAAAGCTAACAGCCACGAATTCGCCGTACCGTAGTAATTAGGTACCAAAAGATGGGCAACCACTCAATTGATGATGATCCTCGTGTCTGCGTTGTTCCAAGCAGTTGCAGGCCTCTTCCTGATCTTGTGAATCCTGGTGAAGCCATTAGTCACCCCTGAACTGCCCTCCCTGACCACTGCCAAATCCAACACACCTCCTCAGCCGAGTCAGCGCGACGTTTGCGTTGGAGAGGCTGGAACAACCACTTTGAATGCTCTCCACTGCTTCTATCCCTCTTATGCCTCTGCTTCCAGGTCCTCCTTTTCTTCTCTTTCCCTGCGCTCTACGATCCTCCCGCATCCTCTCGCTCACGTCGACTGCTCCCTGAATCTGACAAACTGCTCCTGAGCAAGTGCCTTCATTAGGCTATCTGCCATTTTAGGCCATCTGCCATTATCTCTTGATGCACATCCAGAGACCACAGAAGATGTTGATTCATCAATGGTGGTGTTTTCCATACAGTGGTGATGCATGAGGTGTGATGGCTCTCGTGGGCAGGGCTGAAACCCCTGCACCAGACGTGGGGCAACCCGGTCGGCCAAGTGGGGCACCACCCATCCACCCCCCACAGACCGAGACGACCATCACAATGAGGCTATCACCAACGCATCTATCGCTATATACATACATTTACCCTGGGTGTTGAGGCCGTTCCTCAATCCCAATCACGTGGAAGTAAAACAAATCTGTCAAATACTGCGGAAATCGCGTTTTGGGCGATTCGCAGCGTGGGCTTACGCCCAATCCTCGACGTGATCCACCCTGTCCGGCATCCTCAATGCCCAGGTATCTGCTTCTCAGCCATGCCAAGCATCTTCACTAACTTGTCATGCTTGTCTCGCATCAGCGGCTTCGTCAACTCATCGGCCGGCATCTCCGTGCCCTCGATATGGCGGATGTCTATCTCGCCACGGCCGACTCGGTCGATGATCCACTTGTATTTGATGTCAATGATCCTGGTGCGAGCTGGCTTGTTTGGACTTAGCGTGGCCGAGTACGCATTGAGGCTGTCGGTGAATAGGACGGCCGGCGTTGGCTGCTTTGCACCGCACCCCTCCAGGATCTTCGCCACCCATTTGACTGATAGGGCATCGGGCGTCAGGTTGGTGAAATCAGCCTCCGTGGTGCTCAACGCCACGAAGGTCTGCTTCTTGGTCTTCCAAAGACTGGCCCTCCCGCCACGAAGATGATGTAGGCACTAGTTGAATGTCGCGTTGGTAAGCAGTATGCCAGTGACGCGTCGGCGAACGCCATCAACAGAAGACTGCTCCCAGTGAGCGTCTTGTCGCTCAGCTCAATGCCGTAGCTCTTGGTGCCTTTGACGTAACGGAGCAGGTGCTTCTTCAGCTGGATATGCTCTGCAGAGGGCCCTACGTTTGCCTCCACAAAGCGCGACATCGTATGCAATGTCGGGTTTGGTCCCGATCGAAAGCCAATTTCCTAATCCGGTGCTTTTAATATATTGCTTGACGACGCGACAGTCCGTCGGCGGTATCCACGTTGTCGGAAGCTCAAACTTCGGCGGCCACGGCATAGCAACCGGCTGGTAGTCGAGCATACCCTCCTTCGCGAGCTAAGCCGTAACAAAGCTCTCCTGGAAAATTGAAGATCTTCCTTGCCTTCCTGTTGCGTAGGATGTCAAAGCCAAGGAAGCGTTTGACCTCGCCGAAATCCTTCATATCAAAGCGCTTACGTAGTTCATCCCGAACCTGGTGGATCAGGGCCTTCGTACGGGCTCTATACATTTTCAAGCCATTCAACACACCATGAAGTATCCACGACGTCCTCCCTCCCGGGCGGCTGCTCCTTCGCTCGCTCCAACGGCGCCGGTCACACCCACCTAGAACTCCATCCAGCTCTGATGTTCCGACAATTCTGGACAACAACGGTGTCTTTGAGAGATTCCGCTGAACCATTCCGGAGACATTAGAAACATGCTTGTTGGAGTTGTGCAGCCATTTCCTTCGCGATACGGGACCGCGGCTATCTCCCGTTGAGCGCCAGCAGCAAGGGGTCATGTTCAGACCGACGCTGGCGGAGAGACGGCAACTTCGATTCGGCGTCTTGATTGCGGTTCAAGACGGGAAACAGAAGGCTTGGGAGGAACCGGAGCGCGAAGCTGCTAGGCGGCTCTTTGCGAGAGTTGATAGGGACTTGGGATGATCCCGAGTCCTTGCTTCTGTGAAAGAATTCTTTCTCAGGTTTGGTAAGGAGATCTGACTGTATTGGTTCAGGCATTGTCTAGGACGCGGTTTTAGTCTCCGGGGGATGGATTGGCAGGTGTAGATTGCCGGGCTTTATGGCATTCGAGGATCTCAAGACGGGGAGCGCTAAGAGTCCGGTAGCCAATCTCGCAGCGAGACTCTTGACCCAGATGAATATCCAGAGAAGAGAAAATGAAACATTCTGACTGGGATGGCATGAAAAATCAAGGTTAGTCCACATGTCGCGTGAAGAGGTTCGTCGAGGTCCCTGCTGAATATGACCCACAAATTGCCCGATGTGGATAACGTAAATAAACACCCCATGCAAAATGTGGGGTCATGGCATTGCTGCCTGCACAAACAAACGAGGTCTTCATTCTCAAGTCACGACATTGTCCTCCCCCTTTTGTTACTCTGAAGTCAATAATTGCTCAGGCTGTCAGAATGGACGATGAGCCGGATCTCCCAATTGCACGGCGTACACGGCGGAGTCTAAGTCAGGCCACTCAGTCCGCGCAGCAATGCAAACAATCACTATGCTCACCGCAGGCGCGGCCCACTCAACCCCCCCTGGATGTTAGCACGCCAAAATCCAGAAAGAGGCGACGCGTGAGGTTCTCAGACCTCGGCCCGGAGTCCGTCGGGACAGCAGATGGTCCCTCAGCAACCGGCTTGACACCCTTGATGAATCGGGCCTCGCTCTCAAGCAGCTCCCGGCTATCTCGGCGGCATTCTACCCCAACTCGGTCGAACAGCACCGGCATCCTAAGTTTGGACTCCCAGGCGCCCCCATTTGGTGGCGAAATCCGCGTTCTTCCTCTTCGTCAAGTTCTAGATGCCCGTGCCAAGCGCCGAATTCGACGCAATGGCTTGTCCGAGGAGATGAATAACATTCAACATCAGCGGAAGCGACAGGCTGAGGCTACCAAGGCCGAGATTGAGCGGCTGAAAACGGATCTGGCTGCAAGGGACGATGAAATTGCAAGGATGCACGACGAAACCGTAATTCTGGACACCGAACGTGTCTGGAACCTAGAGCAGGAGGTGGCGACGCTGAGGAGAGAGTTGGCCAGTCGATTGGATGTCCAGCAGGTTACAAGCAGCCCTGCCTACGAGCGGACACGGGCTGCCAGCGATCTCTACTCCGAGGACTTCACGGAGCTAGATCTAGCGGGCGACACACATGACTTCGGCGAAGCAACGAGAGCCGAGTTCCTCTGCAGTACACCGACACGTAGGACGCGCGCTTCAGCCTCATTTCCCACCCCACCAGCCACCAGTCCCGAACCACAACTGCCGCAAACCCTCTACAGACGCCTGCCTACTCCACATTCCAGCATGGGCGTGCAAGTCTCCCTTCCGGATCCTGCGAAGCGTCAGCTGGAGGAGGAACTCGAATTACTGCAGCTCGAGGTTAACGAGCTGACAGCTAACCTGGAGTCTTACGCGGCTTTGACCTCCCGCCTCTCGGACAAACTTGCCACGTTCTCGACTCAAGGACGGTGCGCAGAGCCATCAGCGGAGAAGCCCGATCTCGGAGCACGTCTCACCACCGTACTCCAGACGCTCTCTGATCGTACTGCAGCTCTTGCCGAGTTAGACGCGTCACTCAAAACCCTCGGCTTCACTGGGTCAGATGGTTTCGAGGTTATTAAGTCGCTCCGATCTGGCTTCAGGTCTGCGCGCCTTGAGCTGGAGTACCTGACGCCCGGGGAGATCACCTTGCCCCTAACAGGCGCAGGCGCCGAGGTACTTGGCCTGCTTCTCGCCCAACTGCGAGACCTTGCCAAAAGGACTCGCGACGCAGACGACAGCATCGACGAATACCATTCCATCGAGCTCTCCCTGCGCCAACAACTCAACGCGCGGGTAACGGCAATGGGCGACCTCGCCAACCGCCTTGCCAGCGCCGAGCGCAGATCCCTTGAAAAGGATGCACGCATCGCCGACCTCGAATTCGGCATCGACCGTCTCAAGGACGCAGTCCGTACTTACACCCGCGACATCTCGGAGCTCGAAGCCCTCATCCAGCGCATGGAAACCGACCTCGCGGCGTCCAAGTCGGAACGCGACGCCGCCACTACCGCCCTGGCCGACAAGACAACCGCTCTGGCTGTCATGACATCCGCCATGTCGTCTCTCGAAGGTAGACTCTCTGACGCCTTCGCCCAATCCGACGACCTCAAATTCCAGCTATCGTCCCTAACGACAGCCCACGCTCAAACGCTCGCCTCCCACACAGAGGAAAAAGCATCCCTGACAGAAGCCCATGCTGCCTGCCTCGCCCAGCGGGACGCTCGGCTGGCTAAGCTGAGTGCCGAGGTGGAGCGGGTCGAGGGCTTGTTACGCGAGGCGCAAGAGACGGTGCAGGCGTTGAAGGCCGAGAATGTCCGGCTGGTAGACGCTAACGATGCGTTGAAAGAGGAGAATGCGCGGGGGAGGAGGACGGCTGAGGAGGTGGTCGCTGAGATAAGGGCCGAGTTGGAAAGGGTAGTGAGGATGGGGGAAAGGTTTCTGGGTGCTTCAGGGTCTGGGACTGGCAATGGGGTGGGGCAGGCGGAAGGTGGCAATCTCGGTGGGCCGATCATGTCAGGGGCGGGGGTTAGAGTTGAAATGTCGTTGGTAGGCGGTCTGACGGGGTTTGGGAGAGCGAGCAAGAGGAGAAAGTACGATAGCGGGCTGGGGTTTTTGGATGAGGATGAGGTTGAAGTTGGTTCCTGAGCATTTTGGTTATTTCGAGGTGGTATTTATCACTTGGGTGATTGATACTTGACTGTTTCCATCTAAGACCCTCTTTTACTCTGTTTCTTTGTCCTTCTTTTATCCTTAATTACCCCTTCTTTGCTTCCAGGTGATACTCGAGTTTTGAGCAATATATCTCAACATCGTGATTCTGAGTTCACGGCATTCCCAATTGAAGCACATCAAACCTGGCTGCAATTTGCTGGAGAGGAATCAGGTGGCTGTTGTACACTCCCGCGTCGAGCAACTGGTCGACACGGCATGATCATGGCTTGCTTCGGGGACGAAGGCGAAGTCCAGTCATCCTCAGAAGGTCAGACATGCGCCTGAACATGACCAGAAAGACTTTCATGGGGTTCTTGATCGCCCATACATCATTACGGATTGAAGACCTTCTCCTTGTCTTCCTCAGCCTGAGCCGCGCCTTGGTAGCATGGATGTGGCAGACGAGTTTGCCTCGTCGACCTCCCATTCACTTGATCACAAGTAACAAATAATATCAAACGCCCTACAGCGAGTTCCGTAAGTCTTGATCGCTGGCTCGACTCACCTTACTCTAACCATGTTTATCTTCCACTACTTCTCCGTCTTTCCCGTCATTCACGGCCTTCATAGGTTAACAGGGAGGAAACACCAAGGAGCATGTGCCTCATCTCAAACACGCTTCTCAATCATTGGTTGCTAGGCAGCTTACATTACGCTTACAGAGCGAATTTCAACAGCAATACCATCCGAGATAGTCCCCTCCATGCAAAGCTTCATCCATGGCTGCATCTTCTGCCCGGGCGACCCTGGACCTTAATGACAGGGTATGGCCCGGACCCCATCGACGAGCACCCCTCCTCACCACATCCCAACAAACCAAGCGTCCGGCTCACGGCTCGAGATTGGCTCTTGTATGCCTTCCAACCTGTCCAACACCTTTCTATCGTCCGTTGAATGGGAAACAGTCCGGACATCGACCTCGGAATCCCCTTCAGCAGCTCCAACTGTCGATCGTTGTGTAGATCGATAAAGATGGCTTGTTCTTCGCCGAACAGTCCAAAAAGACCTGTCCCACACGCCTCTGCGGACGTCACATCCAAGTACACGGTATTCATCACAACCGGCCACTCCCGCTGCCTTGCCCTGAACTTTCCATCCTCAGTGTCGGTGGCAGCTGGAGCCACAACATCATCATCTTGAGCAGAAACATCCGCCGTCCCCGGCCGACTGCGGTGCCACCCAAACAGCGGCGCTGAAAACCCAATCTGCACACCACGTTCCCGCCCCGGCCACGCCCCAGACCCGTAGGACAGCTTGGACCGTACCTCCTCCCAGATGTCCCGATACCGCTCAAACACGTCGCAGTCGAGCAGCACCGTGTCGGTGCGCGGGTCGAACCAGACTCCTTGCCCAAGCCACGGCAGGTCGAGCACTTCAGCGGATCGTCGGAGGGACAGAACCGCGGCGCGGGACTCACGGCAGACCTGAGCGATGCGGCAGGGACGGGCGTGGTGTTTTCGGAGCAAGGTCGCGAGTGTCACCATAGGGATGCGGCTATTCATGTTGTCGTTGGTGTTGCGGTCGGGGTGATGGTGTCTGTGGTGGATGAGCGCAAGAACGCTGAATTGGATGATGCGCCGGGGCAGGCAGAGTTCCCAGATCATGAAGCGGATTTCGAGCGGGAGGTGGGGGAAGCTGGTAAAGGAGGGAGTCGTGTCGGCGGTCGGCGGCTTGCTCTCCATGCCTTGGGCCGGTTGGAGGGTAATCGATGTCGACATGCTGGCGGATAGGAGGGTTGGGCTAAGAAGCTGGATAATTCATGTTAGTCTTTTGAGTAGGTATGTAGAAGAACTCCTTGCAAGAGGCGCACTCGAGCCGAGTAAACCGGAGAGGGCTCGAAGGTCAGACCTTGGGTCAGTGTGGTGGGCTCCTCAGTCAAGGAAGTTGCGCCTGCTGGAAGTGGGCCCAAGTGAGGTACTTGATAGGCAACTTTGACCTTGTGGAAGAAAAGGCACAGGGAAAGAAGGTTCCGCTTGATGTACCTTTCTAGGCAAGACAACGGAAATTTCCATCTCAACCGACGACAGCGCGCGAAAATGAGAGTGACAAAAAGAACAGTAGGAGGCAAATGAAAGCGGTAACGCTGATCAAGGTAACCGCGGCTCCCAGGCGCAGATTCGTCAGGTAGAGGTAACCTGAAAACAGTTTACGAGTATACACGTTACGCGCAGCTTCGGAGGCTTTAGCTTCGGTGCGGTATGGTAGGCTTTATGCACCTACCTCGGTAGGTACCTGTAGTTCACGCAGAAGCAATGGAACGACTTCAGTAGTAGAGAGCTCGGTGGTGAGCTCCCGATACGCATGACGCCCCTTGACGAAGACATGTAAAATGACCTGTATGAGGTAGGTGGATATCAGAAGATCGGTAAGGCATTACGAAGCCTTGGGGAGACTCTAGCCGAGTGTGCGAACCAGCCTGCGCATCATCCTGTGGCAACCAAGCTGTCCCGGTCCATGTGGTTATCTACGTCCGGGCTTAGTACTACGCAGATATTGCACGCGTACCTTAGGTAGTTAAGTCACGTCACAAAGTGAAGAGTTGAAGTTATGTAGTCCATACGCACATAGAGCTATTGTCAGAGCGCGGTGAGAACTTGAGTGCATCAAAGACAGATACCAAGCTCGACTGCACGTATAAATGCAGACAGCGAACGTTACAGGTAATTTCTAGGACAAATCGATGTCATGCTGACATGGGGCCTGTGAGTGGCATCCCGTGATGGGGTGTAGACCACTTGTTATCAAGCCACATATGATTAACTTTACGTTTTAGTCTCTTTTTGAGTAAGCTTTGTTATGTTCATGTTGTCCTATCTAAGCCTTTTTTGTTGGCTAGCCCGTGACTTAAAAGGAGCTTGGGAACCCGTCAACCTTATTGATGTTATGTTTTCTGAATTCTGAGCGGAGGGTGCAAGCTTGCTTGCACCGGGGAGTACCCATCTAGCGCCGATGTAGCTTAAATGGGTTCTAATGATTATAGAGAACCTCTGATTACTGATTAGTATAGCTGGCAACGAGAATGACAGAATGGGATTGTGCTTAAAGGAGGAGAGAAGTCGAGGTTGGATTAGTAGGATGTGGGATGGTTGAAAGGAGTATCTTTACGGATCCGTAGTTGTACGGGGTCACCAACCTAATTGTACGGGGTCCGCACAGACCCCCTGAATTCCGCCACACCTGTTTCGGGCTGAGCCTCTGCAACCCCGTCCAACCCTAACCATCATTGAGAAAACCCCTTCATGGGAGCCTCCTTGAGTGTGTGTGTGTGTAAGCAACGGCTTCATCACGGTTGCCCCTTTCACCTATCGTCCCTACCTAGACAGTGAGAATCCATTACCGCTTGTCGGCTACTTCTTTGCAATAGCAGGTACAAAAATTCACCCCTCTCCACCAACACTACCTGACGTGGACGGGGTCGCGGTCCAGGGGACTATAGGAAGACGGGGAAGAGCTCAGGGATAGGGAAGGGGTCGTGGATAGGGACGAGATCGTGAGCAGGGACGAGGCCAGCAGAATAGAGTAGAGGAGACCAAAGGAGGTACAGTTCCTGCGTCTAACGCAGCCATACAGCTCGGGACGCCAGCGCCGGACACCCCCTAGGCTAGTTGGCAATAGGGATGGATGCCTGATTTCCCTGCGATAAGTCTGTTGAACTGAGTGGGTTCCTTGGCACCAAGATTCACGGACTGAGCACTGATGTTCAATGCGAGACTCTCAGTCAGCACAGATCCATCACAATGACACAGTTCCTGACATAGCGTCATATCATGGCACACTGTCTCTATATAAGGGGGTAATTCCCCTGGGAGGATTAGAGAGGACAATTTTCTGTTCCAACAAGAAAGGGACGTTCTGAGGCACCCTAACCCACTATCTTGATCCTTCATTTGTGTGGTCACTCTTGTAACGGTCTCAGGTAGTATATTGCAACTAGCTGATGACGACTCTACGAGTACACTGAACTTGGAGAACAAAAGGGAGAGACGACAGACTCTGGTAGCTCGCAAGCATACTTATCCTCGTAGGCGCGCTGGTCTGAGCGCGTTGCTAGAAGGTTCGGTGTGCTGTGGGGCGAGTGGGAATAGCCTCATCAGGGGTCTTGGTATTTGCCGAGAGTCGCCGAGGCTCGCACCGGGCCCAGCCCGTTACAACTTTGGCATCGTGACTTCAATACAAGCTTCGTTTCATACCTCAATCTGTTCAATACCATTTGGTTGATCTAAGCTTACTTGAGCATGTAACTGTTGGCTGCCCAACAAAGTCCCCAAGGCCACATTCCCCATTATCACCAAATCGCTCAAACCGATCTTTTTGCTCTGGAGTTTGTTTTTTTTTTTCCTTTTTTGCCGAGGCTCAGCCCGAGGTGTGGCGGAACTCAGGGGGTCTGTGCGGACCCCGTACAATTAGGTTGATGACCCCGTACAATTAAAGATACTCGTTGAAACATGCGTGAGTAACGAGCAAATGAGAAGGGGATTATTACATTTCTCATTTTACTAGCAATCAAGTTGACAGCTCTGGCATCACAGAATTTGGGAATTGGTGAAATATTGGGAGAGTTCGAGTCGAGGATCGAGAATGACTTAATTACATACCAACATGAGAGGGAGGTGGAGTTAACCTTCAACACCTTAGTAAGGTACCTATTATTCTCAACCTCTTGAAGTATTAAACAGTTAGATAACAAACTAGTACTTGAAAACCCCTGAGCATAGCTTCAAGTAGTGCTTCAGCAAATGTTATAGCGGCTTAATCCGAGAGTCGCTCCTTCTACCCATGACCCGAGCGACCTAGGCATCGTCACCTTATTGCGAGGAACATCTATAAGCACCTTCTTGGATAGACCCTGCAATAACTGAGCAGTCCATTTGAGTTCGAGGCACTCGTACGCCGCTCGTTTAGGTGAGACAAACAGAATAGTTGATCTATGAAGTAGCAGAACAGGAAGGGTAAGTGGAAGGAAAGAAAGGATAGTAAAAAGAGAAAGAAGTATTATATAGAAGCGAGAACAATAAACTAGTAAATGAGAGGAAGAATATTGGAAAGTGAAGGAGAGAATGTAGCTATGTACTTAATCACCTTAGATACCACAGTATCCGAGGTGAGTTGACAGTATGGAAACTGTATCCCACACTATCAGCAAGGGTTAGTTGCAAATGCAGCAGCCTGACCTCTGGTACCTTAACTTGAGCCAACAATCTGCAAGTTTGCTTGCAGCCACTTCAGCAGGCAACGATTCAACGTTCGGATCGGAAGACTGTTTCAATTTCTACAAGTTCTTCTATCGCATCAATCCCGTCCAACAGCACCTGTTGAACCCATGCAACCAGGCAATTTTCGACAGCAAAAGTCCCCACCGCCGCTAAAATCATTGCCTCGGAGCTGAACGCAAGAACGGACCTGCGAAATCTCTTCATACCAACCTGACGCATCAATCTATACCTTAAGCCTTCCATCCATCATCTTATCTGCGGGCCTACAAACGTAAACGAAGCCAGACGTGACCAGCCTGTAGCAAACACAGCCGCAAATCAATCTGACACATGACAGCGGTCACGCGTCACGACTTACGCGACACATTCTCAACCCATCCTCACCAAGATGGCACCGAGAATCGAGCGGATCAAACTCTACGGCTTTTGCTGGGACACACAAGAGCGGTTGCCGTTCAATCAGCAGTGGGCTTGTGCCTTCCATCAAAGCCATTACACCAACGAAAACAACCCCATGTGGGATTCAATCGACGATCCGAGCAAGCGGCGTGAGGTGAGATATGCAAACAACATATATGTGCTCTTCCGCGCTCTTCTGCATTGCAAGAACTTCTTCGGCCAAGAAAACTTGTGGGCCGCCATCGCTCGCGGATTCAACACCAGCGTGGCAACTGCGAAAACCACCGCTGAGATCCTGAGTGCCGCGCGCAGGGCTCACCGCGGAAAGCCCCAGAGCACGGTATCCGATACAGCACGCGCTGCGGATGATTGGATTGACTTTGTCGACAGCCTTGGTCCGGTTCCTCGTATGCTGTCTGATTCCAACGTCTACAAGGTAGCCAACGCCTTTTTTGATTCTCAAGAGAAGAAGCATGTCAACGCCGGGGGGGTGCCTGTGAACGGCCGACCAGCACGCCAGGCACCGCGAGAACCACGAGAAGAGCCCGGCACACCACACGGTCGGCCCCCCTCGCCGTACGTCAAGACGGAGATGCCAAGAGATTCCGCCAGTACACATCGGCAGCCGTTTTCCTCTCACAAGCGCTCTCCTTCTCCGCTGCATGACCGGAGTCCCAAGATGAGGCGGTTCGATCACGATGCCCGGCAAAAGGCCCGGGCTGAGCCTGAGAGGCATGGCGCACTCGATGAGCTGCCCATGATACAACCTACGCAAAGCCCTCCTCGACGACTGAGTACCTCAAAGCCGGCTCAGCCCGTGCCCCAGCCAAGTGCTCCGGCGAAACGCGAAGAAGCCTCCAACTCCTCCTCACTGCCAGCAAAGCAAATCCCACCTGCGTCTGCACCGAGCGGGCCCTCGAGGAGAGATTCCATTAGCTACTCCACGCTACCAACAAAGCCAGCACAGGCTTTGTCCCGACCCAGTGCCCCGCAGAGCAGAGAGGAGTCACTCAACTCAGCCAAGACCGGCGCCCTGAAAGGCGAGGTAGCAAGTCTGGAGAAGCAGCTGGCCGAGGCGAAGAGCAAGCCAAGCGCTGCTCCTGTTGCCGACATCCCAAGCCAGCTCACCGAGTACATGGGCGAACTCAAGAGCTCGATGGCCAGTGCAACCAACGCCATCGAAGTCATGATGGAGTCCATGCACCACACCGTCGACAACCTGAACTCGTGCAAAGACGAAGTCTCGGGCCTCTCAACCCAACAACAAGAACTCGCGGCTACCGTACTTCAACTCAACAAGGACACCAACATCAAGCTCGACACAATCCTCCAATCAATGCAAACCCTTGCAAGCACCATTGACACTCTCCGCAACGAGGTCTCCCAACTCAAGGACCAGGCCCCTCCCGCAACCGGTACACAAGCGGAAAGCACAAACACCAGCCAGCTCAGAACCCTGTTCCAGGAGCAAAACACACGCATGGAAAATTTCTTCCGCGAGGTCCAAGCCAGCCTGCAGGCCCAGGTAAAACCCTCGCAACCACAACCTCAGACTCTCCGGCAAGCCATGGCCGCCGCTGAGCGGGACCTGGCGCGCCACATGGGCACGATTGAAACGTTCTATCACCGCGGCGGTGTCAGCCGTGCAGTCACCGAGCAAACTGCCGACGTGTTGGCAGCTTTGTCGGAGGGGTTGAGGGCTGCGAAGGCGGGGCAGGAGCAGTAGGGCGCTTTGATTGGTATCTACCCTGTATGCTTCATACAGGGACATAATCATCACAGTATATGAGGATGAGGAGGACGGAGGGCAGACGCATAGGATCACAGATTTGCTACAGAGGGTTAGCTGCTTCAACAAGCATCCCAGGCGTTACTTACCTTACTATTTCCCCTTACGTAAAATCACTAGGGATTCCAGTTTGCAGCCAAAGATGTGATTGTATCCACTGGTACTCTACATACAACAGCAAAGGATAAACTTGTATCTTCCGGGGATCCGACTTTGGGACCGCCCCGGGCCGTCCCCCATCATCGTTTTGGCCCATCCTTAACCTGGGCGCCGTTCCAGTCTGTCAGGTTGACCTCGACAGGCTGGCTCCCGCTCCGGATGAGCACCAAATGCAAGTCCGCCTCTTCGAACTCGTTGACGACTTGGTGCTCTGTCCACGCGGGGATGAAGGCAAAGTCCCCTGGCCCGAGCTCGTGTCGTTGCGGCTCTACCTCGTCCCCCTTCGGCTGCGAAAGTAAGACGCCCTTGCCTGAGACTGTGTAGAGGATGGTTTCTTTTGTCATTTAGGCCGTTGATTCGTACATTTGACTGGGTCCCCATTACAGGGGCGTTGCGGGATCGTTCCGAAGGGATGCGGGAGGGATGGGACACACCTTGTTCGCCGTGGTGGCGTATAGCAGAGGACGACCCAGGTTTCAGAATAAGGACTGCGGCATGAGTTTGCGGGTTCAGGAAGACAGGCATGGGTGATACCCAGGGGTATTGGATAGCAGTTTACCTGATGCGCACATTTTGTCTGTCTTGTCGACAATTGCGTGCCCGCTGACGACCCGGACAACTGGGCTCCCTCCTTCTGCTTCTCTGGCCTGGGGCTCGGGCGGGAGGATGTCGGCCGCCTTCCTCACGAAGACGGAAGCTGGCAAGATCATGGGAAGGATGTCCTGTATCAGCGGCAGTAACGAGGCCATTTTCTTCAGAGTTCCTTGAGGACGCGGGACGTTCATTCGACCAGTCGAATCAGCAGGTACGGGGGTAGCCGAGTTGCCACAGCCTGAGAAGTGTCGTCTACCGTCCAGCCCTGGCTTGTTTGTTAGCATGGCACATAGTAGGGCCTAGTTGGGAATCTAAAAAGGAATGGAGGGAAAGAATCGAGCACGACATAGATGGTAATGAAGGAAAAGTTATAATACTAAGAGAGAAGGAAGGGAAATGAAGGAAGGTGGAAAGACCAGAACGCAGGAAGAAGGAAGGCAAAGAGAAAGAAAGAGGGAAAGGATGAAAGCAAGCAATAGAGTAAGTATTATGCAGCTCGTCTTGTTTGCTTACCGATTCTAAGAAACAAACCGTGGTTGGATCGTTGCTTGCAATGGCCAGTTCTGTATCGCCAGGGGGCTGGGTTGGCAATCATGAACGAAACAGGTAAGTATGACGAATTTCCGAAAATTGTGGTATTGCTGTAGTCAAAACTCCAGGCAGAGCCGCCGTCTTCGGTAAAGGTAGGTGCGCACACTGAATGCGCCCTTCGTTGAGGTAACTCCGACTCACCTGAAACAGTCAGACGAGACAGCGCTGAGCGGTCTGGGCGCCCAACGAACTCCGCAAGTTGCGTTGGGCAGCTGACGGTTGAGATTCGCTAACGGTGAGCTCAAGTTTGAAGCTAATGCTTTATAAACAACAGCCGTAAGGGTCTTGCGATCCTGGACATGACAGGTGCAACACCACCGAACCGGGACCCGTGTGTCGTCTGCCGTCGTCGGCATTGGATCTTACCAGCTTTCCACCGACGTCGGGATATTCCAGAAGGAGCCCATAGTGGGGATGTGGGGCTACAGAGCTGACGAGCCCCACCATAGCTCCAAAATGACATCGTATACCTTAGGTACAGTACCTTAGGCATGGCCCGCGACTCGCCCCCTGAGACTCAAATCACCTTCCCAACACCAACATCAGGTTGCGCATACGATATTGACTCTTTGGAATCTCCAATGATAGACGATAGTCACGACACACAAGCCGAGATGCCTATGGGAACGGGCGCTGAAATCGAGGCTCCACCTGAAGGTGCCTCGAGCTCTCCGAGCCCGAAGTCAAAGGGCAAAGCCAAGGCTGTAGGTGCGTGCTCGAAGTCAGGTCACCCAGCAGTTTCGAGCTGACGCATGGGAATAGACATTGAGCATCGCAAGTTATCCAAAGAGTGTCGTCTACTCTCTCTCCCCGTCGAGCTTATCGCCAGCATCCTGTCCTATCTTACTCCCGCAGACCTCGACTCAGTCTCGGAAACATGCGGGGCTCTGTACCGTCAGGCCACCGACGACCATTTGTGGCAGATACTCGTTCAGAGGAACGTGCCGGGACAACGCGTTACCTCCCCTTATCCTTGCCTCACCTTCCGCGACCTGTTCTGGGCCCACGAACCACGCTGGTTCCTCCCGAGATACAAGATCTGGTTTTCTGACGCTGGCCTTCCCGGACGTTTGATCGTAGCCCGCTACGACCAACGGCGCGGATGCATCGAGGGGTACCAACTGCTTGCGACCAATACAGACACGAGTCACATCCCATGGCAACCCGAGGGCTTTGACTCCGGCATCCGGGTCAGTGCCTTTGCCCCTGAAGTCAGGCTCCACCTCGATAATCCTGTCCTCAGACTGCCGGTAGATCCTCAATATGACGTGGAAGAAAATGACGACCTCGTCGTCATACATCTGGAGCGCCGCCAAGCAAGCGATGGCACCACTAACAACCATGGATTGACCGCCAGCCCCGCGCAAGTTCAGACTTCACGACCCCGTCGGAAAAAGATGTTCCAGACGGAAATTCCCATGCGACGAAGCTCTCGAGGTCACCTACGATGCAGCTTCATCCACGCTCAGTGCCTGAAATCCGATGATAGAGAAGCGCGCACTGCTAACACTGCCACGCGCTTCCCATACGGCCACATCTGGCCGCCACCCTCAATACCAAGCCAGCACTGTGTGATGGGCGCCGGCTTGGAGCGACCCGGGTCTCTGCAAACCCAAGACCGTGCTGTATCGCCGCGCGATGTCTATGAGGGGGCATTTCGAATACGAAAGTGGCTCGAAAGGAGAGAGCTCGAGTATAGTACGTTTCCTCACCCGTTTGCATTCATGTGTCTTCTTCATAAAACCATGAAATTGTCTTACTGCTCATTTCCCACGTTTATATATCCATAAATTGCTATGGCCTTTTTCGCCGTGCCTCAGCTTCGATGCTGTTAGCCCAACTGGCTTAAGCTTCCCAAACCTCCCCTCGTAATCCTGGCGGACATGATTGTTACATATACTGACCATCTCTGCTTCGCAGCTCCTCAATTCCAGTCTGGCACTCTCGCAGCGATCAACCCGCACACTTGGTACCCATTGGTGCCAGCTTATTCTTTTCCTACGATGATGCCGCTTCCGCGCAGCACAAGCGCCGGCGAGGAGATCGCCACGTATGCAACCCTTTATCCGTCTCTGTACACGCCTACGCCAAGCAAGCCATTCCGGGGAATCTTCGTGGGCGACTACGGGCCCCATGGTTGCGAGTTCATCTGGATCGAGCAGCACCAAGACGATCTGGACGATATTGTCAGCCTCGAGGGCGAGTCCGACGAAGATTTTGCTGCCCGCAAGCGCGACGCCACCATCTACCGCGGCAGTCTCGAGGCCGTGAAGCTCACCGGCGATCCTAACGTGCCCCGCGGGGAGATCACGTTCTATGCCCCGGATTTGGGTGAAGACGGATTCGTGCGCGTCGCGCAGGAGCCTCCGTTTCTGGGGGTCAGGGTGGTCCGGAGCAAGGGACACGTTGCGAATGAAGGTTTTGCTATCGGTGAGTGCCCAAGCGAGGCCTGTCAGCTTTATGGTTCTGTATAAAGGGGGCTGCGGCTGACAACCAAGGTGGATCGTCATTAGACGCTTTTATCGACGGGGAACTGCTCCTGATTTCTCCTGACTGTCTGGCTCACCACTGGATTGATATGGGAAGGGTCAGCTATTTCCACCGTGTGGACATCGATCGGTTTCTGGTCCCGGGGTGAGCGCGGAGTGTAGCGGTAAGTGTAGTTTGAAGGTTGAATAGTTCCATTGTGGTTACGGAAGCATGAATCCAGGTGGGCAGCGACAAGGTTACCGGCAGGATGAGTCTAGATGACATTTCAGCAGTCGGGCAGGGAGGCTGTGATTGCGTTGTGTACTTGTACAATACACTACCTTGAGCTCAGCGTATGTATGTAAAGAATGAGTTGCATGGGTACCCCAAAATGATTGCTGTCTGGGTGTTCTTTCCGTGAGATTGCTCAGCCCATTATCTAAACACTGCCATATGGCGCCGGTGCACTTCTGGGGAAATGGGGCTAGGTCTCCCTCTGATTGTATAATACCCTCTCCGCGTTAACATAATCAGGTAAGTAACTTCATTCCAGAAAACATTGGTCCATAAGCTCTTCGACATCAATTCTACTTACTCTTAAGCGATCTATTCACAAGTGAGCATTTTTCTTCGTAACAATAACTTTTAGTGTAGTTAGATACATTTCACATTATATTATTCTTAAGGGAGCACCCGTTAGGTTGTTCTTTTCGAAGATGAAGATTTCTGTCTCATAGAGGAGGACATTCATTGTAACATTATAACTATTGGTAAGAATAAATCACCTGAGCATTCTGACGGTCAAATATATTAGCATAAATGAGTATCTTACGGCAGCAGGCTGGAACTCGCCTTTATTTTCGTAGATGCCGGTGGGGTGGGGCCCTATGGTGAACTGCAGACCTGCGACGGGTACATTACATACAGTAGTTATACTAACTATCCAAAGCTATACGCCATGCTCTAACGACACCATTCGCTTTCCGAAGCCTGCTGATCGATACAAGAAGAGCACACAGACCAAATAGATCGCCGTCAGACAGTTAGACAGCCAGACAGTCGAACAGAGACCTATGCAAGCATAATTACCTTGTCACGCGCTATCCTTCACCCCACACCCCCCCGGCACAGCGTCCTGCCTCTTCATCCCTTCCCGCACCTCCTCCGCCTCCCTGCGGAACCCACACCCATATGTCTCCCCCGTCGACCACGTCAGGCCCTTCCCATCCCCATTATCAGTACATCGTGGACAAATCTTCACCCGATGCCACGCCGTGGCAAGGTTGCCGCGCACGTTGTATATCCCCTTGTGGCTCTCCGGCTGGGTATTATACGCGTCGTCGGTCGCCTTGACGACGAGGGTGGTGCAGTGTTTTTGTTGTTTGGCCCCCGCCCCGCTCCTCCGGTCGTGGCATCCCGCTGGTTCGGCGGCCGATGAGGCTGATTTATCTTGGTCGGAGGGGAAAGACGAAGGGAGAGATAAGACGGGCAGCTTGCCGACGTAGCGCCAGCGCTTCCACGCCCAGGCCTTGTTGCCGAAGCAGGGATAGGTGCCGCCTGATTGGGCGCAGTCGTTCACTAGCTCGGCTTGATCCCAGGTTTTGCCGCCGTCCAGGGACACGTCGACGCGGGCGATGGGGCGGCCGCCGCCTGAGTAAGCGTAGCCGTGCAGGGCGATGGGCTCATCAGCAGGCGTGGTGGCGGGGCAGGAGGCTTCGGGGGAGGAGAGGGAATGCTTTGGGGTGAAGCCTATTCTTTTGGGGATGGCGGCCATATCGGCGATGCGGCTCGTCTGGTCGCTCGGTTGGCGGATGGTCGTCGAATTGCTGTTGCTGCTGCGGCTGCTGCTGCCCATCCATGGGACGCGGCCTCTCAGCACGTCGTCCCCAACCCAGACGTTCGTGATGGCGCTGGTCACGGGCATTTCTTGGATGGCGAGAGCGCGATCCCAGTCCGGGTTCGCGCCCTCGTTAGGACCGAACGATTTGTAGTCGCGGCGTTGCCACTGACTGGTGCTCTCTTCGTCCGAAATGACAATCTTACTGAGCCACTTCACTGAGCGCGCGGCAACGTGTCCGGGCACGACGGCCCGAAGAGGAAAGCCGTGGTCTCGGGGCAGCGTCTCGCCGTTCATGCCAAAGGCCAAAAGCACGTCGCCCCGGGGATCAACGGCCTTGGCGAGCGGAATGGAGGCGCCGTAAGCTTCAAGTCCGGTAAACTGAACGTGGAGATCGTTGGCGTCGACCTCAACATCGCTTGGTTTGTCCGGGCCTCCTTTTCGCGTAGGCAACGTAGGATCGCGCACCTTGAGTCCGGCATCAGCGAGGACATCCGAGAGCCGCACTCCTTCCCATTCGGCATTGCTGATGGCCCCTACACCCCATTGCAATCCATTCGTCTTGCCAGCGTGTCGCGTCATATCGTTCCGCCTGTTCCCGCTACATTGCAGGACTGCAGTGACCTTGTGTATCGGGAACCTCGTCTTGAGGTCTTCCAGGGTGTATTCCTTGATATCGCCGTCCGGCAGCTCAATGGTTAAGCGATGACCGCCTGCTTTCGCCTCGTCCACCACAGGCACCCACATGTGGTGTCGGATGTAGAACAGCTCGTTAGGGGTTAGAAACGTGCGGTCGAGCTCCTCGTGGGGCGGTTCAGCGTTCCGCGGCTTGGCCGTATGTGTAATGAGGCGGGGGTCACGCACAGGGTCGTTCACGAAAGGGTCCTCGATGGTCTCGGCCGGCGGCATTCCATCAGGCCCCAAGTCCGCGACGTCGATGAACCCAATCAGGTATTGCTGCAGGATCTCGCGCACGTGTGGCGCCTTGTGTATGCTAAAAATGTTCCAGTACGGCTCAACACTTGCGCCGGCCGCGCGGAGGATGACATCGCCGCCAGGGTGCGCCGCCACCCAATCTGTGATATTGTAGACTTTGTCCTCGAAGGTAACCCATGGTTCGGGTGAGGAGGCATCGTGTTTGCGAATGTCAGCAAGCCGGTACCTGGGGAGGGAGGGATCACGGTCGTCGGTCGGGGCGCGGGGCGGCGCGGGTTCGAACTTGAGGACGTCCTCGCCAAGTTGAGAGTAGGCCAGAAACGAGGCGACAAGACCGCTGCCAACAAGCAGGCTGACTGGGGCTGCTCGTGCCTGGAAATGCCGCCTTGGTGGTTTTGGCAGCATGGATGTCGATGCCCCCCGTATACCTGTTGTCGAAGCTCGAGGAACGCTTACGTGTAGGCGGCGAGGCAGGGGTCGGCATTGTTGACAAGCTGTCAGCTCTCCGACACTGCGTCGACCGAACTGCCGGAGGATGGTGGCCGCGAAGTGTTTCTGACCTTGTGTAGCCATGGCAACTGCGGACAAGGACGGTGGGCCAGCGCGCAAAGACCGATCCCTCGCGCGAGCCTACTCTCGAGCCGTTAATCTTCCCCTACTTTATGAGGAGCAGCCCCCAGGTTCGCCGCTGTCGTCTCAGCAAGTCAAGATTTGACCGACGAGACGGATAGGTTCGGTGAGAACTGGGAAGCCAACAGACCGGTGTTGCGCAGTATCACGGTGGGACAGAGCTGAGCAACACGGCGTGGCAATCGTTGGTTGAAGACGGAATTCCGTGAGTACGATCCTTCCGAATCTGTCGAACTTCCTACTTCACCGCCCAACTCCGTATCGAGACATGAAAAGGAGTCATGGCGTCGATAAGCAACAGCCACAATCGAAAACTGACCAGGAAGAAACTCTGTACTCGGTTGGCGAGCAAGGGGTGGTTTGGCTGTTGAGTCGAACCGACGGTGGCCGTCCCCGGGAATCGGAGTGGATCTCTTTACGTCAGGTTTCAGGGCAGCTGCAGGCCGGAAACGTTCCCATACGCTGGGACCTGCGCGATTGGCCAGCTGACCGGGCCCGGAACCTGCCCGTGACAGAACCAGTGGGTCCAACATCTCGCCGAGACATGAGCCACCGATGTCCGCCGATTTCCGTTTCCCTCATCCATTCGATGTCTGCCAATTCCTCGGCCCGCGTGCCATGCTATGACGGCAATGCAACGGCTTCGATGGCGAAAAAGCAAAACAAAACAAAGTTAGTTATGATATTCATTTACATCCGTACCAGCTGACCAGTTACCCAGACAGAAGGTGGCGCTCTGACACAAAGCACGTGATCTGGATGGTGGAGAATTGCAAGTCAAAAATCCCCAACGTTCCGCGCATCCCTATGCACCAACCTACAGAAAGCCAACAACACCTATTACCAAAGCGGACAGAAATATCAGAGCAAACCTTCGCCTATTCAACATCAATGATTCCGAGCCATGTCCCAGTCACCACCGTCTCCCCCCGGTCTCGATCCCCAAAACCGGCCACGACCGTAGGCAACACCACGCAACACCCACCGCCTCTTCCACCAAACCCGGGCCACTCCCCCGGAACCTTACACCTCACACCACATGCTGTGCCGAGTTGAGTCTGGTTTAAGCGCCCCGCCGTGTCCCGGCCCCAGACAATCTCACCCCAACGCCATCCCCACCACCGCCACCAGAACCACCCCACGTCTTCTTTTTGATCGCAGGCGCCAACTTCTTCACTACCTCCTGCCTCGGCGGCGCCCCGCGAACAAGCGGCTCGGCATACGACACGGTTGTCGCAGCCTTGGCCCTACTCCACGGTGTCTTTGTGGCTTTGGGCCCACGCGCCTGGTCAGTAGCGGCAACGGCGACGGCAGGAGGCTCATCAGCGCCGCGTTTCCGCTTGGCTGAGGCGGCGCGCGTATTGTAACGGGTTGTGCGCGCTGCTGCTGGGCCGGGGGTTGGCTTGACTGTCTTGGTTCGGGGTTGGGCCTTGGGCTTTGGTTCTTTGGTCGATTTTGGCGGCCTCGCGGGTTTCGCTGTTGCTGATTTTGCAGGTGCCGACTTTGCAGGTGTTGGTTGGCCCTGGCGGACACCAGGCTTCTTGGGAGCGTCCGGAGTGGGTGCTGCTGGGCGGGGGGGAGACGCTGGCGTCGGTGGTTTCCCCTGCGCCAGTCTTGCGGTGGGTGACCTTGATGGGGGAAGGAACATTGGCTTTGGGCCTGTCTGGCGTTAGCAAGTCGATGATCGGGAGGGATGGGAGGAAGGATACCGACCTCTTTGGGGCCGTCTTCTCGGCTTGCGTTGCCGTGCGCCCGGCTTTTGCTGTCCGCCGGCGCTTTGCCCGTCGATCTTAGGAGGCGCGGATGCCAGATTGGAGCGGCGAGTGTATCCCATACCGCCTGAGGTTAGCTCAGGTCCCATACGAAGAGCCACGTTCTCGTCCCAGTGTAACACTGGCCCGTGGGCTAGGGTGCTTACGTATGGACATCACACCAAATCTCAGTCGGGAACTGACTGACCAAGAGCTCTCACAACCCGGGTACTTCATATCAATCCATATCGTCCTCGAGTGTGTCAGGCTTTTCCTCGTTCTCCATCGTGTCTCTTGCAGCCAGCTTTTGGGCCGCCTGCTTTGCATCCCAATACGACTTCCTGCCTCTTACCAGGGCCCCCTTTCAAACCCCTCCAGTACCGCCTCCAGCCGGCACCGTAACATCCGCCCGCCTCACTATCTCCTCCAACTGATCCTGTACGTCGGCAAAGATGTTGATGGCCTGCACCAACTTGACCTCGCCCGCCCCTCCGTCAGCCCTCGTAAATGCCATCCGCCAGAGGCCCTCATCCTTGACCACAGCCTCGAGCATCCTTCGCCTTTCTGCCCCCAACAGGTGAGTGGCTACAGAATGGCTGCCACCGGCAGAAGCAGCAGTGGCAGCGGCGACTTTGAGTGCTTGCCCAATTTCGGCGGCCCGGGGCCACGTCGCAGCCGGCGTGGCAGCCAGCTCGGCCAGCAGGGATGGAGAGATGGTGATGTGCTGGATCCCAGCAAGCTGCATTACCTGTTCCACACTCGTCAAGGATGCAGCGACGACGTGAGTTTTGCTCCCTGGTCTGGAGTTGAGGTAGTGCTGTGCGGCACCACAGAGGGCGAGAGACGGGTTGGCATCGGTGTACCTGTGCAACACGTCAACTACCGAAGACCTTTTATATAAACACCGACCGATTATCAACCCGCTTTTGAGTGGAGGAAGGCTTGACTGCTTCATCCCGTGAACGTGTAAGGCACGCAAAGACAACTGTCACAGTACATACCTTGGATCAAAGTGCACGCGCAACTCATTCACGTAGGGGGCAATGCACCGGCATCCGGCGTCGGCTGCCAGGGCCGTCTGCTCGAGGCTGAAGAGGGCTGTAGCGAGCGTGCTGATGTCCTTCTTCTCGAGCTCACGGCAGGCTTGAATGCCCTCCCAGGTGGAGGGAATCTTGATGCAGATGCGACTGGTAGCGAAATCGGGGGCTAGCTGTTTGAAGTGAGATATGATCCCTGGGAGACTGTTAATGGGGATTTGCGCAGGGAGAGGTGGGATTTTCCTGGTGTCCTACTCTCGGCGTTTGTGACAGTCTTTTGCGCGGAATAGGCGGATTTGGGGTTTGTCTGGACGTGCAGATAACCCGTGGTATGAGGGGCGAGTCGGATCGACAAGCCAACCATCTGTTCACTTGTGAGCAAGTGGCTCAACTAGAGGTAAGGCGCAGCATGGAGGCGGCACGCTCACCATCAATTCGACGGCCAGCTCCTCCAGCGTCGCATCAGTCTGCTTGCCAAACAGCCAGTGCGCGACCTGGATGGACTCGGCGATGAGTTGCCGGTACCTCGGCTTTCCATCGCTGTCAAGTCTGCTCAGTTCGGCAAAGGCGATGGCCTAATCGAGACGCCCATGGCTACCTGGTTAGCTAGGCTGCTCTTCGTACATCTTTCTGGGAAATACCCGCCTGGTTCGACGTGCAGTCGGTGAAAGGACCGAGTTTCGCAGCCGCTGTCTGAGATTAGCGGCTTGTACTGTGAGAGTCCTGCCTCAGCCTGGGTTGACTCGCCTTCGGCATCTAGGGTGTCGCAGTCTACGGCACTCAGCGTCCGCAGCTGATCGAGAAGAGTAGCCATGCCGGGTGTTGCCGTGACTCGAAAGAGAGCAGAGGAGTCGAGGTCCCGGTACGAGAGGGTCACAGCAAGGTACGGAAAGACCCATTCAGTGGGATGCAATTGCCCTCTTGTCGCCGACGAACAGTAGAAACATCAGGTGATGGATGATGTCTTCCTGCAGATGCCGGGCGGAGTTCGGCCGGCCTGTGGGGCATCCGGAATAGTGGGTCGCACGCCCCATGTCCGCTCCGGTGAATTCGCCGGGATTCTCTTCCGAGGACAGAAAGACGGGAAGGCTCAGGGGCTTCGAGCTTGGGCTCGGGGGTTGTGGAACGTATTTTTCAGTAACAAGCGGGCTCGGTAAACCGGCAGCTCAGCTGGTATCCTGGTCTTACATGCCCAAGACTGCATCCAAGCTCGTCGACCGTTGGGTGAGTACCGCATCCAGAATGGGTGCTCCAGGACAAGGGAAGGCGGGCTTCAGCGACAGCTCGAGGGCGCCCCCAACGCTCAGGTAATCAGACCACGGTAAACCGATCTGCGTGGTCAGGCCATGCAGCCGCTCAGGCCGTCCATAAGGGCCATGTCGACTAAGGTAGCCGCTGGCCACTGTAGATGCGGATGCACTGCAATTTGCGCCGGGAAGAACAGCGAAGCGGCCGGTTATGGGTCGGTGCTTGAGCTGCTGAAACCCCGTCCTGATGGATTGTGAAACATGTCGAGAAAACAATGAGTCCGGCGGTGACTGCTGGGTGTCGGATGATGACCTCAATTACTTGTGCAGGGCGAACGCTATTGGCGACATAGACGCCGGTGTTGACGCTAGGATCATCTCCAGGAACACAAAGCGCAGGACACTCCCGGCGCTTGGAGAACGGGCGGTACTAACACTGAGCCATATCCACGTGGTTACCGAGATTTGGCTTATGCCGTGTCACGCGCGTACTGCGGAGTGTCTGGAAGCGTATTTGCGGTTGCACCACCGTTGCCTTCCAGTTGCATCAGCAAAACTGTCAGGCGACCGGATTGGCTAGATTCTAGTTGATCCAGCCGTTCCTCCGTACTAGCGTCAGCCATCACTACTGTTATTTGGTGAATACGTGAACGGTTATTTCCCCCTCGTTAAGAAGGATGTCACCTAGTTACCATACAAAATTATATGCAAGATACATTCTCGACGACTCGACCAAAAAGTGAACATCACTACCACGATCACCAGCGCTCGCGACTACCATCAACGACGACGACGACGACGACGACGACGATGCGGCGTGACCTGGGTCGGGTGACTCACAGATCGGGTAGTTGTCTATTTAATGGTGGTTTTGCGAGCAAGATCTTCAAACTTCAACTTCTTCAACTACCGTACACATCTTCAAACTCTCTGGCTCTCTGCATCTCTCTGGCTCTCTGGTATCTCTTTAATCCTCCTTGCAATGCACCGACTAATTGATTTGCAGATGCTTTTGCATAGTCGGCCAACCTTTGCATCCTCCGCATCAACCGCCCTCTGCAAAAACCGCCGCCCTCTACATCAACGGACCTCTGCATTGCAACTTACCCTAGTAGTTCCAACACTGCAGTTGAGATCAATTGAAGTTCATCTTCCGTGCCTTCCAACTGCATCAGCCCGTGTGTGTTGGTGCGTGAAGCCACCTGTGTTTCTGAGCCAATCAGAAACCCCTGTTGCCTGGGCAGGGGGGAATAAACCGTTGTTGGTGCAATCAATAACCTTAGCTCACAGATAACCGTACCGCTACCGTTCACCACAACCGCTGCCCAACCGTAACTACCCGGCCCCGATGCCCTGCTAATTACGTAAATCACCTCCACGGAGACGGATACTGCATGTCTATTTGTTCCTGGTCTGTTGGTCAGAAAGCGAGTTGCAGGATCGATTTTCGAGGTTTAGGTTTGGTTCTGGGGAAGTGGGCCTTTGCTGGGCAGGAAAGCTTGGCAGCAGCCACATTAGATTCCGAGCCTAGCCACAGTTGTTGTGCCACAGCCGAAATCTGCGCCTCGCGACCTTCGGTTGAAGCTTGAGCCATTCGCTGCTTAAACGTTCAAAACGCCGATTGACGAACAGCGATGGCGATGCCGCCCGGCATCTGAGACGACGATGCGGCCGCCAATTCAAGGCCTTCTAGCCAGGCCAGTTGTTTTCGACAAAATATGCTGGCAATGCACGCAACGAGCTCTCCGCCAGGCCGATCGGTTGCCAAGGGCCACGAGATCTTTCTCAAAGTCGACTCTGCCGCATGCCCCCGCCTTGGGTGTTGCCGCCGCCCTGCCTCGACACCAGTTTAGGGCCGGCTATTTCCTCTCCAATGCCCTCCTCGCCCGCTCCAATGGCACATCCATCGCCTCACCGGGCCCCGACAGCTCGGCTCTAACTGCCGATGCTCGCGGGACCACTTCTGACAGGCCAACCGATAACCTCCCCCTTCCGCACCGCCGACGACAAGCTGCAAGACGTGATGCTGCCGCCAATGCACCCGAGTCATCGACCCCAACCCCATCAACAAATTCAATGGCAACGTCTTTGCCTCCCGACGCCTCCTCCCGCCTAGCCGACACAGCCGCCCGCGCACCAGCCCATTCGCTCCGACGCACCCTCTCCGCCCTCCTCTCTCTCTCCAAACCCCGCCTCACCGTCCTCGTCGTCCTCTCTGCAATGGTCCCCTACGCCCTCTACCCGGTCCCGGCCTTCCTCTCCTCCGGCGCCCTCGCCTCGGCAGCCGAGCACATCCCCTCCCTCTCGCCGCTAACCCTCCTCTTCCTCACGACGGGCACAACCCTCTGCTCGGCCGCCGCCAACGCACTCAACATGCTCTACGAGCCCGACACCGACGCCAGGATGAGCCGCACCCGCACCCGCCCGCTGGTGCGGGGGTTGCTGACCACTCGCGCCGCGGTGCTGTTTGCGCTGGGCTGCGGGGCTGCGGGGATAGCCGCGCTGTACCTCGGCGTCAATCCCACGGTGGCGTTTCTGGGTGCCGCGAATATCGCGCTCTATGCGGGCGCGTATACCCCCCTCAAGCGCGTCTCGGCGGTGAATACGTGGGTCGGGGCTGTCGTGGGCGGGATTCCGCCGCTGATGGGCTGGGCAGCTGCCGCTGGGGAGAGCGCCACGGGAGACGGGACGTGGCGGGAGCTGTTGTTTGCCAGCGACGGGTCGAGCTTGGGAGGGTGGTTGTTCGCCGGGCTGCTGTTTGCGTGGCAATTTCCACACTTTATGCCGCTGTCATGGGGGATTCGGGAGGAGTACAAGGCTGCCGGGTTGAGAATGCTGTGCTGGGTGAATCCCGCCAGGAATGCGAGGGTTGCGTTGCGGTACAGCATTGTGTTTGTCCCGCTGTGTATGGGACTGTGTGCAGCGGGGATTACCGAGTGGAGCTTTGCGGTGACGAGTCTGCCCGTCAATCTGTGGTTGATCCGCCAGGCCATCAGGTTTTGGCGCTACCAGGGACACAAGGGCAGCGCGCGAAGTCTGTTCTGGGCCAGCGTCTGGCATTTGCCTGTCATTATGGTGCTGGCGCTGGCACAGAAAAAGGGGATGTGGACACGTGTGTGGAAGAGCGTGGCCGGTGAGCCGGAAGAGGAGGAATTTGACGAGGACGATGCCGAGTGGGTTGACATCTCCGGCTCCGAGTCCGGAGTTGTGGGGCCGACTGGCACAAGCCGGCGGTGATTCAGTGGGGCCGTTCGGTTCCTCTTTGGTGTAACAATAAGTGGAGCGAACTCGGAGGTTGACATTTGTCACTCTTTTCTTGTATCATGAAAGCACATGGATAGATCTGGGCACCTCTCTTGTTTTCAAAAACACAGTACAGAGGTACAGTCTGACAACAATCCTAGACTTTCTTTGGCGATCCCAGCAGCAGGATGCATCCGCGCAAGCCCCAGTTCAGAAGATCGCGATGCAGCGTAGCAGTCGATAATCCGTCGGATCACCGATCTTGGCATGTATCTCTTCACCCCTGCTGGCCGACCACATCATAAATCCCTTCAATGCTCTTCTCCGCAGTCTGATTCCGGAAAACCCAGCATGTTGGGTGGTCGAAGCAGATCCCGAGTTGGAGACTACCTTATCTGTTACAGATCGCCGTCGCGCCGCAGCCATCGCCCTCGTCGAAAAGCCCAACCTCCTTGTCTCCAACGCACCCATCTCCACTATATGATCAAGCAGTATCACAAAATGGGCCCCGAGGCCAGGCCCGTTCATACTAGTATTACTACACACTACATTTACTCCTAGTCCATTCCATAAATCACAACCTCAATACGGCCCTCCCATGACCCAGCGAGCCGCGCCGCTTATGAACACAGCAACTGGCACCAAGCCCAAACCAACCTCGAATTCCCGTGCCACACACGCCACCGTAGGATTGATGTTGTCTTGAGTCAATGACTCCCCGCAAACCTCTGACCAACAGCCTGACGAAGTTGTGCCTGTGGCCTGGCATCTCAGTCCCACCTCCCATCATGACCCTTGTTCGGGATTTCAAGAACGCCATGGATATGCAAGACTCGAAGAAAAAAATGAGGATGATACAGATCCAGTCCGTTAATCACTGGCGTACTTTCACCTCCCGTCCCATCTATAGCTGATGCATGCATGCTTGAGATAAAGAAGCAGTAGCAACGGGAAACCGTAACAGGAACCCAATAAACAGAAAGAGACTAGAGAGAAAAACGGAACGGTGAATAGCATCCTCTCGCAATGTCTGCGGCGCAAAGGTTGCGCAAAAGCGCCCAGCGGCAGGCCGGCGCTGTTTCAACCCGGCCGCGCCGCCACCCAGCCTAGCCAACCGTCGGCACTGAACCGTAAACTCCAATCCGATTGAGGAAGGAAAGCACACGCCCACAACTCCAGGTCAACAGTCCAACCAAACGCCGTTGCAGTGCCTGCGGATCCCGAACCCCAGAACGTCATACATGACCGTATCAAAACACCAACGCCGGGTGTTACACCCTTTCTCAGCCTAAATGGCTCATGAACGAGCCCATCCAGTAAAACACCCTCCTTTCCACTTCATGGCAAGACATGGCATGATCAAGATGCTCCATCCGATGCCCGCTCAGCCCAGACATAGAAAGGATGATAATGATTAAAAGGAGAGTGAGAGAGTAGAACCAACGGAATGAGTGGAACAAAACAAACGCTATGCAGATAGAAACAAAAGGGAATAAGTGATTACCTCTAGCTGCCATGCCCCCGATTGATAATGGCGTCGATCCCCATGTCCCCGACGCTGGGCAGTCGCGCGCCATGTCCCATGTACGGACTCGTGCCCTGGCTTCCCGACCCAGAAGGCTGTTGATGCCCGGCTCCGGCATACCCGGCCGCGGTCCCCGTGCTCGAGACGCTGTTGCTATACCCGTGCCCCTGGTGGTGTGTCTGCTGATGGTGTTGGTGTCCGTAGCCGCCGTACCCCTGATACCCCACCGCCGGTGCAGCTTGGGCATGGTGGTGTTGGTGTTGATGATGGTGGTGCATGTTTGCGAATGCCGGGTGAGGATGAGAGCCGGCGGACCCAGCTGAGCCGGAGCTGCCGCCTGGCGTGGAGTGCGCACCGGTCGTGGAGCCGCCAGTTTCCGGGGAGCTGTAGGACTGGTCTGCGGCGTCGACGTCGTCCACAGGTGTCAGGCAGCCGAGGGCGCCGTCGGTGTCATCGTAGGCGGCCAGCGGCTGGCCCGATTCGAGGCGTTCACGGCGAGCATGAGCGCGAGCGTGGGACTGGATGTTTTTGAGGCCGTTGGACATGCACTGGAAAAGGGTGGAGCGGTTAGGACAATTTGGGAGGAGACGGGAATGGGGGGATGGGGTAAAGAACACAACACACCTGCAACTCAACAACATTCCACTTTTCGCCGCACCGTGTAGCAAGCGGTTGCCAGATCTCCTTGCGCATGCTCATGTACTCCTTGCATAGCCGCTCAAGCTTGCGGTTGTCAAACTCATTTTGGCCACGGCGTTCCATCAGCCTCTCGTGCCTCTTCCGGCAGGCATTGCCCGTCTTGCCCGGAAACGCTTCCCTTTGGATCTGATTCCAATTCTTTCCCATGGCGCGCAGAGTCAATAGTGTCCGGTCATCCTCCTGGTTCCATGCGCCCGATGATGCGCGGTGTTGTGTCGGCAGAGGCCCGCCTACAGGACCGCCCATCGCGGTGCCTGCTGTTGGCATCTGAAGAGGGGGAACTGCGCTCACGGCATATGCGTCATATCCTGGCATTGGTATGCCACTAGCACCGGTTCCCGAGAGATCGGGGTAAAAACCGGACATTGGCCGGGTGCTCTGATAGTAGGACATGGCGGACACGGTCGGCGCAAGGGACACTGGAATGTGTTGTTGGTATTGTTGCTGACTAGGTGTCCGTGTCAAGTCGGGCATGGTACGGTTGGCAGTCTGTTGAGCCGGTTTCCCTCTCTTCAGAGGGTAGGAGGCCGGCAAGAGAACGGAGTCGGCGGCGGAACGAGGTCGACAAGGCGATTCTAGGTCGGGTTTGGTCGATCACGGCTACCTCGACGACTTGGGCGTATGGTAAGGCTTTGTTTGGGCGCTTCGAGAAGCAAGAGGTTGATGGGGATGCACCGTTTCGTGTCAACTGAAAGGGCTGGCCAGCAGCCAGCAGTGATGAGAAGCGAGAGAGATGAGAGACCAAGGAAATCTAGGAAGCAGAACAAAGAAAAAAGAGGGAAAAGATGGCGAACAGGTCGCGAGGCGGCTGGTCTATGGGTTCGAGGACTGAGAGACTGGGCCGGCCGGAAGAGAAGGAGAGGCGGTCGACTTATTGTATCTCAAAAAGAAACATCAAGATGGGGTCAGTACATGGCCGTCTTAGCAGGCCCGATCTTCGCAGAGCCCACAGGGCCGGCCCGGGCAGCTTGTTAGATCTGAAACGAAGGTGCAGCTCTCTCAAGAGCTGGCTTGATGAAACCAAGCTCGTGTATCTATTTGACCTCGCTCGGCGGCCAGCGGCCTCTTTTACTGGCTGACGGGGTCGCAGATGGCGTTTGTTTGAAGATGGGCGGCTATGGACTCGGCCATCTCTCACTGATGTATCCAGAGGGCGGTTAAACGTTGCTAGACCTCGGGGTCTGGCGCCGGACAAGGGGGTACCGGTAGCAGGGGGCCCGGATCTGATTGCCGGTAATGTACAAAAAGTGATCCAGGGTCCTGGGGGCAATAGCAGTGCCACGCAGAAAGACAGGAATCACAGTTTAACCGTCATGTCAATGCTGAGGATTTGCAACACTGGCCGGTTTTCGCTGGTGGTATGGTGCGGTGCTGTGCCGTTACCTCGCCAGGCCGTTGCGATGCGCACTTGACGCAGGTACCGAGTATCTCAGATGCGCGGCCGAATGCGGCAACGCCTGTGGGGTGTACAGAAGGGGAAGTGTCAAAAAATAGCACCCCTTCCCGGAGAGCCGCTCGGAGAGTTAGCCGCCCAGCCTTGCGCAAAGCCAAAGCCCAGTCTCGCCGCAACTCATTTGCCTTCTCTTCTGTCCGTATGCCACGGTTTCCGCTTAGTTGGGCAGCTGAGCATCAGCAACGCTGGACTGTGCAGCAAAAGGTAAAATGGTAGCCCGTTACGAGGCTGCCCCAAGTAATGGGCGGCCGATCGAAGACACAAGGAATATTGGCGGGCCGGCCGTTGGCAGTGGCCAATCGCGATCTGGCCCGATCTGCGACTGGCCGTCACGCAGTCGAGGCCTGGAGCCACCATCCGGAGGGCCCATGTGAACCCGGCAGAATGGGATCCCAATCAGGGTGAGAGTACGGATTATCGTCGAAAATTCTTCCAACCTTAGACACCCTAGAAGCACGGCAGTAGCGCGCGACAATCCCTCAAGGCGAGCGTCGCGCGAGAAACGGGCGGCTGGAGATTACACAAGGAGTGCGATGTCGCAATGACAAGAGAAAAGAACATGGTTGGGGAAAGATTAAATTCGGCCCGGCAGAACTCCCGTCGCGAGGGAGGGCCCTGGAGGAATAGGGAGTTCATCGCGTGTCGTGCAGCACGCGCTCTGTAGCCGCGGGGCGCATGAAATGAAGCAATTCTTGCGGCGGCAAACGGACGCGGAAGCCGGAAAGCAACGCGCTCGACGATGCCACTCGAGCTCCAACAAACAGGATGACAACGCAAGAAAAGCTGGACAAAATCTTGAAACATGGCTTCAAGTGTTTGTTGGCTTCTCCAACCTTGGTCGGTGGCTGGATTGGTTGCTTTGCCGAAGCCCAAGTCCTCCCCAAGTTGAAATGAGGTGGACGGGGGAAAATAACTGAGGCGCGCGTCAGTTGCCTTTGTCTCGCTTGTGTCTGGGGACGCACCCGCCCATAAAGTGGGGTCGTTTCAAATCAAAATCGCCCATTGGATAATCTGACGAGCTGCACTGGAGATCATGATCGTCCTTCCAAGCCGGGTGGACCAGCACTCGTCCGTGTGAGTAGTGGTTGAATTTTGTTAGTGTTAGTCACGTGAATAGTGCGCTACTGCCGCTTTTGGAATGGTGAAAGTCGCGCCGTTCTTTTCGTTCCTCGTTTGCAGCTTGAACTGCCCTCTCACTGAGCTGACCCTATCCGCAGGGCAAACTTTCAAGGCTGGATTCCTCTTTGCGGCTGGACCCAACTGACGCAGGGAGGTGTACCATCTCATCTTCCAATTGCCCGGGTGTGCATCCCTTTGCCGGAACGATGGCACCTAACGGAGATCCGGCATCGCGCCCGGCGGAGCAGCACAACGGAGAGGCCAAGCCTGCTGTGCATTGTACCGTGACCCATATATTCACGTTCCCGGCATTTCATCTCCTTGTTCAGCTCCCCCGCGGCTCGCTCAGCCGCAGCCTCACATGTTGAGGTATGCCAGGTCTATCGGATGGCAGGCCGGAGCACTTGCGGCCCCAGTCGGCGACCGTTTGTTTCGAAACATTTCAGACCCTGGCTTTGACCCTGTCCGGCCACCTGCCGAATTATCTGCGAGTATGCAGCGATTTTGGGCAACCATGATTAGTATCTGGTAAAACACTGAAACCGTAGGGCTGGGCCTGCCGAGGCTGGGGCTGGGCGGGGGCTGGATTGCGGCATTGTTCCGAACACACCCCCGAACGTTGCCACATTGCCATAAAGACAGTCCTTCCATCGTTGCCCACCGCCATGTGACCTGTGCCGCCTCTTCCTTGAGAGCACATCATCAATTAAGTGTCACCCTTACTATACCGTTGGTTCTATCTCTGCACTTCGGCCCGGCATTACGTCAATCAAAGCTGCCGTTTTCTATCAAGACCTAGCCGACGGCTTAGTGTTAACAGTTGTCTTCACATGGAACAGAAATGAGACCATGGTATCATCGCCTCTGAGTCACGAACTTCGCATACTGCACGTGCTGTAACAGCCGCGTGCGACTCCATTGAAACCTCGAACGGCACATCTGGGTTGGGTCTCATACCGCCTGACTTGTTGGCCCCCCGAAAGGCATTATCTGGCCCGACCTCACCGGGCCCCGGCTGCAAGGCTCCGCCGAGTCCCGGCAACCAACCACCATGACCATACCCGGACAGTTGCAAAAACCGGCAAATTTCGAGTGCGTGCTTGCCGTCACATAACAGACAGACCAAATGACCTATTACCGCCGTGGACTTGGGCGGCTTCCGACGTACAAACGTACGCATTTGGCTATGACACCAACCAGGTAGGACCTGCCCCGGCGTTCAGCGCTCTTAGACCAGCCGGGGGTTACGGCGTGGATCGTCTGGTGGCTTTGATGCAGTCCCGTGGCTTGTGTTCTGCAACTGCATGGAACGTCCAGACCAAAACCTCTTATGATGGTTCATCGGTCGAGCGGCGTCGAGGTCCAATATGTGTCAAGCAACCCTACGCCTCCATAATCCAGAAACCCGGGAACCTTGTCGGGTCGTTGGGCTTGATGCCGCACCGCCGCCGTTAGAAGGTTGCAGGAGGTCGCCCATTGAGACAATCGGCACGTGAGAAGTATTTTGAGGTGCAGCGTATCGGATGAGAGCAGTTCTCTCGCCCTGCACCCACCAGTCGGCTCCGGGACACAAGGAGAGCAGTTGCAACCCCCCTTCTCAATCAAGTTTGGAGTCCGACTTTCCCTCACACCTTGGTGAAGCTTCCACGCGCGCTCGCATCAACATCTGATTGATCCGACCATGGACGTTTTGATAGAACACCGACTTATATCCGTACTGAGCGCCCCATGGGAAAATGGAGGCAGATTCATCCCATATCCCCACTCGAGGTGGGCTTCGAGCAAAGTTGGGAAAATGGCTGCGCCGGAGACCCCCAGTCCAAGCATTCCCAAAGCAAGCCACCAGAGCCATGGAGCACAGACGCCACCAAACGGCCTTGGATGCACAGACGTGTTTCCCCGTCCTGGCGAGAAAGCTTGGCCTCAACTCCCCTCCCTTCATCAACCACTGGCACACGACGAACCGTGACCACCATACCATGATCTCTTTGCCGGCGGCCCTAGAAACGGCCCGATGTCAATGAGCCGGTACAGTCTGACAGACCCAACCTACTACCCGTACCAATGGGCTTAGGGGCGGGGCGAGGGGAAGCATTCAGGCTAAATCGGCAACTGGGTTCGGGGTTGTGGGCCCCTGGGGAAAACCCACCTGGGCACTTGTCGCGCCCTGTCGTCAGCAGACGTTTGTGGTAAGGCGCGCCGGGAGAAGCACATCGATGCAGATGGGATCGGGTCGCTTGGCTGCTTGTCTGCTTAGCTCCTTGGCCCAGATGGATTATCTTTTCTTGGTGCTGCCGATTGACGTCTATGTCACGACTCAACACAGGGCGAGAGCCACTGTGGGCGAAAACGTACGACGAGCCCTTCCGGGGAAGAGGTTCGACTGATTGACTCCTGGAAACACCTCGTTGAAGTCAGAACCCCTCAAAGCCCCAAAAAGTGGCCCGGCAAATGTCACCTATCGGTCCCGCACGGGGGTACGGGCTAGGCCCGAGAGGCGATCAGCAACTTGGCCAGTCCGACCGGCGTGGCCAATGACACTATCCTCATTCATCCGGGGAACAGTGGGACGACAGGAACTCTGCAGCTGGCCTTGCGGCTGGGTTACAGACCTGGGATTGCGAAGCATCCTCGGGGGGCAACTCCTCACCCCTCTGGGGAGAGTTCTCCATCACCCATCACTCGCTTGCTATCCAAGCCCCTGCGTTGCTCTTTTCGTGCTTCACTAGGAATCAATAGAGAGCATGCACTCGGTAATAATATGTGGACCCGGCCGGCCGGTTCTCGGCTTATCAGGCTCGTTACGGGGCAGTTGGATGAAGGGACCGGGGAACGGACATGATCTGGCTCGAGTAGATGGCATGATGGCGCTGTCGATTGGGCGGTATTGATTGCTTCCCGGTTGCGTTGCACCCTCCCGTTCATCCCGTCGCGTGGTTAGGAGGCCGACAGGGGCCAGGGGATGCAGCAAGGGAACTGCTTGTGTCTCCAGCGCCTGCATATATCTTGCAGCTTCCGGGTTCTTTTCGAGGTCTTGTTCCCGCTTGATCTTGGACCTTGCTATCCCACGCACATCCTCTCGTCCCTTCCGTGACACTGCACGCGGGATCGACCTTCATCCGTCCTCAAAGCCACCCGAACACGGACTTAGACGGGACCCGGAAGAACGAGCCACCACAATGGCCGGAGGCGACGCGGGCGCGGCCGGCTTCTACGATGCCGCGCTGCACAAGCGACAGGCCATGATGGGCAAGAGCGGTCCCTCGGCCCTGATCAAGAACTTTCGCGTCTTCCGCGTGGCCGCCTTCGCCTGCATTGGTGGCGTGCTGTACGGCTACAATCAAGGCATGTTCTCGGGCGTCCTTGCCATGCCAGCGTTCAACAGCCGTACGTACTTCCACCTGACGTTACTCTCTGATAGTATGCTAACAGCGTGCTAGACATGGGCGAGTACACGACGGACCAGACCAAGAAGGGGTGGTTGACAGCTATCTTGGAACTCGGCGCCTGGCTTGGCACCCTGCTTTCGGGTTTCCTCGCCGAGGTGCTTTCGAGGAAGTACGGTGTGATTGTGGCCTGCTGCGTGTTCATTCTCGGTGTCATTATCCAGGCCACGGCGATCAATGCTGGACACAATTCCATCTTGGCTGGGCGTTTCATTACGTGGGCTCCCCCCTTTCTCTCACGAAGGACGAGTACCATGAGGCTAACTCAACTGCAGTGGTATGGGTGTTGGCAGCCTCGCCATGATCGTTCCCATCTACAACTCCGAAGTGTCACCCCCTGAAGTGCGTGGAGCACTGGTTGCCACCCAGCAGTTGGCCATTACCTTCGGCATCATGATCAGCTTCTGGATCGACTAGTAAGGGCCCCCTGCTTCTTCCGCTTCAACGCAAAACGCCCAACTCACAAACATCCAGCGGCACCAACTACATCGGCGGCACCGGAGATACCCAGTCTGACGCAGCCTGGCTGGTCCCCATCTGCCTGCAACTCGCGCCGGCACTCATCCTGCTCGTCGGCATGATCTTCATGCCCTTCTCGCCTCGTTGGCTGGTTCACCACGGACGCGACGACGAAGCCCGCAAGGTTCTGTGCAGCCTCCGCGGCCTGCCACCTGACCACGAGCTGGTCGAGATTGAGTTCCTCGAGATCAAGGCCCAGTCACTCTTCGAGAAGCGTACCGTCGCCGAGCTCTTCCCCAACCTGCGCGAACCGACCGCCTGGAACATCTTCAAACTCCAATTCGTCTCCATCGGAAAGCTCTTCCAAACAAAGGCCATGTTCAAGCGGGTTATCGTTGCGTCTGTGACCATGTTCTTTCAGCAGGTAAGACCGGCTTCCCCTCTTTGGCAAACCACACCCGAAATCCCCACTTTGCACTTCCTTCTCCCACCTCGCCTTCCCGGATAGCTGCCAATAGCGGCAAATACTGACCCTTTGTCTCTAGTGGACCGGTATCAACGCCGTGCTGTACTACGCCCCCTTCATTTTCCAACAGCTGGGCATGAACGAGAACACCAAGTCTCTCCTCGCGACCGGCGTCGTGGGCATCGTCATGTTCCTCGCGACCATCCCCGCGGTCCTCTGGATCGACCGCGTCGGCCGCAAGCCCGTCCTCACTATCGGTGCGCTCGGCATGGCCACTTGCCACATCATCATAGCTGTCATCGTGGCCAAGAACATCAACAACTGGCACGAGCACGTTGCGGCGGGCTGGGCAGCCGTGTGCATGGTCTGGCTGTTCGTCATCCACTTCGGCTACTCGTGGGGCCCCTGCGCGTGGATCATCGTGGCCGAGATTTGGCCGCTCAGCACGCGGCCCTACGGCGTGGCGCTGGGCGCGTCGAGCAACTGGATGAACAACTTCATTGTTGGGCAGGTCACGCCCGACATGCTGGACGGCATCACATACGGCACCTACATTCTCTTTGGTTTGCTGACGTACATGGGTGCCGCTTTCATCTGGTTCTTTGTGCCCGAGACCAAGCGGCTGACGCTCGAGGAGATGGTACGTCCACAAACTTGCGTGGCACCTGAAGCAAACTGAATGAAACTAACCATATTCGAAAACAGGATGTCCTCTTTGGCTCCGAAGGCACCGCCCAGGCGGACTTTGAGCGCATGGCGGAGATTAATACCGAGATCGGCCTCACCCAGCTCCTGAACGGCGGCGATGGCGTCATTGGGGGCGTCATTGGTGGCACATCCGGGTCTGATGCTGAGAAGTCCAAGCTTGGCGAGCACACGGAGAAGGTTTAAAGGATGGCCAGGAATACCCAGGATGGTCTGTTCGTTGATGAGGTAATCCCTTGTGTAAAGCTCGCTTGGGATACCATTGTTTGCGGATTGGATACTATGTCGAGGACTGGTAGAAAGAAAGCTAAGAAAGAATACCCGGCTAGGGATTTGCAACACTGTCAATTCGAGCTTGGGTTGACTCACAGGCTAGGAAATACTCAAAGGAAAGATGTCCGAGACCCTCACCGGAACACTTGCGACCGCCCTGACCGCTAGCGGTACCACCGCGCTTGTTCAATGGTTTCCGTCATGCGGCTTGAACAGGTAGATACAGCATCTCCATACACCAAGTAACCGCTGAGACATTCGAAACAGCTCAATCGGGTGCCTCATAACGTCCCCATTAGCGCTATTGATACGATCCTCAAAAAGAAAACCAACTATACACACAAAACAAACAAGCCTATCCTGGCTGTATCCCAAACAGGACACTGAACGAACAACCCCATCCGTAACCTCAATGAACCAGACCATGATGTGCTAAACAAAGTAAAGGCAACCAGCAATAGTCGATCTAGTGTCTGCCCAACACCAAACTCCAACCACACCCCTCAGGGAATTGAGGGAGCGACAGTGGTATGCATAACGCCATTTCTACCCGCAACCCCATCCCTTGCAGACAACGCCGTCAACTTTCACCTCCACGCCATACTAGGTCGTGACCTCAACACACCGCCACCAGCAGCAGCAGCACCATTTGCCGCTCCGTCCCCGTTCGGTCCCGCACTCGGCAACGCACCAGCAGCACCAATGGTAATCCTCCTAGCCTTACCACCAACAACGTCTCCAAGCCCAGCGGCACCACCGGAGTTATTCCTCACCGACGACGGACTACCGCCCCTCTCCCTCTCCAACCTAAAACTCCCCCCCATATTCATCCTCCTCGCCTGACCAAGCGTCAAGCTCTTCCCTGTCGTGCCGCCGAGAAAAGAAACCCCATCCTGATGATACCCTCCCGACGAAGATGAACCGGACGGCGGCGAGTACGTAATAGGAATCGGCCTAGGCGGTGAACGCCTCGCGCGCTCGTTACTACCTCGACGATGGCGCGAGATGCCGTTCGTAGAGCTAGCGGCGTGGTGGTGGATTGGGCCCGAGTAGCTAGCCGAGGCACGACGGTGGCCCCCATGATTGCCGGCGATGCCCGAGTTGGAACCAATTGACGAGATGCGCCTGGCGCTTGATGAGGCTGCGCCAGACGCGAGGGACAGGCGTTCGCGGCGCTTGGCTGAGTGGAGGGCGGAGCGGATCTTGAGGGGGTCGAGTTCCGAGTCGGAGCCTGAGCCGTAGGACAGGCGGGGGAGACGGGACGACGGGGAGGTGCGGCGTGGGGGTTCGTTTTCGTTGCTGTTTTCGTTGCCGTTCTCGTTGAGGGTTGAGAGAAGAAGGCTTGTTGGTTTGGGGCTTCCGTTGGTTGCTGCTGGCGGTGAGAGCGAGTTAGTAGCTCGGCTTACCGGCACGTTGCGCAGCGGCGATGACCGATCCTCGGTGTCTGATGATCCGGTCAGGTTGACTGAAAGTGTTGGTGGAACGGGCGAGCCGTTAGCTGCGCCGTTACTCTGCTGAGACGCCCGTGTCTTGGATAAGAAGCCGGCTTGAAACCGGTTCGGCTTGCCGAGGGACAGCGATGATACGTCAGGGAGGGTTACAGTCGGGCTGGATTTTTGCGGAGAATCCATGTGGTTCAGGTACGAGGGCACCGGAGGCCGGGCGGGAAGTGCCTTCTCGGAAGAGGGATCCTCTGGGGATGAGAACTTTTGTGGCGTCTTTTCGAAGTCGGCTAGAGTACCCTGTTCGCTTTCATCGTCACGCCAGCGTACGCTGTGCTTTTTCTTGACTGGAGTGAATGACACCCCTTTCCGTACCGTGCCGAGTTTGCGACGGCGCGGCGATGCCTTAATGGGGGAGGCGTTCGCCTGTTGTTGAGCTGCCAAGAAGACGGGAGCTGTGATGGGCTTGGGGTGGACGCTGAGAGACTTCTTCCGCTTCGGAGTTCCCCGCTTGGTTGGCGGGAACAGCTCGACGGGCATCATGGAGCCGTCGGGCTTGACGACATGGGATGCCGCAGAGTAGCCGGTCTCAAGAAGCCGGCTGACCATGGTCTTGGCGTGTGTGACGGCCTCTTCCTCGCTCATATTGAGGGTCTCAGACATCGACGAGAGGATGTCAAACTGGGCAGTTAGAAGCACCTGTAGAACAGCCGCATCACCGGCCTTGTCCTGTTCCAGCACCTCTCTGTACGCGTCACGCATGAACCTTGCCTTCAGCATCTCGGCTTCCCTGGCTAGCGTGTCCCGCTCGGAGCCATCAACAATGCCATCGCCAATCGGCAGTTGAGAAATGCTGTGGTTGAGAGCTGTATCCAACCCGCGTTCCCAGTTCGACCGCTCTAGCCTCTGGTGGATGTGCTGCCTGCTGCTCTCCAGCTCCATCAGGATCCCGTGGGCCGTCTTGCGCATGGCCGTCAAGTTTGCTGGCATGGACTCCTCGTCCCCTCGCCCATCGCAAACAGCGTCGAAGGCGGCAATCCAAGCAGAGAGCAAGCCGATTCGACGTTCAATTGCCTTTAGCTTCTTCATATTGTTGACCTTCTCAGTCCGCTCTGCAGCGGCATGCTCGTACGCGGCGCGCAACCGCAAGATTCCCTCGCGGACCACGGCATCCCGCTTGTCCATCTGCTTCCGGAACTTGGCAAAGAAGGTTTTCTCGGCGTCCTTCTGCTGCGCCTTGAGCTCGTTGATCAGAGCCATCTGCTCGTCAATTTTGACCAAGAAGTCCTTGACGTGTCGATTGACGTTAAAGACGTTACGGGTAACCTTGGTCTGGATGTTCTTGGCCCTGTTCGCATAACGCAGCGTGTTTTGCGTCTCATCAAAATGCTCGCTTGACGGGCTGACGCACACGATCATGACCGTCTTGCAGTTCCCGCCTAACGAGAATTTGAGCAGGCGGGTGAGCTTGCTGTTGCGGTACGGCACGTGGTTCTTCTTGCGTGGATCGCACAGGGCGTTGATGCAGCTCCCCAAGGCCAGGAGCGACTTGTTGATATTTGCGCCTTCCAACAGTCGCTCGCCTCGATTCTTGGTGGCACTAGCGCGTTCACTGCCAGCGAGATCAATGATACTTAGAGTTGCCATGGTGTGCGGCTCGTTAATGTCGGCATTCCGGTCCTTCTGGGCAACGTTGATCTGTAGTACGGCGTGAGACCGTGATGAGACGGCGTTGGCTGCCGTCGGGGAAACAGTCCGATACTCGTTGCCCTGCACGATCATGTCCATGACCTCCTGCACGTCTTTCGGGTGGTGGGTGGTTAGGCCGGCGACCGAGACAGCCTGGTTCGAGTCTTCCCGCAGCATGAGGCCCTGCTTGCTACCGCCGGGGACCAGCAAATCGCGGATAGTCTCGTTGTAGATTTCCAAGTACGACAGAGAGACCTCGGTGACCTTCTCACCGCTTCTCTCATTGATCTTTTCGAAGAGTTCCTGCATGGTGAGGAAGATGATACCGGGCTGCTGCGGGGTGCCGGTAATTGTGTGTGTCTTGCCGCATCCTGTGGCGCCGTATGCGAATACCGTGGCATTGTACCCGTCGAGGATGCTATCCAGCAGGCCCTTGGTCGTCCCTTCGTAGACATCGCTCTGCGAGGCGGTCTGGTCGAAGATACGGTCGAACGCAAAGACCTGGTCTTTGACTTTCTTGCCGGCCGAGGGTACGACAGATCGAGTGAACTTTTGGACCGGGCTGTCTTCCGGGGGGTCGAATACTCTGCGACGAGTCAGATCCCAGCGCAAAATAGCAACCTGTCATGGGCGGGCACATACAGACACCTATCGTCGACCACCTTAATGACCGATCGGATTCCGCGCTGGTTCAGCTTGGGGGTGGGTGCGGCGGCCAGCGATCCATCGCCGAGGAAGAGTGTGGTATCGTCAGTCTTGACTCTGCTGGCTTTGTCAGTTCACCCCTGCGTGGCCCACCATGTCGAATTGCGGCTTACAGTTGAGCCGCCTCTCGTATGGTAAACGGCCGCACACGGACTGTTTGAACAGGCGCTGTCAGCAAACCGGCTGGCGTGGTCACAGTCGAAGGGGCGGGTATCGTACCTGCGACTGTGATGGAAGAAGCATTTGGGTCCATGTTTGGCCTTTGGGTGCCAGCCGCCCTTTGGAAGCGGGCAACTGCTCGAGTCAGTGATGCAAAACAAAGGGAAACAGAGCGATGACTATCTCCGCCGTGCCGGTCAACAATTGGATACTGAAGAAAATGGAGTAGAGAAATGCCTAGGGCGACGGAATAACTGAAATGAATGAAGTTGGTATCGCGCTTTCAAAGGGAACAGCACCCGTGGAATCGAAGAAAGGAGGAAATGACGTTGTTCCTCAAGATGGTCCTCCTGCCTGCAATTTCTCGTCTGGGATTGGCGTGTTGACTATTTTGGCCAGGTCCCGTTTCCGTAGCGACCAAAAAGCGGGTGTGAGCTGTTCCTGAAACAGGGGCATTGGGGCAGATCCCTGCAAGTGCCTGCAGCGGCCCGATGTGGCTCGAGTGGGGCAACCTGGAAATTCAGCTGCACATTGATTCCCCCGTCTTGTTGTTGCTTCCAGGCTCGCTGGCCAGACATCGGCCTTCAAAATCTGGAGAACCCAACGTTCATTTTCAGCCGGGGTTGACATAGGCACATGGCATCGAAAAATTCTGAGATGTCTGAATAAGGTGGGGACGAATCTTGGGTTGTTAAACTTCAGTTTTAGCTGGTACCTCTCAGCGCAACATGCCATCGACCGCAACCAGAGCCGTAAGTTAGTCCTTTCTTTGGCTTTGACTCTCGGCCCCCAACACTTGATGAAGCGGCTGCCTACAGTCGATATCTTCAACACACACCCTCCTGGGAAACGAGCAGCCCAAACCCGTCCAATGTCACGCGCGAGATCAACTCCGCGTTCGGCGAGTCCAGAAAAATCTCGAGATGAGCCACAAGCGTGGCCATGGCACCGGTCGCCGATATGCTGACATTCCAGTTGCGGCCAATGTCGTCCTCGACGTTCTGGCCGGGCTGGCTGGTGTACACCAAGTCCGGGGGGCTTCCACCGCCGGAGCCGTCGAGAACGCTGAACTGGGACGACACTCTGGCCGTGGCTCCTTCGGCCATCGCCACCAACACGAATGCATCGGTCCTTGTCTTCAAGACGGCCTGCTTGCAGGTGCCGGGGAATGAGACGGCCACGGAGACGTCGCAGCTCAAAGTTTTGTTGGAAACGGAGAGGTCATGGCCGGCAATGATGTCGAACACGTCGAAGGAAGCCTTGCCGCTCTTGTTGCCTTCCCCGCCGATTAGGGTGCTGAAGGTTCCCGACGGGCAGCCGTCGCCAGTCGCGGTCATGGACGTGATTTGCGGTTCGGACTGGCGCTCGTGAAGGGTGAGCGGGTTGGCCAAAACGAGGGGCAGGAACGAAAGGAGGGTGAGCTGCATGTTGATTTTGCGTCTTTGGAGTTGTACTTTGAATGACAGTACTGACTTTCAGTTGTTTCTCGATGCCGGACAGGTTGAGTCGATGGTGAAGAAGGCCCTTTATAGGCGTGTGGGGGCCGACACCCACAACTGATGGACATGGCTGCCTGCTGTTTTATTGGTGTTTGGTCTACCTTGGTCCCCTGAGCCTCAAGGCTAGATCCCTCTACCAAACTTATGCCATACATGGTAATCAATAGACATAGGTTGTTCTACTTCCTCGCCATGCTCCCTCGTCACCTTACTGACTGATGTAGCACTTCCTCGCATCCGGCTCCGAGCCAAGACCCCCAAGACCGAGCAGACCAAACGGATTGTCATGGCCACTCATGAATTGAGAAACTTGCTAGGCCGTATCCCGTTGTATGATCAAACCGGTGCTTGACGGTCGAGCCGTTGCCTTGCACTTGAGCACGGAAAAAGACTTGCGTACACTTTGGGCCGTTGGTTGCACCGCCGCGTCACTAGCTCAGGGATTCATGGACAGGTTTGCTCTCGCCGAGGTGGACTGGAGGCGCAGGCTGACAAAGCTTCGAGGGTAGCCTGGAAGATGTCCAACTCGTTTGAGCCACAAACTCTCTCCCCGAGTTTTCATCCCATCTCAACATCAGGGCTCGTCACTGCCTTGCCGCCCTACCATCCGAACCTACCTTCTCACCTAGTGCTAGATATAGAAGTTCCCCCATTCTGATTTCCACCGCACCCGCCTCCAGTCCAACGCAATGGTATGCTGGGGACGCTTAGCGGGTTGCCTTAACTTACCGCCACGTGGTGGCGTAAGTTCAAGTCCTCAAGTCCAACTCGGAGCAAAACCCGTGGGGTTTTCGTAGCTGCCCACCCCTCAGTTGCGTGGCAACTTGGGTTGGACGGTGAACTTAACTTCTTGCATTTTCTTCTCTTCCTCGTTGTTTCTTTTCTTTCGCGCCAATGTCGACCACCTTAACCACGTCGCACTTCCCGTCCTCAATGTGACGTATCAAGCAGCTAATCATGACCGTTCTCCCAAGTCTCTGCCACTCAAGATCACGTAGTCGAGTCATCTTCTTCCCATTAATCATCAAACATTTAGTTACCAACTAAGGTATTTTCCTAAAGCGAAGAGTAAGTAAGCCCATAAACACCACATCCTACCTCGAGTCTGCCAACATACCCTCAAATACTTACTCCAACAAAGCCCTCTTGCCCACCCCACCAACGACATCAGCATCATTCAAAAAACTGGTCCCGTTCCTCCCACTAACCTTGTCCCCCCCAACAAAGAAACTCTCAGGAGGACCCAGATAACTAGGCCTAACACCGCCCAGATTAACCACCACCTTCTGCACAACGATCCCGGGCATCAGCGCCCAGATCCGCAGCTTATACGCCCCCTCAGCGGGCACCGCAAAGCTACTGGTCGTGTAATTCCCCGTGCGCCCCCACACACCATCGGCCACGGCACCGTCCCAGCCCGCAGGCATGTTCCCGCCGACGGTAGCGCCGACAGGGCGGACATTCTTCACCGAGGTCGGACTTCCACCCGCAGGGTACAGCGAGATGGCGTACTCGAGCGGGGTGTACTCGCCGAGGTAGTTGAGCGCGGGGGAGAGGTAGAGCGTGACGTTGGCGGCGGTCGTGTTGGTGAAGAGGTAGAGGTCGTATTCGAGGGCGGGCGCGGTGTCGACGGTGAGCTTCTCCGTGTTGAGCGGGATGAGGCCGACGCCGGAGCCGGTGCGGCCGTAGTGGGCGAAGGTGTGGTAGGTGACCATTTTGTTGTCGGCGGTCGATTGCGCCGGCTTGATGAGCGAGCTGTAGTGCTCGCCTGCGAAAGCGACGTAGCCGTCGGATTCGACGAAGCCCTTCTTGAAGCTGGACGGCGCCGAGCGGGCGCGGACGGGGACAAGGACATGCGGCTCTGAGAAGCCATAGCGGTCCATGCCTTCGCAAGGGGTGGTGATGTTGATCTTGACTGTGTCGGAGAAGCCATTCGGGACCGACTTCCAGTCGATCGAGATAAGGACGCGCTGGTCGGGGAGGTTGGGGCCGACAGTTCCGGTGGACTGGGAGAGCTTGACCCACGGCTGGAAGGGGGAGGCATTCCAGGTGCAGTCCTTTGTGCCGCGCGAGAAGATGTCAAAGTAACGGGTGGCTGGACCATAGGGATCGATGGGCGGGACCGAGAGGTCGTTGGCGCTGTTAGGGTGCCACCTGTCATCGCCCTTGACGGTAGCATTGGAGCCCTCGACACCGATGCCAATTTCGCCAGCAACGGCGGCGAAATCCGTCTGGACGTACTGCACAGGCGGGAGGGCGTTGCGCATCGGCTGCTGCCAGTAGCCGTCGTAGCCGAGATGTGTTTCTGGGTGAGGTCTGTCAGCGGGGTGTCACAGAGGGGACGAACATGACACGCGACTTACGGTCCATCATGTGCTTCCACTTGCCATCCAGCAGGGCATCCCAGTAACGGGTCAGGTTGGCATCAGCCGACGACTGAGCAAGCACCTCCTGAATCACCTTGTTGGCGGTATTACGCCGCTGGCCAGCATAAAACATGTTCCTGGCGCCGCCAATCTGAATCTTCTGCACAATCTCGCCAGCCATGGCGGGGTGCAGCACCGTCTCAAAGAAGGCGGCCTTGGTCTCAGCAGGCAGCTTGTCGTAGATGCCCTGGGCTTTGGCAACCAGCTCCGCCCACTGCTGCAGGACGGCATCAGCCTCGTTGTAGTTGATGACCGAGTAGACGTGCGGCTCGATCAGCTCGTACTTGCGGCGCGCCGCGTACATGCCGTATTTCATCATGACATCAGCGATGTCCTTGGCCTGCTCGGGCCCAAACTCTCGCTCGGCCCAAGCCTGCGCCCACTCGAAGGTGCTGTCAACATGCCATCGCTTGGCGTCGTAAGCCATGTCGAAGAAGTGGCTGATGGGGATCTCGAGCGACTTCATGTCGCCTACGTTGACAACCCAGATCCTGTCGGTGCCGCGCGCGTACGCCATATGCATCTGCTCGGCCGTCTTGGTGAGCTGGATGGTGTTGATCCACTTGTAATTCCGTGGGCCGCCCACGTAGTCGAAGTGGTAGTATACACCCGCGCCGCCGTGGCGCTGCGTCTCGTTCAGCAGCGGCAATCGACGGACGTTGCCCCAGTTGTCATCGGCCCACAGCAGCGTCACATCGTCGGGCACCTGCAGCCCGGCGAAGAGATAGCTCATAACCTCCTTGTACAGGCACCACGTCTGGGGGACGGTGGTGATGTCGGTCGCGTTGAGACCCTCAGCCATGATCTGGCGCTGGTTCTTGACGAGAATCTGCAGCATCTCTACGATGTGATCCACGCCGAGACCCTCAATAGCCGTATCGCCAGTCCCACGCATACCCACCGTCCACAAGCTGTTGCGGGCGTACGGCTTGGCGCGCTGGACACCGTAGCGGAAGTAGTCGTCAATGGTCTTGTTGTTGAGGTTGTACGCCCAGGGGCCCTCGTAGAAATGGCCAAACTCGTTCTGGGCGCGCATCAGGGGTTCCGTGTGAGAGGTGCCCACGACGATCTCGTAGGCATCCGCAAGAGGCTGGTTGCCCGGGTCGTCGACCATGAACATGCTCGCCCAGAGGGTAGGCCACAGGTAGTTGGCGCGAAGACGCAGGAGCACCTCAAAGATGAGGCTGTAGAAGGCGGGACCGTAGCCGGCGCCGTAAGGTGTGTCCTGCCAGCGGGTGCTGTGAGAGTTAGCTACATGTAGATCACGAGACGGCATGGACGGCAGCCACTTACGCAACCCAGTTGGTCAACGCCGGCTGCTCGTCGTTCAGGAAAAACCCGCGATACTTGACCGAGGGCGGGCCCTGGACCTTCTTCTTCTCCGTCACGTAGAGATTCTTGCTCTTCTTGGGCGGGCTGTCGGCCCAGAAATACCACGGGCTGACACCAATCTGCTCGCTGATGTCGTAGATGCCGTAGATGGTGCCACGGGGATCGCTTCCGGCGATCACCAGTGCCTTGGAGCAGCCCGGCACCGGGTTCTTGACCACCTGGCTGGTGAAAGATTCCCACTTGCCCTTGATGGCCGAGACATCAATCGACTTGGACGAGATGAGCTTGTCAATGACCGTCGAGCGCCCGATGGTGCCAGCAATGATCACAACATTTCCCGGCGAAGGATTTGCATAAGCCGGGCCGGTGAAGTTGGCGGTTCCTGTGGTGGAGTACTGCAACAGAAGTTAGTCAAATCTGGGGAGGAGACCTGTCAGAGACTCACGTGGGTGTTGTTCATGTTGTTGACCGGCTTATACGTGTAAGCCGCAGGAGCGGCCGCCTTCTCGCCATTGCTAAGCGTGTAGTTTGTGCCCGTGACGCGCCCAAAGTCGATGACGAGATCGCCGGCAGCGCGGATAACGCCCCAGTAGTCGTTGCTCGAGACAAGAATCTGGCCCTTGCCCACAGAGCCGCCCGCGAGCTGCAGCTCAGCCCCATGGCTGCTGGTAGAGATGATGCGCTCCTGGCCGAGCGCGGCAGCCACCGAGATGAAGGCGAGCCAGAGGGCTCCCTTCACACCCACAGTAAGCATCTTGAGAGTGATGCGCAACCTGAGCTGCGAACAATCCAACCACAACGCGACGGCACCTCACAATCGCCGGTCCGAGGGGCTGAACGAGTGGATGGGCCTGCTGAACAAGAGATGTGTACCGGGGGCCGCACGTCACGTAGGATCATATATCCAGCTGTCCGGGTATGCAAGGTACCCTGCTCCTCGCGGAGGAGGGCTGCCATGAGCCCATATGTGGCCACAGGGGTTGAGTATTGGTGGGAAAATAGAATGCTATGAGGTGACGGCGTCATCGGTACCATCTCGTATGGGGTCCTGCGGAGGGTGCCTCACCATATCACCTCCAGTCCGCAGTAACTGAGTTGGAGGCGACTCAACGGCCTCGAAAACGGCCAACACTTGGAGAGGCGAACTCCAAGACGGGTGATAGCCGGGCTGGCGGGTAAATGGCTTGAGCGGAGCCAAGTCATAACGTCCTGCTCCTTGGCTTGCCGTTGACTGCCGGAAGCCAGGAGCTTGGTCAGCGGAAGCGAAAGCGACCGAAGCCCTTGTCGCTGGACCGGTTCATCATATCCAGTTGATCAAGGGTGTTGACCTTTGGGAGAATGGGAAGCCAAGGTTTACCCCAGCATCCCCACACTTTTCCCCACGCTGGGGAAGGCATCGGTGAGAGAATGCCCACGCACTGTCTAGTTATTTCCTGATGACCAGCCACTGCCTTTTGCTGACAGCTTGCCTCTTCGTGTGGGGAACTCAGGGTGTGGTTTCCTTTCATCGACACCGATCGAGACGCGGGAACGATATTAGATGGGAATGCAACAGCGACGTTGCAAATCGGGAAAAAGGTGACGACAAAGACAACAATCTGGAAGCGAGAGACAACGATGGTAATGCGGGGACAGCGAAGAATGGTAGAATGGAAGGGTGATGTTGGAGTTTAGCCGCGAGGAAGATCCACACCTTGACTGCCATGGAAGGCTATTTTAACCTCCCGCAAATGGAAACAGACTCCAAGGACCAGGGTAAAGCGTGGGTCGACTAACGAAGGGCAGCTTCCTCGGGTCTTCGGAACGTTTATCTGCCCTTGGCCCCTTGGGACTCTTCTGGTTGCGACCCCTCGTCCGCGTCGGTGACTTGGATGCTTTTCGAGGGCACGCTGGACTCGTCGGGGGAAGGGACTGGCGCTGTAAGCCGTGCCATTTTGGATTCGAGCAGCTGTAACTGGCGGCCGGATACCTAGTGTAAATCAGGACGCAATCTCGCCTGGGAACCCGGGCCTGTGTTGTCGGCTCCGAGTCCCCGACAGTTGTTAAGTCGATGCGTGAAACCGTTGGTGGCCGGGACCAGCTGTCTGATAGCAACGCAATCTCCGTGTTCGAAAGACGGCGAGCCCGTGGGTCATTACCAGTCGCAAGTTACCCAATCCCTCCTATAACCGCTCAGGCGCGAGTCCCCCAGACGGCAGCTGGCGACAGAACACATACACTGGGTCCAATCTCTCGATCCAAACGTACCTCACCGTTGGGCCGCCACGGCAATCTGCAGAGGTGCCATGTTATGTAACTCGCGCATGAATGCCAGGCGGGGACCGTCCCAAATGCATGCATTTTCCTGTTCCAGTATACAGGACAGAGCACATACCTAGATGATCCGAACCGCCGGTGTCCCTGTCTTGTACAAACTCAATAATTACAGCGCAGCCTCGTAAGTGAAGTCATGGTTGCGTATCTAGGCACCCCGCAGACGGATCAAGTGTGCCAACGAAGCCCATCATCGGCCGAATTCCGTAAGCATCCGCCATCCCAACCACCACTCTAAATCCCTTCTCACGCAGAAGCGCCCTCCACCCACCGATACCGCGGTAACATGGCCATCCTCTCCTCCGGACTGACCTCGGTGTCGGCATAAACCATGCGCGACCCCTTCTTCTTCTTTTCTCCCGCAGTGGCGGCGGCCTCTTCCGGCCCATTCTTGGGACCCCCAGCAGCCGGCTTGATGCCCGCCTCAGCCATCCTTATCAGCTGGTCGATATCATCGCCGCCGGCCCCCTGTCTCGACTCGTTCGCCACAAGCTCGTCCACTGTCGAAGGAGCACCGCCAGGGTAAGCCGGCGCGCCGTTGTAAAGATAAGGCGGAGCTGCTCCCTGAGCAGCGCCGCTGGGCGGTCTGGCGGGTATTGAGAAAGGAGCTGTCGTGCCAGGAGGCGGGGAGGGGCCTGGCGGGAAGGTGGCGGCTGTCGGCGGGTAGGTCGGTGGCGCGGGGTACGTCGGGGCGCCTGGGACGCCGGGGGTGGCGTATAGGTAGGCTGGTTGCGGCGGAGGGAAGGGGGCGGTCTATGTGTCGAGAAATTAGCGGGACATGTTGAAGGCATTGGAAAGCAGTACCGGGGAATACAAACGCCTTGCGCTGGGCTCTGTCCATCGGTTGGAGCGGCTGAGGGGGGAACACCATTCGCTCCTCCTGCCTTCTGAGCTGCGAGCTTTGCGCGATGTTCGGCTAACCGCTTCTTGAGCTCCTCTGCTGTCTCGTGCTTGATCTTCTTGGCCGGTCCTTGACTGCCAGCTTGCCCTCGCGGCGGGTTGCCTGTAGCAGCTTGCCTCTCGGCCTGCGCCGTGTAGAAGTTCTGGATGATGCGCTGGTTGTGCTGCTGTACGATGTCGTCTGGCACACCCTCCATACCGAAGATCTCGATGTCAAGGCCTTGCCGGTTGGGAAGCGCATTCTCAACGCTGGTGAGGTTCTCTTTGTGGACTTGGTTCATGTGCACGGAGAGACCTGCAAGTACCCCAATCATTAGAATCGCTCGTCTTCCCCGAGCAACAGGATGAAGGTGGATCGGTACCTCCAGCGGTGTTGAGTCGCTTGCCACATCGGTCGCACTTGAAATGTTTTGCCTTCTGGTGGGATATGAGGAGTTTGAGGTCCTCAAAGTCTCGCTCGCCTACAGGTGGTCAGTCGGAATCAGATGGTGGGAGATGTAGGCGCACAAACAGTAGTAGCACCAAGGGCGCGAGAGCAGCTCCTCGATATCGGGATGACCGCGTTTCTTTTTGCCCATTTTGACTCTCGGGGATGCTAAACGGAACTAGGCGACTGGTCAATCTCCTGTGATGCTGTGTCGACAAAAATTGTGGTCGGGAGCGAGAAATCAGACGACGAGGGCTGAGCTAGGAGTTTGGTCGACGCGATGATCGATCGGTGTTGCGACGCTGCAGTCCGAAATGTTCAGCCTACCGCTCCCACCGGAAAGCCACAAGGAGCTAAGCCTGTTACGAAGTGGGGCCGTGGCTCTCTCGGATAAATGCATGAATTGTATGTAGAAGGTATCAGATATTGCATCGTATTGTACATCATCGAGTTGACGACTTCACAACATGAATGTCACAACCGTTTCAAAGTCCTGGTTTACTTTTGCCATGCTTTGTTGATTAGCTTGTCAACGAATCAGCCGGGGAAACAGCAACCGAAGGCTGCATATACGGCCGTCAATACTGCATATCATTCATGCTGGTCGTTTCCCAACCATCAGTCCAGGGCAAGGCTCACGGTAACTCAATCTAATTCAATCTGAAAAGCTTCAATTGAACTGGCTGATAAAGCAGCGCCGAGCACTCGCCATAGAGATACCTGTAACTGTATTTAGTTAGATCCAAGGTACTGTACCTAACGTTTCCTTTACCCTACTGGCACTAGCGAAACGCCAGAGCCAGCCTTGTCACCCCATCGGGATACCTTGCGTACCCATTGCAAGGCCTCGGCACACAGGCCGGTTCACTCAGGAAAGAAACTCCACCAAAACGCTTGTAAGGCTTTCAGTTCCACACAATCAAAACCTGCCACCAATTGTTAAGGTAGGTTTAAGGTAGTATCTCTCTCTCTGGTGTCCCGACGTGAGGTTCCGGACCCGCGCATCTAGTGGGCGCCGGGTTAGGTATGCTCTATATCTATGAAAAGTTATCAGTTTCTACACCCAAGTTCCACGCGCAAAATAACCAAACGGAAATCTTAGCTTCACGACGGTTGAACGGTTCTACCTGCCGGTTCCACCCAGTGTCGTCTTGAATGAAGCGCACGCTGCAGGACGGAGAATCGCGAAACCCCACTACTCGATCGAATTGCGGCACATAATGGCAACCCCGGGCTGGACATAGGCGAGCAACTGCAGGTTTCAGGCGACAAAGAGAATGGGCCGGCCATGGGCATGGGCCGCCTCCGAAGGGAAGCGTATAGCGATGTGTTCCAAAGCGTGATAGTCTTCGCTTTGCAAGCATGGGGCTACGTGTTCTGGGGTGCTCGACAGGCAATGGTTGGGAATGCAGCAGAGCGGGAGCTGCAGCATGCCAGGACCGCCAAAATACGGACAGAGCCAAGAGGTTAAAAGCATTGGGAAGTATCAAGGTACGGATACGAAGACCACCTTGGAGACCAGCGTGATGAATTTGCTACTCACGTACTTTGTCTAGTACCGTTACAAGGCGAAATCAGTCCCAGGCCCCTCGCCACAGCCCTCATGTCTTCTCCCAGAATGACCATGGCCAGTCAGGAATACTGCCCCGCATCAACGCCTCAGCGTCAACAAAGCCGGCCGGTAAGGCCACTGCCCATAGTCACCCCCCGAGTTGGGCGCCCGCCCCTGATACAGCAGCTGCAGATTGCACGGGTCCACCGTCATGGTCTGGTCGGGGTTCACGCGTATCAGCTCGCCGTGGCTGACATCGTTGGTCCAGGTGACACCAGTGTTTGCCTTGCCGGCGAACGGGCTGCTCTCGGTGACAGCTCCGGTCAGGGGCGTCCACTGGCCGTCCAGCCTGTCGGCCGTGAAGGCGCGGAAGTAGCGCCCGTTGCTGCCAATGGCCTCGACCATCATCAGATACTTGTTCAGGCCCTGCAGCTTATAGACCTGGACGGCTTCGAACAGATTGTTGGTGCTGTCGCTCATGATAACGGTCGAGGAGCTGCCGAAGCTGCCGGGAAATCGGTCGATGGGCATGCTAGCCCGGTAGATCTTGCCGTTGTCTCCGGCGAAGAAGAGATACATGGTCGTGTCGTCACCGATGAGGGTCTGGTCGATGGGACCGGTGCTTGAGCCTGAGATGCTTCCCGAGAAGAGGGTCTGCGTCGCGCCCCAGCCATTCGCGTTGGTGGGATCGCTAGATGTCTTGTACGAGAAGGCGGTCGGGCCCCACTGGTATGCGAGTACCCAGATATTCTTAGGTCGGAAGAAGAACAGGGTGGGCGCAACCGTGGCCGAGTTCATCTTGTTCTGGCTAGCTGTCGCCATGTTGGTCCAGTTGCTGAACAGGCCAAAGTTCATGGAGCCCCAGGTCGTTCCAGTGTCGTGGGTAGTCGCGTAGACCAGATGCTGGCCGTTGTACGGGACGACGGTGAAGTCTTTCAGCGACACCCATCCAGACCTTGGAGTTGCCAGCGGGCCCGTCGATGCCCAGCGAAAGGTGGAAGGCAGGGGGCACGTCGACTGAGCAGCGGCAGCCGTTGCCCACACCAGCAGCGCGACGCCGGTCGACAGGAGGTTGATGTCCGTGCTGAGGAGTCTCATGATGCTCGTGTTTCCAGACGAGGATTGGTGGAGGGTTGTGGCAGACTTGTGAGATGTTGGGGAGGCAGTCGAGGCTTAACTAAAAGGGAGCTCTCCTCCCAAAACTTTATACATGTCTGTCCTGTTGTCGACGCCTGCTACCCTTGTACAAGTTCCGGCTGGAACGAGCAACTTTGATCTTCACCAACATCGGTAGCATGTTTATTCCACCAATATTGACCCGAGGTGTATTGCATTGGACATTACCCGGTAGCGAACTACCGAGCAAGGGAATCCAAACTCTTGGTATTGCGGGCAGCCCTGGGGTAATATGCAACCTTAATATATTGTGTGACGAATGCTACTGGAGCGCTTCACCTCAGCTTCGTGCCCCGTAGATCGACTTTTCAAGCGTGCCAGTCGCGGCGCACGGCGTCAGGTCCGGATAGACACGGCGAGGATCGCCGAAGTGCGAACTTAAGGGTCAGCAGGTCTCGGGGAGTCTGCTGCAACCGTATAAACATCGCATGAGCCTGAAAAGAGCAATTTTGGCGGACCATTGCTCTCCGCGGTCAGTGCACAACTACTTCACGAACCTTGCCGGCGAGCTTCTGGTTGGAGCCAGCGGGTCTGTATTATTTTAGTTTTAGTACGAACCAAGGAGAAATTGAGCCCGATGCCCCCCAGTGCCACCAACTTCTGGTCAACAACTTCCCACTCACCGGTTGAAGTTGAAGAAATCGCTGCAGCCAAGACAAAAGGGAACAACGAAATCACACCTTCCATACATGTAGCAGTTCTGCTTGCTCCAGTGCACCCAGAAATCGTCCAGTTCCCTGTTAACCCTTGTTGGTAATTCATGGATTGCCACCATTAAGCCTTCTTACATTCACAAGGGCGGTTTTACAGTACCATATCATTCCCATTATCGGCGTGTACTCGGTCCGTCTCGCGGTTCAACATGCCTGTCACACATTGCAATAGCCTAACTGATCTCACCGATAAATTCGCACCTCCAGAGATTAGGCCAGGCCGACCCCTACGTGCTGTCTACAAGAATTGGGCACGAGGGATGCATTCTGGCCAGAACTGGCTCATGTCAGTGCTCCGAACTCTACCTACACAGCGTCATACAGCCCGAAGCCTGCCTTGGTCAATACCTCTGACCTTAGTACTCTAAGGTTGTGTTTGACTATCCGGCCACGCATGCTGTGCTGCTGGAAGGGTGCCTATTTCCTCGTATTCTCTTCCATCCACCGGAGATATTAGTGACTGTGATTGCTGGTATAGCCATGGGCCTCAACTCGGACAACAAGTCAATTTCACATACGCGGATGGCCGGTTGTGCTTCTATTGCCTGGCCGTGTTCTCTTCCATCCATTGTGACTACAGTAGAGAGACCAAGGTCTCGCTTGCTAGGGGAGTATTATTCATACAGACATGATCATAACCCAATATCAGACTAATTACTCCGTGTTCCCAGAGCAACCCACTCCCGGGGCTGCAATATCGAAAGCATAGACGTCAATGGCAAAGTACTGCAGCGTGTCGCTGTCAATGACTGACTTCTCCGGCTCCGTCCGGGCCAGCTCTACGACGCCCTCGTAGTCCTCGGCGAAATGGTCGACGACACCCTCGCTGATGCGCGGCACGTGCAACACCCGGTGCAGCAGGTCGGTCGCCCAGAAGGTGTTGAGCGGCGACGCGCTCACCGTGTAGCCCAGCCCGCACACCGAGTCGAGCCAGCGCCGCTTGACGAACGAGGCGCCGCAGATGACCGTCTCCTGGGTCGCGTTGGCGCCGCGCCAGTGTCCGGCCCAGTCTTATTTTTGGATGAAAGTTAGCTGTCAGTTCACCTAAGACTATGACCTCGACTAGAACGTGGTACGTACTGTCCTGTGTAGCGCAGTTCTTGTCCGGGTCGTCGCACCGGAACGTCATGTCCCTGCGGTCGGCGGCAGCGACGCGGCTGAACCAGCCCAGCGGCATGGCCGTCGAGCTGTTGGTGCCAAAGTACTTTTGGAAGAAGGGCGACTCGTTGCCCCAGCGGAGAATGTGGTCGCGAGCATGCTCGGCAAGCTCGACGGTTTCATCGAGGGCGCGCTCGAGCTGGCGGCGCAGGGTGATGTTGCAGGAGGAGTGGATTGGGTACTCTGTGACTGCCCCGGCTCTGAAGTCCCAGGCGGCTGCAGTTGAGGATGCTGTGCTGCCGGTGGCGGTTGGGGCAGCCCACACGCCTGCCTGGAGGAGGCTGAGAACGGAGAGGAGTTGAAGACGCATGACGGTTCAAGGCAAACGATCGGTTGCTGAGAGGGCAGGTTGGATGCAGTGTAACCTCAATCTGGAGGCTCCCTTGTGGGAGACAACTCTGGGATTTATACCATCAAGCCGTCGCCGAGCGTGGGGGCCATGCTTGATGTTCTCCTGGCCAAGCTGTGGATAGCACCGCTCTGAAGACTCTGGTTTTCTCCTGGCAAGCGGCGAATCGTTGCCCTCACGTTTGTCTCCAGGCTCGGCCAACAAAGCCCAACAAGGATTCTTCTGCCATGTCGTCTGGTAGAAATCGGTAAGGCTTCACTTGGCATTCCAGGATGAAGCTCCATCAAATCCGGCAACGGCATTTTATGCAGCTCAGTAAGGTCATCTCTATCGGCCGCAAAGACTCCCTTATCGACGAACTTGCGAGAGTAGGGGCTGGAAGCTAGGTCAGCGGGTGTAACCCGACTTGACTGCATAACTTCCAGATTGGCTCATTGATTGAGGTAATGATAGGGAGAATGGTCAGAAGCTTCCTTGGAAATGAGAGAAAACCGAGAAGCTGGGTGAGAACCTTGATGGCCTTACGTTACCACGCACTGGTGAACCCCTCTTCCTTCCTGCAGAAGGGCAGCCGTTAAGGTACCGCCAAGATCCCAAGAAAGGACAACTTACATCTCGAGAGAGAAAACATCCAGTGATGTACCGGCAGCGCGCAGCGACCCCCACGGTGACGGTAGCATGTCGTGGGAGGTTGGTATCGGCCGCGGACCAGCCTGCGGTAGCGAGATCGGAAAGGCTTCGTGCAACATCAACCCGCTTCACTGACCGTCATCGCCATCGCCATTGGATTACAAGAAGGATATTCTCAGTCTTCGGCTCGGTCCCAGCCCTTTCTCTTCACCTACAACGCCCCCTCCCGCCTCAGCCAACTTTCCACCGAGGACTTCACGTCCTCGTACGGCAGCCCGATAAGTCCGTTTGCACTCTCTTCCTCACTAAGCGCATTCCCAGCTCCATCCGCCGAGGTATGCACCCTCAAGAAGTCGACAAAGGCGGCCGGACCATCTTCTGCAACAAGCTTCAACTCCCCGGCCAGTTCCAAATCCGACCACCTAACGCGCGTGACGGCAAGCTTTGATTTCGTCAACTCCTCGACCATCGCGATCAGCTCATTCTGCGATATATTGAATGATGCCATGGCAAGGTACCTGTTGGCCGTCGCCTCGGGGTGCTTCAAAATGCCCACCACCGCGCGGCTGACTTGAGCGAGGTTGCTGGCTTGAAACTTCTCGTCGCCCGAATCGACGACGGTGGCCGTCTTGTCCTTGAGGTTGATGATGCCCAGGCCGGAGTCGTCGAGGCCCTGTTACTCTCCATGTTAACCAGGGCACTCTTTGTGTGCAAGTGTGAATCCGTGCGACGACATTACCCAGTCGAGAAACAAGCCGGTCGACAGCCCCGTCCACGTGAAACCATCTACCTCCTGTGCCTTCTCCTCCAGGTAATTCACCACGGCGATCTTGTCCCCCAGTATCTTGCGAAGCGAGTGAGAAAGGGGGCGCAATTTGCGCGTGTTGATCCCAAACTCGGACGGAATGAACCGCTTGATGCCCGCCTCCGCGGCGGCGTCGATGGCAATCTTCTGGTCGACGACTGCGGCGGCAACACCCACAACAGACACGACGGCGTCCTGGTTTCGGAAGGCGGCCTTGAGCGCGTCGAACGAGGTGTAATCCACCTTCTTGATGGGGACGCTGTCGGGAAACGTTGGGGTCGAGCTGGTGGATGCCTCTCGCGTGATGCCCGTGACGGTGAAGCCTGCCGAGAGGAGCTCGTGAACTATAGAGGAGCCAAGGTTGCGTGAGCCCTGAGAAACCAATCGGGGTTAGCAAGTAATTGAGAGGGAATGATGTGGATGGGTTGGGTGGTTAGCCCTACTCCCAACACAGCGACGGTTTTGATGGGGACCATTGTGACTTTAATTACCACCTTGGTTTTACAAAGTTTTCTGTCAATATACTGTAGCCTTGTTGGACGAGAGTATGCTTGACGGTGGTGTAAGGACTCGGGAGAAAAATGGAGGAGCGGCACCAGATGATTCGGATCGCCTGCTAAAATACCTTGCCGTCTTCCCTCCCTCAAGCTTCCTTCCAGGTGTAACATCCATGGATATTTGCAAGACTCGCGTGCCGTTGCGGAAGGAATGAAGGCCATAACGTGTACCTTACAGAAGTTTTCCTACGGTCGACTGTCCCCGAAGTGAAGATGGGGTCACTGCTATCCGTCCGCAGCATCATTCACTGGGTACCTGAAGGCATTTTAAATGATCGAGGTGGTTACGTCTACGGAGGATGGCTTGGTTGCGGCAGTCACTGCCCGGTCGCACGGGTCTCTGGTTTACAAGACGGCAGCTCTGGAGACGCAGTATGAGTGACGGACATTGGATACACACGCCTGCTACTAACTGACACGAACAGGGGTTTGCCTCTAAACCCACCGTTTCATTTTGATTCAGTTTGCCATGGAGAAGGAGCTGGTAGAGCTTAACCACTGACGGAGTAAGTCATGGGCATCATTCCTGCAACCCCACATCCCGAGCGGCGAGACGAAAATCGAAACTTGGGCCCCCGGACGGGGAGTCAGGACCAGGGGATACTCTCTGCTTGACTTAACGTAAATACAGTAGCTTACCATATTCCTTAAACACCTGTCCTTTATGTGGGAGTGATCGAAGTGTGCGTGGCAGGACGAGGGTGGCTTGTTTCAGGTCATTAAGCTGACAGACATATCATCGAGCACGGAAATGGGCTTTTCATATCCTCGAGTGACAATTGTGTTACTATCAATCATCCAGAAAAGAACATCAGATCCATGTACGTCAACAGCGAAACCGAGAACGAGAAACCATGCCGAGTATTTTGATGCCATCGAAGCGCCCCATCTTTCCACCGTGCTCCCAAACCAGCTCTTGCTCCCCCAAGAACAAGATGGTATCTAATGCCTCCGAATAAAGTAACAGTTGAAGAAGTGTTTTACAAATGAAGAAAACGAGAAAGTTGAATGAAACACTCTTGCAAGAAACAATCTGTAGGCCCCTAAAATGTACGGAACGGAGGCACGGGGCAGCGCCTTCTTCTCAGTGCCGGACTCTCGGCCGTGCCAAAGCCACCAGCGTAGCAGGTATACCCACCATTACTACCGCCATGACGAGGTCGGGGATTCGGGCTTATGGGCCGGGGAGCTGTCGATCTAAGTGCCAAACTCCTTCGCCTTCCGTGCCAATATCCTGATGTTATTGACCAACCCCTCCACCACCTCCACATACTGATGCGGCTGGCCATCCATGGCCCTGCGCCCTTGCTCAATCACGGGAACAGGGTCAATCTCCACCTCCAACTCGTGCTCCTTCTCCGTGCGTTGCGTATTCTGCAACCTCCGTTAGCTACGCACTCCCCCACGAAGAAAACACCTCGGTGACAGGGTTGGCAACTTACACCATGACCCGTCACGTTCTGCGTAACCTGGGTTAAATCGATCTGGTAGAACCCATGCTTGTAGCTCAGCCGGTCCTTCATGCGCGGGGGAATGGGCGGGCGGCCCGTAGAGGCCGCCATCCTCTCGAGCTCCTCGACCGCGCCGTCCCAATCCATCTCCAGGTTGACGCTGATGCGGCAGTCGAGCGGCATGTCCGGGAAGTGCAGGCTCATGTCGGCGATGCGCGCCTTCACGATCTTGCCGAGGACCTTGTTGGTCTTTTGGTCGTACGTCACCCGCACCTTGGCGCCGTGGCCCTTGGAGCCGATGGGCTTAGCAACACACACCGGAAGGGTCTTGTCGCGGACGGTGGCCGGGAGCTCAAAGAATTTGTCGATCTCGCGGCGGTGCAGGTAGTCGATGGGCAGCCGCGGCCGGGGCATGGCGGCGCTGGCAGCCTTGTTGGCCGGGTGGGTCTGCTGGACGAGGAAGTTGAGGAACTCGTTGAAGGACTTGTGCTGATGCTCCGTCATGGTGGATCGAAAGCCGAGCCAGTTGCCGCCCTCGCTGAGCACACATTCGGTCTGCACCGGGAGCTCCACTCGCTGATTGGTGCCCTTGTCGATGAGCATGCCGAGCTTGGCTTCGATTTCAAACTTTACCCCGCGGCTTTGGATCTCGCCCATGTCTTCATTGAGGATGACATATTGGAACAGAAAGTCGGCGAGCGCCCTACTGAATTGCTCTTGAGGAACCGAATTGGTGATGCTGGGCTCCCAAGGTCCCAACGGCCCCCATGGGTTAGCAGTCTCGGGGGGAACGCTCGGTGCTGGTGCGTTGTTGGCCACGGTACGTTTTTCCTCTGGAGACGCATGCCGGCTTTGCTGACGGCTCTGTATGCGATCAGGCCGGACTGGGTGGCGATCAAGCTTGCCGTTGGCCTGCGACCCGGCGTGCGGGACAGGCTGATAGAGAACACGGTTCGGGTGGGCGGGGGCCCGATCCTTGACCGAATGGGCCCATGGCGGGGTGGTCCGATGGACCACTCTCTTCTTCATCGGTTTTTTGGGGTCGACCGGAGGTTGCACAGAAGCTTTGAGCGCGACACCGTCGACGCGGTCCGATCGACCGTTTACCTGTTGAAAAGGCGGCGGTCGTGTGTCTCGCTTTTCCAATTCTTCGGGCCGTAGTTCCCTATCGTCCAGCTTCCGCTTCATTGGTGTGGCGGCACGGTCTGCCATGGTCGGAGCAGGGTGGGGTTGGCTGTGGTACGGCTCTGGCTCTGTAGCCGAAGTGCTGGGGCGACCGGAGCTGCTTGGCAAACTGGGGACTCGTGTTTTCGGACTGACGCTAAGGCTGCGGTCTCTGTCGTCCTGCGTCGGTGGGCCCCGGACGGAGTCCTGGCTGTGACCCTCCTGGATACTTTGCGAAGTTGAATGCCTGGGCAGAGGAGGTGGAGGCGGAGGGGGTGGGGATGTTTGTGATTTGTGATGGAAACCGGGTCCCGGCAAACGCTGCTGGTACGGACTGGATGGTTGGCTGTGCTGGGCGTAGCCTACGGATTGCGCCGGGCGAGCGGACAGCGGGATTGCTCCACTCGGAATCGGTGGCTGAGAGGGTGGGCGTTGGAACGTGTCCGCTGGCTGAATAGGACGCGCCGAAGCCACTGGACTTCCTTGGGCGAAGGGCGCCCCGTACTGTGCGGCTTGACTCTGGGCCGATGTTGGCGTCGGTGTGGACTGTACCGACTGAGCTTGGTGCAGAAAGGACTGTCCCGTGGTTGGAGTCCTAACCGGTGGAGTTTGGGGAACATGTGACCCTTGAACATATGGAGCGGCGGCTGCTTGCGGGTAGCTCTCTCGATGGTATGATGAGCTGCCCGGAGGGTATTGGTGTCGTTGTACGGGACTGGTGGAATTCTGCTGCGGCGGGAAGGGATAGCCGCTTGCGCCGCTGAGGGAGGCAGAGGGGGTCTGCCGGTAGGGAGATGGCCCTGGCCCCGTCAAGCTCGGCGATCGAAGGTCGTTGGGCGGGAGCTGTTGAAGTGATAGAGGCGGACGGCTTGCGTAAGAGCTGGCGGGAGCCCCTTGAAAAGGCGGGGAAGACGCGAAAGAGCCAGACTGCAGGTGATGTGCGCCATATTCCTGCGACACATGTCTACCGGGAGACGGCTGCGTCTGGCTGTAGTCGCGAAACGATTGCTGCGGGTTAGCCTGCGCCGGGGTTGACGGGAGCGCGGGTTGCTGCGATATCTGCTGCAGCAGCGGCGACGGCTTGTTCGGCGGCGATGCGGAAGGACCGTTATCGTTCAGCATGCCCCTCAGATCCATCTTGAAACTGCGTCTGTCGTGATCCAATTCTTCCTTCTCTTCTCCCTGCTAGGTCTTGTCTTTCACGCGACCACGGATTGGACTTTTCCAATCGACCCGCGATCCTCCTCTTGCAAGTCATTAACGAAAGCCGCAAGCTCCTCGATGAGCTACTGCAAATGGGCGGTTGGCTTGCCGCGACGCGCGAGGGGAGGTTTTCCTGTCGAGGTGTTCGTTTCGATGGTTGCGACAAACGTTGTCACATTGTCGAGTCGAGCTCTCGGTCGGAAAGAAAGAAGGGAGAGCGAGTTGTGTCCCCGCTCTTTGATACCATATCAGGAACAAGAAAGAAAAAAAGGACTCTGTATCCGTACGGCAAGACAAAATAAATGCTCGACAAGTCAATACAAACACGGCGATATGATAAATAACACGGCGCATGGAAATGAAGATACAGGGCTCTAAAAAGGCTGATGTGTGCGCCAGGTGCGCCAGTGTGGATTCCCGTCAACTCCCTGAGCCTTGCATGTGCTGTGCCAACTGCTCCATTTCACTCCCTAACAATGCGCAAACCATTCCGTTTGCAAAAGCCCTGCAGCTTGAAACTGCAGTTCTTCGGGTCAGGCGAAAACAATTGATGAACGTAAGACACATCTATCCGGCATGTCGGACTGCTCAACGAGAGTGTGGAGCATCCAGCAAACAGCGCCATTAGGTGTCGCGTGTTAAGAGTACAAGAGGCTCAAGAGCTCACATCCAGGCGGGAGAGACAGGACGAGCCAGGCTGCCAGATGGCGTCAGGTTATTCAGGCTGCGCGCTAGCCTTTTTGGGACAGGCTTGGACTAGCTACCAAAAACATGATCGAATAATTAAAAGACGTCCGAAGGTATTCGCGACAGAGATGAGGATAAAGATAGCGATGTCGAATGGACAGGTACGGAGTGAGTTTCTTGAAATTCAATCTTTGCTCTACCTTCTTTTCTTGCTCCCTTTGTTCAAGTTGCAGCGTGACGCGAGGTCCACAAAAGCCAAGCCGGGGCCCTGGAGAATCGCAGAGCCGTGTTGCGTCCGATTGGAGGGACTATCGCCCCAGGTTGCAAGGCAGGAGCTTCCTGACGTGGCTGGACCAGCTGAGGTTCGCCCGAAAGCTTCCAAATCCAACAGTTCCATTTGCCTTCCCGACCAACAACCTTCAACGCCGTCTTGATCAGCCCAACGCGCCGTGCCGACATAACGAACCCATTCATCTCGGGGTGCGGTTGTATTCAGGATAGCCCATTACATAGTGGACTCTAAAACCACCCGAAGAACTCGATTCGAAATCCTAACCGCATCGAAAACTCATCGCCCTCACGATGCCAGCCCTTGTTTCGGCAACCGGAGTCCTGGGCTTCCTGGCGGACGAGGAGCCGGAACTTAAAGTGTTCGCCCTTAGGACCCTGAACGATGATCTCGACACCGTCTGGACTGAGGTGGCCGGCGCATTGAGTCAGATGTATGCGCCCGGATGCCTCCCTGTGTGATGCCCGCTGACTCTCTGGACAGTGAGGCGCTGTACGAAGACGAGAGCTTTCCCGAGCGCCAGCTTGCCGCCCTCGTTCTCGCCAAGGTCTACTTCCACCTGCAGGCATATAATGAGAGCATGACCTTTGCGCTCGCCGCGGGCCCTCTTTTCAAGCTCGATGCGCCGGGCGAATTCGAGGAGACGATCATCTCCAAGTGCATCGACCAGTACATCGCCGTCTCGTCGGCTCGCCACACTCCATCGAAGCTGTCCAAGAACGACATTGCGCTGCCGTCTCTCGCGACCACATTCGGTAGCGGCTCGTTCGACGGCTCGGCCTTGATCTCGCCAACCACTCCTTTTTCCCAGTCGACGCTGCCTTCCAAGTCTCTGCTTTCCCGCGCCTCGGTCGACAACACCATCCTGGACCCCACATTCCAGCCCACGAAGGAGGGGAGGTCCGCCTCGGTGGCTCAGATCACCGACAACACGACTTGGACTGCCTTGGAGAGTGCGATTGAGCGTCTATTTGAAAGCTGCCTGAGGGAAGGCAAATATCGGCAGGTTGTCGGTATTGCTGTGGAAGCCAAAAACCTTGACGTGCTCCGCAGAGTTATCAAGAGGGCCAGTGAGACGAAGGCGCAAGAAGGTGCCCAAAGCCCGGCGGAGGAGTTGATGGACTACGCCCTAAGCATTTGCATGGATATCGTCCAGGAACGTGGCTTGCGGACCGAGATTCTGCGCTTAATTCTCGATCTCCTCAACGAAATTCCGAACCCGGACTACTTTGCCATCGCGAAATGCGTCGTCTACCTTGACTCGGACGAGGAGGCCTCCGCGCTGCTTAAGCAGCTCATCACCAAGGGTGACAAGTCTGCGATCGCTGTTGCGTATCAAATCGCATTCGACCTCTACGACAACGGCACCCAGGAGTTCTTGGCAAAGGTCATCAAGTCTCTCCCGTCCGGTGAGCCGCCAAAGACGCCTGAAGCACAGCAAGCGGGCGACGACGCTGCCGAGTCTGAGCCTCTTCTTGGAAACCAAAGCTCCGAGGAAGAGCTGCCAGAGGATGTGGCCAAGGTTTACAGAAACATCCGGTCAATTCTCAACGGCAGCACGACTATCAGGCTGAACCTCGAGTTCCTCTACCGCAACAACCACACAGATCTAAGCATTCTCAACAAGGTCCGGGACAGCTTGGAGGCGCGCAATTCCATCTTCCACACCGCCGTCACCTTTTGCAACGCGTTCATGAACGCGGGCACCACTCACGACAAGTTCTTCCGGGATAACCTGGAGTGGCTGGGCAAGGCTGTCAACTGGTCCAAGTTCACAGCGACCGCCGCGCTCGGTGTCATCCACCGCGGCAATATCAGTCAATCTCGCAAGCTTCTTGAGCCTTACCTCCCAAAGCAAGGTGGCGTGTCCAGCGGTTCCATCTTCAGCCAAGGTGGAGCCCTCTATGCTTATGGCCTGATCCATGCAAACCACGGCGCCGATGCCCTGGATTACCTTGAAACCATGTTCAAGGCGGCCGACGAGGAAATCATTCAACATGGCGGCGCGCTGGGCCTCGGCATTGCTGGAATGGCGTGCGGCGACGAGCAGATATATGATGAGCTCACCAAGGTGCTCTTCGCTGATTCGGCGCTCAATGGCGAGGCTGTTGGCTTGGCTGTGGGCTTGATCATGCTTGGAACAGGAAACGCCAAGGCCCTCGAGACGCTGTTCACCTACGCCCATGAAACGAGCCACGAGAAAATCGTCCGCGGCTGTGCTCTCGGCATGGCGCTTATCATGTATGGGCGACAGGAGGGCGCCGACAGCATGATCGAAGGTCTCTTGAACGACCCTGACCCAACATTGCGCTACGGTGGTATTCTCACCGTCGCCCTTGCCTACTGTGGCACCGGAAGCAACAAGGCCGTCCGGAAGCTTCTCCACACTGCCGTGAGCGACGTCAACGACGACGTCCGCCGCATTGCCGTGATGAGTCTGGGCTTCATTCTCTTCCGGAAGCCGGGCAGCGTCCCTCGCATGGTCGAGCTGCTCGCTGAGTCGTACAACCCCCATGTACGGTACGGCTCTGCCATGGCCCTGGGTATCGCATGTGCTGGCACGGGGCTGGATGAGGCCATTGATTTGCTCGAGCCCATGATGAAGGACCCTACCGACTTTGTCCGCCAGGGTGCGCTCATCGCCCTCTCCATGATCATGGTACAGCAGAACGAGGCCATGAACCCCAAGGTCACCGCCATCCGGAAAACTTTGAAGAAGGTGGTTGGAGACCGCCATGAGGACGCCATGACTAAGTTCGGCGCTGCACTTGCGCTCGGTATCCTCGACGCTGGCGGCCGGAACTGCACGATTGGCCTCCAGACCCAGACAGGCAATCTTAACATGGCGGGCATTGTCGGCATGGCCGTGTTCACTCAGTACTGGTACTGGTTCCCCTTTACTCACTTCCTGTCGCTCAGCTTTGTGCCTACGTCGATCATTGGCCTCGACCACGACCTCGAGATGCCCAGCATCAAGGTCCACTGCGCTACTCGTCCCAGCCTGTTTGACTACCCCCCCGAGCAAGAAGTCAAGGTTGAGGAAGGACCTGCCATGGTGACCACCGCCATTCTTTCCACCACGGCCCAGGCCAAACGTCGGGCGCAAAAGAAGGAGCGGGCTCAGCGTCGCGAGAGCATGGACATTGACACTCCTACGGTTACCAAGACGCCCGCACCAGCGGTTGACAAGATGGAAGTGGACGAGGAGAAGAAGCCCAAGGCTGAGGAGCCGAAGGAGAAAGAAGGCGATGCGGGTTCCGAGAAGGAAGGCTCGGCTGGTCCAGATGCCAAGAAGAAAGCCGAGAAGGAGAAGGTTGGCTACGAGATCGAGAACATGTCGCGTGTCCTCCCCGGCCAGCTCAAGTACATCAGCTTCCCGGCTGGGCGCTACAAGCCGGTCAAAAAGGTAGATCTCACCACATTTCTGGTCGTCTTACTGTACTCTGCTGACGACGTCATAGCCCACTGGCGGACCGATTCTTCTTCACGACACGCAGATCGATGAGCCCAAGGACCTGATTGAAGAGAAGCTCAAGAAGGCAACGACCGAGCGTGCTCCTGTAGCCGGTGCCGCTACGGGTGCCGCCGGCGCGACGCCTCGTAACGCCGCGCAGTCGCTGCTCTCGAACTGGTCGTCGCGGGCGATGTCCGGCGGCAGCAGCATCCGGGAACTGAACGAATTGCTTCGGCTTACTGCGGGCGGAGCAGAGGGACGGGCGGCCCCGGCCGGTATGGAAGCTGCTGCTGGCGGTGGTAGCGGAGCTGCGGCCGCTGCCGGCGTGCTCACGGCGGTGGACGAGGATAATGAGGGCGATGAGGAGGCCCCGGCGCCGGCCGATTTCGAGTACTTTACCGACGCCGAGGAGGAAGAGTAGTGGAAATCCCTCATCGACGCCCTTGAGCCGGAGTCGTAGAATGGACGGGTGTAGATGAGAGCAGCGGTGTATGATAGTTGTTGTAACTGTGGGGAGCGCAGAGGGATTGATAATAGACTGGTCCGGCTCATCCAGGCCTTAGGCTCTATTCCTGACACCATCGGTGCTCGAAATACAGTTACAGTACATCCCTGTAGTACCTGATGGTAAAAGCGACAGCCGCTTGCGGGTCCCTTAATGTCTTGGCGGTGGAAATTTCCGGGTGCAGGAACCGACGTCATTGCCTACAAGATCGTCTGACCACAAGCATCTCATTAACCCAGGCGTCAAAAGCTGCTTGCTTGCTGATAAGTTCCTCAAGTAGTCCAAATTCCATGTCAGGAGCCGCAGCTCACATCCCAATTCGGCCTCACAGCCCAAACGCAGAACCGTTCTGTCTTACACACATCACCTCAGTCGCACCATCATAAACCTATACCAATTCAGCGTCTCTCTCACGTCATCACCAACAAAGGATGGCAGACAAGTACATCATCCGTGTGACAGCCGGACCAGGCTACGACCTGGCCTCCCACGTCGAAGTGCCCGTCAACTCGCCCGCGCCAGTCCACATCTCCAGCGACCTGATCGAGGCGGACCTCAACGTCCGGATCGACAACTACCGCGGTCTGCCGCGCAATTCGCCGGCGTCTTCGCCTTACTTTGAGCGGGAGCCGCACAAGTACAACAGGGATCAGTACTCTATCGCTTTTCGGTTCCGGTTGAAGAGGCCCCAGGCTGCTGGATCTGCTCAGATTGGGGAGGTGGTTGGTGGCAAGGACGGGGAGGTGGTGGATGCTGGGCAGGGGAAGCAGCATGGGGATGAGGGAAAGAAGCAGAGTTATGGGAATTTGGACGAGCAGCAGCAGCAATCAGGTGAAGGAGACGATGCCTCGGCTGACGGCGGCGTTCTTGCAACAGACCTTCAGTTCGGCAACGACTTTGACCACCCCATCCGGGAGCGGTTGCCGCCCGGCTTCGGCACGGCCATGAACATTGTCAAATGGTGGATTGACCCCGGGTTAGAGGGCGATCCGTATGCCGACACGCCCTACCTTTACGGCCCCGCTCTCAGCTCCTTCAACGCAGTCCATGTTGGTGAGGGGGAGCAAGACGAGGAAAAGGGCGGGCTATGGTTTGAGGAGGGAGGTGATGAGGCGGGCATGGATTGGCGGAGAAAGGTGGGCGCGCCCGATGATGCCAAGCAGAGGATGAAGTGGGCGTTGAAGACGGGGAATAAAGAGATGTGGACGTGGAAGTATGGAAGGACGTATGGCGTGGATTTCTTCAATCCGTACATTGACTTCAACGAGTTTGCGTTGAGGTTGCCTGGGTTTAATCTGCCTATTATGAGGTACTGGGATGGACAAGGGTTGAGGTATGTTCCTTTTTCCCTTCTCCCTCTCTGGGTTGAGCACTCTCTTCCATTTCCCCGGCCTAGTAGGCATACAGTCAAGGACAGCTCTCACATCTTCCAGGGAACGCAAACGCTTACACAGGCTCAGATACGTTCTTCGGAACCGCTCCACTGGGCAGGTGTATCTTGTCGTGCTCTTCACGCTGCACCTCACGGAAGATGTGAATGAGGATGGCACGCTGAAGCCTGCCGCGTTGGCGGCGGCAGCTCAGGCGTCCGGGGGAAAAGGCTTGACGGGCGAAGCGCTGCCGGGGCGCGAGCCGGAACTAGAACTAGAACCTGATGAGGAAGATTTCCGCGAGGACGAAGTGCTGAGTGAGGCGAGGAGGAAGTTGTCAACAGTGGATTTGAATGGAGAGAACGGAACGACGGACGACGACATAGATTGACATCAGTATTAGGCTTCTGACTGAATGGCCTGTGATGGCCGCAATATACCACTCTCTGAACCGGTCCACATATATATATATGCCTTAAGCTGATGATAGACCAGTAATTCTGAATCGACGCTATATGCATTGTAGCACTCCAAGAAGGTCCCAGGAACCTGCCCTTTCCCCTGAGCTACGCTCTTCAAAGTTGCTACGGCTTTTGTCAGTGCGTCGTCTGTGATACGGCTTGCCAGGTAAGTATTGGGGCTGGACTTACATTGGCAAACGGACTCCCCGCCCTGACCCTGGCCCCGAACAAGACCAGCACCCACGGCACTACCGTCAGGGCGGCAGCAATACCACCCAGCAGGCCGCCTGCTCTAGCCTCTCCGAGGTTCCGGAACAACGGCCCAGTCACAAGAGGGAACGCCCCGCCCAAGACATTCCTGCAGAAGGACTGCGCCGCCAATGCCGAGGACGCATAGTTGTGGTACGTGTCGGCAAAGTAGTTGAACACGGCCAGGTAAATGGATAGAATGCCCATCGTGGCTAGCACAAGGCCAATAGCTGGGCCAATCCAGTGCGTGTTGGGCCGAAAGGCGAAGCCAAAGATGAACAGGCCGATAGGAAGGAGGGTGCTGATGATACAGGTGAAGTATAGCCTGGATTCAGGGGCTGAGGCAGGAAAATACAGGCGAAGGAAACCCCAATATCGGTCGGATCGGGAGGAGGTGGAAGCGGAAGCCGCAATAGGGCCTTTGCCGCTTGAGTCGTCGGAACAGTCGCCACCGATGATGCTGCTAGCAGCCTCGCGGGGAGCATCTGCCCATTGAGGATGGTGAAGGATTTGCTCCTGCCAGATTCCAATGGCAGTTGCGAGGAGGGCGCCGATGATGAGTGACACGAAAACGTAGCCAGCTTGTTCGAGAGACCAGCCATACACGCGCTGGAAGACCAGTGGAATGGAGCCAAAGGTAAGGTAGAGGATGCCCCATGCGAACGCCACCCATAGCGAGAAAAGGAAGACGACAGGCTCCGTGAAGAGCAGGTAAAACGGCCGTGAGACCGAGATGGCGATCATCTTCCCCAAAGCGGCCCACTCCTCATCTTCCTTTACCAGCCATCGAATGCGTCTGAGTCCGGCGACGGTGTGGCGTTGCCCCGACCTCAATCGCTTCTCGTCGTCCGAACCATCCGTGACCGACACGGCGTGAAGACTAGCCTCCTCGCCTTCGCATCGCCCGGTATCCCACACTCCAAAATACCCCTCACCCTCCAGCTTCTCATACCACATATTCAACGTCCTTGCCTTCCTCGACAAGAGCACTGACCCGCGGCTCTCCCTAAAAAACACCACCAACAACAGAATCGTCACACCGCCCATAATGACTTGGTGCCAAAACACCCACTTCCACCTCTCCCCTTCATCCCCCCACCTCTGCGCCATGACCGCCCCGACAAGCGGCCCGACGCCCGTCCCAACCAACACACTCCCGCTGAAAACCGCCATGGGGGTATTCCGTCCTTCCGCATCCCACATATCGGCAATGACCCCGCCGACCATGGTGCTGAACACCGACGCGCCGACCCCAACCAGAAACCTCGCAACCAGCATCCCCGCCAGGTTGTCCACAACCCCGCACACACCCTGAAAGACGACATACACGACCCCGGCGACGGCAAACACGGGGTAGCGGCCGTTCATCTCGGACAGCGGGGCGAGAACCATGGGCGCGAAGGCGAAGCCCAGACAGAAGGTTGTTATCCCTGCCAGGACGGCTTCGTCGGACGGGTGGTCGGACAGGGAAGCCTGGATGAGGTGTTGTGGCGGGGAGTAGGAGCCGGCGGTGTAGGCCGTCAGGAAGGTGACGAAGCAGGAGAGGGTGAAGAGGAAATATTTCCGGGAGGAAGGCCATGTTTGCGGGTTGGTATAGGGCGTCAAGTCTGGTGGTCGGGAGGGCTGACTGGGTGGTTGCTGTTGTTTGGAGGGGTGCCGGAGGGTGGTGTTGGCCTTTGGGAGGGGGGTGGTGAAGGTGAGGTAGAGGTGAGTTATCTCGGTAGTGGGGTCTGGACCGGTGTAGGTTGGTGCTGGGGCGCTGGCGTCAGAAGAGAGTAAGGACGAAACTCGTGCCGGAACCGCGGGTAGAGGGTGAGTGCGTCGTGTCCAGGGCATGATCGACGACACAGCGCGATGGGGGTGTCTTCATTGATACTATTAAGTATACAGGTGTTGACTGGAAAGCCAGCTTAAGTATGACTGCCAAACATGAAAGAGTTGGCCAGAGCAGCTTCCTGTCAAGCTCAAACACATCAAAGGGTGGGTTTGAGAGAAGGCGCACGGCTGACAGCGAGGATGCCAGAGCTTTTAGGATGGGAGGGACAACTGGGTCTCTTCATGGGGATTTCGTCGGGATTGTTATATCCGTGAAAAGATGTGCATCTTGGTGTGGAGCGCAGCAACTCAGCAACGGCGGGAAAAAAAAAAGAAGAAAGGGGGAGAAAAAGGGTTTCCGGTTGACAGCTGGTGTGGACATAAGGCAACATTGGCCTTCTTCATCTTGAAAGCTGTGCTGCTGGGTGTGTTGGACGGCCCCGCAGGAGAGCCCAAGGCAAATTCCGCAAGCATCACGGTTCGGGACTCGACGATAGATATCGTGGTCCCCCCCGCCAGTGAGAAGAGGGATCGGAAGGGGGCGGCAACTCATTTTCGAGTCCCATCTGCCCGGAGGGAAGTCAATTCCTCGTTTCTCTTGCAGGTGGGGACGACAAGGGACCAGCGGGAGGGAAGCGGATTGTATGGCGCGCTCCCGTGCGGAGGCGGATACAAGGCTTCAATCGCATCGCTGAGATGTTGATTGGCGCAGGATCAGTGGTTGAAAGTGGGTGTTGTGAAAGCGAGGCATGTCGTCACATCAAGCGCCTCCAAGCCGATGCTTCGACGTTAAACCCGACAATTACCGGTCCCACATATTGCGCCCAACCAATAGTACGTGTACATGTAGCTGCGAGCGCCAGCCCAGTGAGCCCACCCGTCCCCACCGTTGAAAGTCGGACCTACCGCACCTCGGCTGCCAGACACGGCAGGACACCAGGAACTTCAACCAAGACTGTATTTTCAGGTCCGCATACGGCAGAATGAGGACTTTTCGAACGAACCAGAAGCGCTCCCACCGCTCGGGCCGAGTTCTGATGAATTGTGCAGTTCTCCCTCCAACGCCAAATTCGACAAGCGGTTCTGGCCAACATGGCCAGATGGTCGACCGCCATCGAGTTGAAGTTGACAAGACCATGGGGCATATCCAAAATGGTATCGAGGTATGGAGGACGGTCACCGCTCAATCAGCAAGCAATTTCAGCACCGAGAAGAGACATCTCGTTTATCTCGCCATATTTACAGCATACATTTTCGCGCCAACCTCCATCAACAGTATCTCGCTAATGATCAAATGAATTGCCCGCCGACAGAACGAAGACAAGCGACATCCCGGTAGCTCACCACCGACCCTTCGTTCCCTTTCTTAACCCACCTTTTACGAGAGCGTCGGGGCGCTGGCGGCCCACGGAGCCCAGCTGTTCAGATCGACATTCGCAGTGCTGCGCTCGACTGCGCCGGGAGGAGTGCTGCCGTTGAGCAGGAAGTAGTTGATGTAGCTGGTGAGCTCCGAGTTCTGGCCGCTCGGGAACTGGCAGTGGTTGTGGCCGCCGATGAGCGAAAAGCCCATGTTGTTGGGCACGCCGTAGCTCTTGTAGATGGCGCGGCCGGCCTTCATGCAACCCGTCGTCGACACAGGGCCAAGCCAGTCGATGTTGTTCTCGAACACGGCCAGCCCGCGCGGCACGATCATGGCCGCCAGGAAGTGGTGGTCCTGCGGGATCGTCGTAATGGACCGCACGTACGGGTCAAAGTTCTTGGAGAACCACGGGTTCTCGCCGACGATCTGCTGCGCCGTCTGGATGTTGGCGCCTTGCGACTTCTGCTGGTCGCTGATGCGCCAGCACGCGGCACCGCCGGCCCCGGACTCCTGCGGGATCGTGAGCGCGATGCGGTTGACGAAGGCACCCGTGACGAAAGCGCCCTTGCCGTTGCGCGAGCAGCCCGTCACGCCGAGCCGCTTGGTGTCGATGCCCGACGACGCCGCCCCGACAAGCTCCAGCCCGTCAATCAGCCGGTCTACGCCCCACGCCCACGCCGTGAGCGAGCCGGCCGAGTGGCCGCTGCCAAAGAGGTCGTAAAACTTGCCACGACCGCGCGACCCGCCGCCCGACTGCGCGCCGAACTCGTCGTTGTTGAAGGTGATGGTGGCCACGTTGCTCGGGATGGGGATCGAGGCGCCGCCGATGCCGATGATGGCCGGGAAGGGGCCGCTGCCCGACGGCTTGCGGATCGAGGCCGTGAATGAGATGGTTTTGCTGCCCACCGTCACCCGGACCGTGATACCGGTTCCACTCATCGACGCCTCGACCTTGTCCGGCGGCGGCGGGTACGTGCCGAGCTCGTACTGCTGCATGATCTTGCTGATCTCGGCCCGCCGGCACTCGAAGTCGGCCTTGGTCGTGACTTTGGTGCCCCCCGCTGTCGTGAACGGGTCTGGGAGCTTGGCTACGTTGACAGTTGGGTAGCTGTTCTGAGTCGAGCACGTCTGGCGCTCAAAGACCTCGTTCGCGGGCGCGGCCACGGCAAACGCCGCGCCGGCCAACAAGAGGGCTGAAGCCAGATGGACCATTGTAATGTCTGGGAAGTTCAGAGCTTCGTTCAGCAACGCAGTGGTATGGACTCGACAACGGACGTGTCCCTCGCGGTCATTCCGATCTTGACCGGACTTTATACGAACGGCGCGCCCTTGCGCCTGGCCCCGTGATACTCTCCGGCCTCGTTGCTTTCTTCCGAACCATATTGAATCATGGGCTCATCTCATATTGGGCCGTTCACAATAGCCAGCATCCTCGTTTCCACCGAGCCGCTGACGGAAGGGACGGAGCCGGCGAAGAAGCCTTGCAGTCTCTGGATATTGTGGCGGATTGAAACATTCCCCGCATTTCTTTCGTCTCGGTGCTCCGTACTGCAACCGCGGAGGGATCCCGTGCTCGAGGCCGAGTGGCCATGGTTGGTCGTCGTGGAAAGCAAGTGTTTGTGCTGTCCAGCGAAAACAGGTGGCGGCTGAAAAGCCAGCACCAAGTGCCTTTGCCTTGGCACTTTGGATGATCCGCTCGCTCAGCGTCAGCGCAAGCCCTGTGATTCCAGGTCAAGACTGGGGCAGCTTCGGATAATATGGGTATTTGCCGGTCCTCCGCTGATCAGACACGGTCCCTACGTCTTCGGGTCCTATTTTGACCGCCGATTGGTACGGTCGACTGGAGACTGCCGAATGCAGCCACGGCATCCGGGCCCCGGACTGAGTGGCGACGTAATTGGAGATGTTCTGTGGAACTTCTCTACCATTTTCATTCTGCCTCTCTTTCTTTGTCGATGTTCATAGGTGGGAAAACTCTTAGGTCGCGGATATTACACTGCGGCCTCAAACTGGTCATGTCAGAGGCGTTTCTTCAGGCGGAGATCTCCAACCCTCAAAGGAGGCTCAGGGTTTGTACCCTGATCGTTCCCCTTCGCCTGTGCCTGTTCTGGCACCCGGACAGTGCAGCATTTCACGGCTCTCAGCTCAGCCTGTAGCCATGGGGCAAAACTCTCAGCCCGATAGGTTTCGCGCTTTATTCGTTGTTGTCATGGTCAGCCACGGAAAACCTACGTACCTACTGTGGTACTAGACGTAAGGGGCACTGATTCGACATGTTTTGCTGCCAAGGTACTGGCGGCTGCAAGGTGACTTCAACGTCGCGGCAAAAATGTGCCATCCCACATCGGAGGTTTCAAAGTGCCAAGCACCTACTCCAGAATGGGCTGCTGGGCAATTGATGCCCCGGCATATTACACGACTCACTGACATGGTCGTTTCCCCTTCAATGGAGATGCCCACTATTCCCACGTGCCGCAGCAGGGTCAGTACATTATTTCTCAACCATTTCAGCTTTTAGGGCTTCCCATAAGCCACACCATAACTGTCCTTTGCACCAACGATACCACACCATACATATTGAATCGAACTGATGAGCGGCGCAGACTGCGGGCAACTCAAGAGCCAGGCATGGGTGTTGTTGGTGCACGGAGAAGCGCTGTCTGTTCAAGTGCTGGCCACCTGTCCGCAGCTGCTCTACAGCAGAGGTGCAAGGCTGCAAGCCCACCCACATCTTTTCTGCACACTGGCTGTAGGATCTTTCCACAATCTTCAATCATCACCACCACTGCATAATGAGGACCATGTCAATCACCTAGCTCTGCATCCTCTGCGCATCTCTCACTGTCGCAATTGGTAGTTTGTTCTTATTGTTCATGATGCATTCCCAATCATGACATCACAGTTCCTAGCGGAACTGATGGTCGCTGGTTGTGGCCAGCTGAGAGTGAGACAAGTTGTTCTTGGGCACAGCTGCGTTGCTAAGCAGTCCATTTGATTAACTATGTACATATAACAATAAGCCACTTACGTTAGAACGAAATGGTTTACTACTGTGGTTTGAAAACTTGGCCTGGTGCAGTACGCTGTGTGCAGTGAGTCTTTGAGCCACCTCCTCTAAATGTAGGATTAGGGCACTCTATTTTCAAGCATAAATGGAAGTACCTCGCTCTGGCCTTCCTTCCCAGCTCTCATCATATTCAGCTTCTACACTTCATACAACTTGAGCTAACGTTCTCGACGCCTGAAAATCTACCCGTCTGAGTCAGCATGGAGACTGCTCCAGGGCATCTTGTCAGCCACGGCAACCGGATATCAGCGACATTCATCATGGAAGACGGCAATCAATTTGTTCAATGCAAACATCGAACCTAGTGTGGAGGCCTCCACCTCCCCGGTTTGCGTACTCAGCTTGCGCGGCTCGCAACTCGATTACGAAGGCGATATTGGACCGACCGGACGATTTCGAGCTCAGGTTAGGAATGGCACTACAATCAAAGGAACCTTTGAAGTTGGACAAACATTCGAATCCACTTCTAACGTCAATGGCTCTGGGTATTGGGTGTCGTATTGAGGTACGTTAATTCCGTCAATCCAGTGGGCTCAGTCCCGTCTCTAATGTATCCTCGAATAGAGGCGGTGAGAAAATTGTCACGCTGGAAACAAACCGGTCAATTGCGGCACAGGGTCTGTCTCTAACCATCGTTTGGCAAGACTGGCAAAACAGCTGGGGACCAGGGGATGTGTGCGAAGGGCAAGGGTACGTTTGTTTGCTTTACTCGGCAGTGCGCCTCGGTGCAGGTTTCTGTCCATAACTCATGGTTTTTCCTGTACTGTTATGCGAATGCAGAAGCCACTACAATACTAGGTACAATCCCATTGAGCTGCTGGCACGCACAATCAACACAGGAGTAATAGTCCGTGTGTCAAAGCCCCACCAGTTGCTGAACCAGCGCGCCCTTAGGGTTCCAGCGAACACATCAGTCCCGCTACTCTGTCTCATTGAGTTGAGCTGGTGGCTGCCTTGACGCCGGATTAGGGAAGCTTGACAGAGATGACGAAGCTGGGTTTGAACCGCCAAAGCTGAGGGAAGTGGACCGAACTGTGAATTGTAGAGGCTGAATGGTCTGGAGCAGAGCTTAGGTGCTTGAGCTTATTAGCCGAAGGTGTTGAGATCCCCGTTGTATCTCGGGCGATTATCCGTACTCGATGCTCGTCAGGGAGGATAAATCGCCGACCTTAGTTAGCAGGCGGTAAAGGTGCTGCCTCGGCCACTTGACACCCCGTCGCCAATAAAACGAAGGGATAAGGTACCTTACCTACATTGCGACTACCAAACAGGCAGCTTCGGAATAAGCGTAAAATGCCCGGTTAATTAACCATCTGGCTGCGTCGTACGCCCATCTTATACTCTATTACATATCCTACCTTTATCCCACACCCCAGAATCGCACTTGCTCGTACACTCAAACCTTGAGGTTTCTCCTCATCATTAACCATGGTCCTCCTGCTCTTGGCTGGCTTAACTGTGCTCACCCGGTGGGCCCTCGCCCACGGTGGGCTAGCCAACTACACCGTAGGGGAGACGTGGTACAGAGGGTTCGTAAAGCCATCATCATTCAAGTAGACGCCTGATCAGATGAGAATAGCCAGAAACAACAGTATTCAAGCGTCCCAAGCCTCCGATCCCCAAGCCCCCCGTCCACTTTCTGGTGTTCTGTAAGGTTGCAGTACAAGTACGTACACTAATCAGAAGCGTTCCGGTCCCAGCTACGATCCCTCCACCCCAACCTCGGAGCAGCTCGGCCAGCCATGGATGGTCCAGCGCCAGTGGGCCTCGATCGACCCCATCTTCTCCGTCACGGACCGGCACATAGCCTGCAACAACCCGGGCACGTCCCCGCCCTCGTACATCCCCCTGCGCGCTGGCAACACCATCACGGCCGTCTACTGGTACTGGCTGCACCCTGTGGGACCCATGTCGGTCTGGCTGGCGCGGTGCGAGACGGGCGACTGCCGAGACGAGGACGTGAACGAGGTCGCGTGGTTCAAGATCTGGGAGGCGGGTCTGCTTGAGGGGCCCAACCTGGCTGAGGGGACGTGGTACCAGAAGTGGTTCCAGCGCTGGGATGGGAGCCCCGCGCTGTGGCCCGTCAGGATCCCGGCGGGTCTGAAGGGTGGGCCGTACATGATACGGCATGAGATCTTGTCGATCCATGTCGAGAGGAAGCCGCAGTTCTATCCCGAATGTGCCCACTTGAATGTGACGGGGGGCGGGGAGCTGGAGCCGCCGAGGGAGTATTTGGTGAAGTTTCCCGGAGCATATGCTGAAGATGGTGAGTCGTGCCGGCTTTGACGGAGGATGGAATGGTGCTGATGGGGGACAGATCCGTCAATTTTCATCGATATCTACTCAGAGGAGAATGCCAACAAAACGGTAAGTGCGGTAGGGTGGCTTTATGGAAGAAGCTGACAGATGTAGGACTACGCAGTTCCCGGAGGGCCAATATGGGATGGGTGAGTATTTTTCAGTCCTTAGGCGGTTTAGGGGCTGACGATAGATAGATTTGGCGTGGTTGACAAGTTCTGCGTTGGATGCTAACATGAAGCCAGAGCGAGCTGGCATTTATCGCAAATATGGATCATCTCAAAGCATGTACATCAAAAGCAAAGAAAGCACTGGCGTGAGGAGTCCTCATCACCTCACCCGGGCCGCTCATTCCTCCACCTCCTTAGACCCCACCCTCCAATCGCCTCAAAGCGTCCTCCCTGAAGTTGTCCACCGCCACCAACCCACCGCCCTTCCTCTTCATCCTCCTATCTCGCCCCTTCCACTCTGCAGCTTCACCCATCTCCTCCCCACCACCACCAGTCCAAACCCCACCCCCGACCAAAGCCTTAAACTTCCCACCCCTCGCCACCAACTCCTCATAACCCCCTTGCTCAACCACAACCCCACCCTCGATCATAACTACCCGATCCGCAATCTTCATCATCTCCTTGCTATGCGTGACCACAACGACCGCCATCCTCCACCCGTTGTGGCCCTGCCGCTCCCTCCCAGCCTCCACTACTAACATCTGGACAACCCTCCTCACCTCGGCCGCCGCCTGCGCGTCGAGCGCGCTGGTCGGCTCGTCGAGCACCAACACACGCGGCCGGTGTGCCAGCGCGCGCGCGATGCACAGCCGCTGCGCCTGGCCCCCCGAAACGGCCAGCCCCCCTTCGCCGAGGGGCGTGTCGTACCCCTGGGACAGGGACACGATGAAGTCGTGGATGTTGGCTTGCTTCGCGGCAAGGATGATGTTAGATTCGGCGTGCAACGGGGAGGCGTCGTGTAGGCCGTAGGTGAGGTTGGCGCGGACGGTGGTCGGGAAGAGGAAGGGGGTTTGCGGTACGTAGGCGATGTGGGTGCGTAGGGATGGGGTGTGCAGACTGGTTGCGGGGAAGGAGGCGTAGGTTAGGGCCGTGGAGTGGTTGGATGGGTGGCTGAGGGATACGGGGTGGGAGTTGAGGCTTCGCGGCGCTGTCAGGGACTCAGGGATGGGAGATATTTGTTGCTTGGAAAAGGGCGAGAAAGTAGTGGAGGTGCTAGGATCGGTAACGGGTTCGTACAGGCGCATGAGGAGGCTGGCAATCGTGGATTTGCCGCACCCTGAGGCGCCTACGATGGCGGTGCAAGTGCCGGCGTCAATTTGAAGGTTGATGTTGCGCAGGACCAGGGTCTGGGGAGCGCCCGGGTATGCGAACCGGAGGTTGGTCATGCGGATGGGAAGAGGGGTCAGCAACCGCCTCTCGCCCTCCGCCTCATGGCTCGCGGTGTGTGAGAGGTTGGCGTAATAAAGCATTTGCACGGCTGTCGCTTTGGCAGCGGCAATCTGAGGGACGTTGCCGAGCATGCTGACCGCGGTGCCGAGCGAGATTAGCAGCAGGTTCATGACTCTGATGACGTCGGTCACGGAGGTAAGTCCCTCGCTCAGGACCTTTGCCCCGTAGAAGAAAACCAGGGCTGTCAGAAAGTACGAGATTGACAGGTGCAACCCGTAGAACAGGCCAATGAAGCCGGCACGTTTCATGCCGAGGTGGTAGGCAGCCGACGCAGACCGGGTGTGCTTGTCAGCGAAGTAGTGCTCCATGGTCAGGGCGCGGACGACCTTGATGTTGGCAAAGGTCTCGTTGAAGATGGCGCTCGTGGAGGCAGCGGCCTCGTCACAGATGGCCTCCCACTTGTCGCTCATGTACGAGTTGGCTCGTGTCGCTGCGAATGCCACAGGGAGTCCCGCCAGTGTGACAAGGGTGAGATCCCACCGGATGGCCAGCGCCCAAACCAGCGAAGCAGAGATCATGATGGTGACGGTGAGGAGGATGGGAACAAACATGCCAACAACCTTGCGCATCTCCTCAGCGTTGCGGTCGAGGCACTGCGTAATGCGGCTGGGGGAGTGGCTAGCCTTATCGAACCACGACTTGGGCTGGCTGAGGATGCGTTTGATGGCCTCGGCGCGGAGCGTGTTGATCCATTGCTGAGCCGCCTTCTCCATGAAGAAGTAGCCAAAGAAGGTTGCGCTGGCGTCAACGACAGCAATGACAGCGAGAAGACCGGCCCATTTCGACACGGAGCTCTCCTGTCCCTTCACAACCCAGAACTCCCCAATAAGGTTGGCGAAGAAAAAGGAGAAAACAGGGTTGCACGCCGCGATCAGGAGACACAGCAGTATGCCGAGGACCAATTGCACCTTGCCGCTCTTATCCAGGTTCGGCCAGACCGTTTGTAGTATGACCGTGAGGGAGGGTAGCTGCTTCCCCCTGGATGGCTTGTCCCGGTCCTTGCGCTTAGCAAGACGCTCGAGAAAGAACAGCTCAAGAGAATCGAGGGAGGCCTGGCCATCTGCATCCAAGTGTTCCAGAGCTCTGCGCGCATTGAGAGTTCTACTCTCCTGCACTTTCAAGCCCCGCTGAGTGACAATGTTGATGCTCGGTGTTCGACTCAGTCTGCGGGAAGAAGAACGATCGAGGGCCGTCTTACGCGATTCGGTTTGGTGTACCAATCTGTGGGAGACTGCTCGATTGAAGGCTCCCCTTTGGGACACTGAGCGACCGAGCCCAAGGCCGGCGCCGGCTGCGTTTCCCCTGATTGAGATTCGTCGGACCAGCCCAATGGACATTGGTCGGCTGTCAACAAATGCGCTGCGGAGGAACTTGGCGTACTGGGCCTCCTGAACGGGTTTGTCAAAGTGAACGCTGGAATCAGACTCGCTGTCGCTCGACATTGAGGCTCTCGATGAGGCATCGTCTGAAGAGGCGATCAACGACGCAAAGAGCCCACTCTCGTCCGCCGTAATGTCCCGTTTGAGCCCCTTTTGAACGATTGAGCCGTCTGCCATGACATAAACGTACTCATCGTCCTCGATATGCCCAACCTCATGCGTGATGATGATCGTAGTTTTGCCCTTCCGCCAGATCCGGATGGCCTCCATGATCAGATTCCTGCTGGCAGGGTCGAGACCGCTAGTGAGTTCGTCGAGAATCAGCACAGGTGGATCACGAAGCCTCGCCCGAGCAAGCGCCAGACGCTGTTTCTGCCCGCCGCTGAGACTATAGCCGCCCGGACCAATGACCGTGTTGACTCCGTCCGGCATGCTGGCGATGGTCGACTGAAGAAGGGCCATACTGCAGGCGTCTTGGATGGATTTTGATGAGACACTGTCGGGGTTCGCTGCACCAAACGCGACGTTCTGGCGAAAGGTGCCGTTGAAGAGGATGCTGGATTGCTGGATCAAGGTGACGCTCCGGCGGAGCCAGTCGAGGTCAACGGTCGTAATCGGGTTGCCGTCCATGGTGATCTGTCCAGTCAGGGGCTCGTAGAGGCGCACAAGGAGGTTTCCCAGCGTGCTCTTGCCAGAGCCACTCCTGCCGACGACGAAGGTGAGCTGCCCAGCCTCAAACCGGAGACAAGATGGCTTGAGAACCGTCTTGGACGGGTTAGCCGGATACGCGAAGCTGACCTGTTGCTGTCGGTCAGTGTCATATCCGGCCATTAGTACACGCAGCACTCACATTGCTCATCCTGATATCCCCCAGACACTTTGAGGGTTTCCTCCAACCGCTGGCTTCGTCTGCCTCCCCATTTTCTCCCTCCTTCACCAGCTCACGAAGCAACTGACCTGCAGCCATGCCCTTTGCAAGAACAAGCCAGTGAGGACCGAGCGTCTCAATCGCCTGAAACGCAGTCCGCACGGCATAGAATGTCGTCAGCGCATTTCCCGGGGTGAGCTGTCCCTTGCCCACCAAAAGCACGGCAACGTAAAACCCCAGCACAAATAGCATGATCATCCACAGCTTGACATAGCTCATCTGCGCGCAGTTGCAGAGGGCCTGCCTCGTGTAATACCTCGCTGACCTTCGAATTGCCGAAATGAACTGAAACGCCTCGTGATCCGCGCCAGCGTACACCTTGACGAGGTCGATGGCGGTGGTGGCGGCCGTGACGTGCTTAGCGGCCTGCGCGAGCTCCCTCTTCTGCCCCTCGATCGCCGGGTCGAGGAAGCGGCTGATGCCCCAGAGGATGAGCGCCGAGGGGACGCCGGTGGCGAGCATGATCAGCGTCAGCTTGAACGAGGAGACAAACGCCACGACGATGCAGGCGCCAAACACAAACACATCGCAGACAAGGTAGCCCAGCATTTGGGACGTGGCTGTCTGCAGCTCTCTGGTTTGCCTGAGAACGAGACGTCCATGTCAGCACCATCTCCCCTTCACATCCTCTAAAAAAAATAAAAAAAAAAAAAAAAAAAAAAAAAGGGAACTTACCTCTGCACCCTTGTCATCAACCCACTCAACCCTTCGGGCCTCTGTTCGAACCACCCCATCCTCCTCCCCAGCAACCTCCCATAAACCTCCTCTCTCGCCGTCCTCGCTCTGAGTTCTCCACCGATCACCCAGGTCGCCACATCGACGGTTGAGGACAGCCAGACCCCGACCCCCAGCACACACATCCACAACGCCCACCGCGAGATCTGGGAAAGGAACTCGCCGGGCGGGAGAAGGCCTGATCCAAAGCGGGATATGACGTCGAAGATTCTGCCGATGAGGATGGCATAGACTGTGCGGCCGGCCGCTTCGACTGCGGCCGCGATGAGGGCGAGGACGAGCAGGGGGATATGTCGCCGAGATGTGAAGGTGAATAAGTGCTTGAAGGTTGACTTGGTCGGCGTCGTGGGAGGTAGGGAGGTTGGTGAGGCGGGATGCTCCAGTTGGAGGACGCTGTTGTGGTTTGATGGGGCCGCCTTCGCGAGCCAGGGTTGTTTCTGGCTATCCCGTACCGAGGAGGCCATGGTGATTGAGTCTTGGACGGTCTTGTTCGTGGAGAGGCTTGTTTGTTTAAAGAGAGGATGACTGGTGTCCGGGTAACGAAGGGATTTTTGGTGATTGACGAGTGGTGAGTCGTTGTATGGGCGTCATTGAAATGGTTGAGGTCGAGAAGTTGGATAAAGCGATCCGTAGATGCGAGAGATATATGGGAGGAGTTGCAACTCCAGGATAACGACAAACCTTCCATACTGAGAATTGTTCCTGGTCATCGGCGCACCTCGTGGTAGCTATTCTTAGTGGTGCGGGAAGCTTTTGTTCGGCCTTAGTATTGTCCTCGACACTTGCCGGGGTCAAACATGAGAACAATGCTAAGGGGCTGAAAGGAAACATTCCAGATAGAGAGCGGATCGAAGGTGCCGGAATCACATCTCATTGGAGGGTAAAACGAAACTTGCTCAAGATGGGATGGAATTATCAGGCGCTAGATTTCGAGGCTTCGGCTTTCTCTTTTTGGGCCTGTTCATAGATCCAGTCGTTCAAACCTAGCCGATTCCTGAGGAGGGTCAGCATCTCGAACCTGTAACCGAACAACAACGACAGGGTATTACCTCGCAATCTCGACAGCATAAAATTGCATCCTCGGTACTGCGGACTGTCAGCATGCGCTTCTCCATCCAATAGCCTGCTACCCTCCTGTGGCCGAGCACCTCACGCACCGAAAATGGTTTCCTTCTCGCCATACTCCCACTTCGGATTCGCGCGCAACATGGTGCCAAAGTTGTAGTCGTCGACCTTCTTCTCATAAACCATCATGAAGTTGCGCCACCGCTCCTTGCCCTCCTTGCTCTTCATCTTGTCCTCGTCGATAGTCTCGGACGGGTCGAACTCAGGGAAATCGCGCTTGAGGTGCTCGTAAATCTCGTCGTCCAGCTTGGTCAGGCGCAGTGACGAGCCTTTGATCTTCTCGAGGATGGACCAATAGGTCTGCATGTGCTGGACGACCTTGACGGCGAACTGCTTCTCGATCTGCGAAGGGCGTTGTCAGCAACCAGGAATTGTGTGCTTGGCGGAGCTCAACACAAAAGGGGTCGCACATCCTCAAGATTGTCCGCCTCTTCAGCGTTGAAGGTTTTTGGGGCTTGCGCCGACATGGTGATGGCTGAGGGCTACTAGACAGGAGCTAGAAGAGGTCTGGCAGTTTCGCTGTGACCAAATGCGCCAAGCGCTCTGCCTGAAGATGCGATATCGAATGTCTGGTGGGGTGAGGGGTGGTTATCGTGGGGCGCTTCCTTATCGATAATAGCGTTGGGTAATCCAACCTCCACCTGGACAAAAAAAAAGACACACCAAAAAGCGTCACCCCAGAATTCAATGGTCAGAAACATCAGTAGATCATGGCCGAACTGAATGATCTCAATTGCAAACTGATTCCCAGTCATAGCGCCTTCTAGTTCCAAGCAATCCTTGAAGATCTGAGGGATGTTGTCAACCCAGGCATTGATAGTCTCTTGCTTAACTGCTGCCCAGCCCTCTTCG